CAACGTCGAGCTCAGAAAGAGCTTGACGCTGTTTGTGGAACCAGCAGGTTCGTGTCATTTACCGTTTTGTTACAATGGGGAATGTTCAGCTGATTTGATTTGATAGAATGCCTAAATGGGCGGACTTCAAGGAGTTACCTTACATTAACTGTATCGTCAAGGAAGGTTTAAGATGGCACCCAGTGTAAGTTTCGATCCAGCTTATTGTTAATCCGATAGGCCTCCCAGCTCTCAACGGTGCTGATACTCAACCCCTAGCCTACCTCTTGGAGTTCCTCATCGCGTAGCCAAAGATGACTGGTACAACGGAATGCTCATCCCGAAAGACGCCACTGTTATCATTCCCTCATACGCCATCCATCGATCAGAGCAAATGAAGTACAAAAACCCTGACACGTTCGACCCAAGTCGCTACGTCAACCACCCACGCCTAGCAAGTGACTATGCAGGAAGTCCCGACTTCAACAACAGAGACCACTATGGCTATGGCGCAGGCCGTCGCATCTGTCCTGGCATGCACCTTGCAGAGCGAACACAGTGGAGAACCATTGCCAAGATTCTTTGGGCGTTTGATATCGAGCTTGCCGTCGATCCAGCAACAGGCCAGAAGACTGTGCCTGATCCGGAGGCTTTCAAGGAAGGAATTGCGCATGGGCCCAAGCCGTTCAAGGTTGTGTTCAAGCCGCGCAGTCAAGCACACATCGACACTATCCTCCGAGAAGCAGAGCAGAGCCTTGTTGAGGTGGCTAAATGGGCCTGAAAGGTGTAGATGAACACTTGTAATTCCTTTTGTTTCTTGAAGACTGAAATGAAAACCAGGGCAACAGTCAGATTACATTCATAGCACGTCTTTCAACATACTCATCACCTTCTACGTGTGAGGCGCGTGATGTAAGCCATCAGCTGTGGTGTCTGTCAACCCCAGATAATACTCTTATAAAGTCAGTTCGAGCAGTATACCGGCTATCCAACACAATTGCCCAAGCATCACCTTCTACTATCCCATATCGCCCATCCTATCTCGCAGCTCCTTATCAGTGGCGTTTTGATGCTAAGATGAGAGTTTCATTGTTTTTCTGCCTGTATTTCGGTAGCTTTAGAAAGATATTGGTCACTTTAAAGATAAACAGGTAGCTAGCCATGCGTAGGTGTCTGCGTTGGTGCTTGATCGTGCCGTGCCACTTCCATCTTGAATATTGGAAAAGCAAATGTTCGTTACTAACCTAAAATGGAGCGGTAGGAATGCCATTGGTAAAGGAATTTTGTAACGGTCGAGGCAGAATTAACCGGACGGCGGGTGGACTTGGCGTTGAGGATTCAATAGATGTCAGCCGGCTCATCCCTCTACCAGCACAAACAAATCCCAGGGTGCCAAAATCCTAAAAACGGGCCATTTGATGGACAGAGATCGGTTTGCGTAGGTCTTTTGAACGCCGAACAATGCGGTATAGAGGAGGCAAATGAAGATGCTCAAGAGAAACATGATGACTTCAGTAATTGATAGCAAGAAAATAGTATTTAATGGTTATCTCTTCTCGGTTCTCTCTAGCTGTTTGCAATGACATATTCAATATGCCAATGGAACTAGGCTCATGTTCCAAGATAAGAACTGCTGCGCCGTGCGGAAGGAATGTAATCAAATAGCAGCATGGGATGCCTCAGCCTTGAGACAATCTGAAAAGGGTTTCAGACTTCAGGCACTGTAGTGACTTCGATATAATCGTCAGTCGCAACGATCCCAGTCACAAATGCCCAATAAAGATTGGCGACCAGTAAGTTAGGTAGCTAGCTACGGTTGGACATACCGTGGATGGTTGGGTCAATACTTCCTGCACGAAATGATGTACCTGGGTTCCGTTGGCAAGCCACACGGCTGCTTTGCATGGACGAGATTGACCCTCGTACTAACAATGCTATAGTTAGAGATGAGCTGCTAGTGACAGGCGACAAGGGTGGTACCAGGAGCGGCTATGGCCCAAGGAGTGTTTACCAGCTTGCACAGTAAAAACGAACCTCCTTAAGTGTCGTCATATGCCGTCTAATCCTTAGGATATGTCTCCTAAATTTGCCTAAGTCTTAGAAATGAAAAAAAAGGATCTTGCTACTGCTCCACGCAACTAGGCAAATATTAACAGCCTCGGCATCTGGCATCAAGCGAAGTTGGTCCGAAATCGACGTCTCGGCGAACTTTGACCGTCACAAGCTAATTCTGTATGCACATTGTCCCGACTAAAGGTAGGCATGCCTTTGCGGACTAGAGTGCGATTATTCGTATCCTGCACGCTGCATAAGAAAATTTAAAGTTGCCTATGAAAAGTAGCTACTTTGTTAATTGTCTCTTCTGCACGACGAAGTCATTCCATCATTGATCAAGCCCGATCAAGCACCTCTTCAGAATGGAAGCAGAAACGGTGACCGTAAGTGGCCCCTTGCAAAATTATCCTACGTTTTACACATCTGACCTATTGTAACAGGCTCCCGGTGATGTACCTGTCTTCGATGTGATGACGGCGGTGTTGACCGCAGTGCTCGTCTCACTAATCGCCTATTTCGGCCACGGCCCCCTTCACGAACTCCTCTTCCAAACCTCAACAAAGACGAAATCGCTCGGGGCAGATAGCGACGATGAGTCTGATGTCTCTAGCGATAAATGTATTGTGAAGAGACTAGAAGAGGAAGAAAAGAACTGTGTCGTCCTTTTTGGGTCTCAAAGCGGAAACGCACAAGAATTCGCCGAGAAGCTTGGTCGTGAAGCACACACCCGGTTTTCCCTACGTTCCATAGTCGCCGAGATTGACGATTACACTTACCAGAACTTGCATAAACTGCCTGAAAACACAATCGTATTCTTTATCCTTGCTTCATATGGCGACGGAGAGCCAACGGATAATTCGGAGCAGTTTTACAACTTCTTGACTGATGAGGACGATGATGGACCGTTCGACAGACTTCGGGAACATGGCCTTCAGAACCTCTCGTACTCCGCTTTTGGGTTGGGAAACAGTAGTTACGCTCATTTTAATGCCGTGGTCCGTAAAGTCGATGAGAGACTACAGCTTTGCGGTGCCAGACGCCTTGGCCCTGTTGGCGAAGCTGACGATGGCAAGGGAACAAACGCCGAGGATTTTATCGAGTGGAAAGACAAAATGTGGCCTCAAGTCATGGAAGCCTTTGGCCTGGTTGAGCGAGATGCTGGAGAGCGAGAGCCTGCTTTCGAGGTGGTTGAGATACCTAACCACCATGGCCCAATCTTCCAGGCAGATTACACAGACAGGAATCTTGCACAACAGGCACAAGCAGTTACAAACCACTACTTCGCACCTATTTCGGACTCAAGACTTCTTTCAGATGCTGGTGGCCGGTCGTACATACATGTCGAGCTGGATATCAAGGACAGCAAGCTTGACTATCAGACCGGTGACCATCTCTTAGTTTCCCCTATCAACTCTGACGTCGAGGTTGAGCGCTTCTTGAGGGTGTTCGGGCTATGGGACAAGCGACACGAGACCATTCGGGCAAGATCGCTCTCCGATGACGTGAGTCCGCCATTCCCCTCACCGTGCAGCTACGAGTCCGCAGCACGTTTTTACATCGATATCTGCGGGCCTGTCTCCCGCGAAGTCGTATCCGCTTTCGCGAACTCCGTTTCGAATGCTAAGCAGAAGACCATGCTTCGTCAACTCGGCAAGGATAAAGAGGCATTCTTGGCCCTTACGGAGGGTAGCTATTACAATGTTGCTTCCATGATGGAGACTTTGTTTCTAGGAGAAACTGTTGATGTTCCATTTGCAATCATCATCGAGGCGATGCCTAAGCTGCAGCCGAGATACTACTCCATATCTTCGTCATCGGCCCTTGAAGCCGACAGAGTCTCCATAACTGTGGCTATCGAGTCATTTCTAGTTACTAACACAAACCGACACTTCTCAGGCGTTGCGACGAACTTCATTTTGGATGTTGCTTCCATCGAAGATGATGTTATTTCCAGCAGCCGGGTGCAGCCGATAACCTACTCGCTGCCGACAAAACGACCCCATCTACCGCCCTCTCTCTCAGTGTGTGTCCGCACTTCGACATTTCGACTACCGTCTGATCCGACAATACCTATCCTCATGGTTGGTCCTGGCACTGGCGTTGCACCCTTCCGTGGATTTGTCAGAGAACGGGTCGCTATGCATCGACAAGGTACAAGATTTGCGCCCATGACGCTATTGTATGGCTGCCGCAAGAGGACTGAAGACTTCTTATATGAGAAGGAGTGGAAGGTAAGTTATCATGCGACCTTGATGATTGTGTAATACTAATATGTCCGTCATCAAAGGCATATGCCTCTGAGCTGGGTTCCAAGTTCAGGATGTACACAGCATTCTCGCGAGAGCAGAAGCATAAGGTATACGTTCAAGATCTTATACTCCAGCAATCGAAGGACATAGCTTCGCTTATCCAGAACGGCGGGCACGTGTATGTTTGCGGCGACGTGGGCATGGGCCGGGGAGTCACAGAGACCCTGTGTAAGGTCCTTGCTTCTGAGACCAGTATGTCTTTGGATGATTCACAGAGGGAGTTGTCCGATATGCGACATTCACATCGATATCAGGTTTGTGTCTTGTCGTCGTTCTGATCAGTCTAGCTAACAAGGTGATAGGAGGATGTCTGGTAGCTCACCAGCCATAGTAGATAGACATCACTGAGCCAAGAAGGGTGATATTGTAGGTTTAGATGACGGGAAGTTGGGCATTACGGATAAAAATATAAATCTTTGAGATTCTTCTGATCTACATGAGTTTCATTTATGTGGACCATATTCAGCTGCTGTTTGCCTTATCCAGTAGCGGTGTGGAGCATTTATAAGGCGGCGACAGGGGATAGGGAGGCGCAGCAGTAAATCTGCCTTGTTGCCTAGTAATCGCCCCTTAAACAACATCCATTCCATTTCTCTTCTTCAATTCCAAAGTCTCTCATTCAGTCAATAATTCCATAATCTGACCTATCGTGTCCATATGGCGTCTCATGATATTTTTGCATGCGCCTATCACAGCTTCCTCAGCACCCTCAGCGATACTGACCGGGCACGCTACGATGACAAATGTACCCCACAAAGCCTACTGGATGGCTTACAAAAGATCACTAGCCTAGCAAAGGGGACACAGAATAGGCGCTCTCAGAAGCCTTTTGCCATTGTTCGGGATTTTAATGAGAGAATGCGTCCGTTTTTTGCGATTGTCGAGGGCCCCGTCACGCAAAGCTCTGTCTATGCAGGCGCGGCACTAGGCGCTTTGAGACTCGTTCTTGAGGTCAGATCATATGCCGACACTAGCTCCAAGAGATAAGAGACTAATTACAGGGACATAGTTGGCTAGTTGCTTTCCGACGTTGCTTATGAAACTTCTAGAGTGCATCAAAGATATCACGGAGTCATTTCCGAGATATGAAGCCCTAGAAGACATTTGCCGCGGCAAACCGACTCCTAGATTGTTGCTACATCTTGGACGGGTATACCGCGATCTTTTTGACTTCTTCAATAGTGCAGCTTCGCTGTTCACAGCTAGCAGTGGCAGTGAGTACCATGCTCGGGCCTGCCTTTAGATCTAACCTTCGTGCAGAGGTCAGACGGCCAATCGAGTTAATTGCTAGTGTGATATGGAGACCATTCGACGAGAGGTTTGGTGTTATCTTGTCCAGCATGTCTAGGCACCAGCAGCAGCTAAATGATGAAGTCAATATCTACCAGCTCGAACTAACAAGAGAGGCCGCCACGGCTTCAGAGGAGATTTACAAAGACACACAAGCCACTCGTGCCTGTGTTTCGGACCTTAAAGAGCACGTGCGACTTCAAACTAGAGGTATGTGCTCAGAGACGGTCATCCGGTGTCTTGCTGATCCGTCCACTCAGAGCAAGCGATCGCTAGAATTCAGTCTTGGTTGAATGCACCAAACTTCGCCAGCACATACTGGAATACTCTCGATGAATGCCAAGAGGATACCGCGCAATGGATATTTGAAATGGACAAGTTCCAAGAATGGTCTGAGAGTCTCTCGATATCGTCGACAGGCAGCTCCGCACCTGAAAGCAGACTTTTGTGGATTTATGGTAAGATATCATGAAGTTGGTATTAATCCAAGACTAACCGTAGAAGGCAATCCTGGAGGCGGCAAAAGTGTTCTCACGGCATCTATCGTCCACGAACTCTCCAGCTGTAACCAAAATCTGGTCTACTTCTTCTTCAAAGAGCAGTCCCCATTCCACACTGCCTCCGACCTCGCATTCCGCGCCATTTTAGCTCAAATACTACATAAGCATAAACACAACGACGACATGCTTGATAAGTTTATATTCGCTTCAAACCATGGCGACAAGTCATCCGGCCAATCAATTGCGACACCAGCTGAGCTGAGAGACTTGCTGCACTTATGCTTGAGCTCTATCAGAAACCCCATTATGATTCTTGATGGCATCGATGAGTGTACGGAGCCGGACAGTTTCGTTAAGTATCTCAGCTCGTTGCTCGCTCTACCCAATCTACGCGCTTTATTCTCGAGCCGACCTACTGTTCAATCGCTGACCAAGTTGGTTCCACTACAGCACCGTTTGAGCTTTGGCCAAGTTGGCGTAGAACATGACCTTAAAACATATTGTCACTATCACCTGACTGATCTTTTCGACGATGGTCTTCTTTTGGAAACTTCTGATATTCAATATCTCACACAAAGGCTGGTGCTGGGAGCGGATAGGATGTTTTTGTGGGCGAAGCTCATGTTCTCGTTCTTGAGGTCTCCTGCCTTGAACAGACGACTAAGAGAGAATATGATACACTCCATCACGCTTCCTGAAGGTCTCGGGTCTATGTATATGAGAATCTTCCGACAGATATCTCTCCTGGACTCGGCGCAGCAACAAATGGCCAAAAGGGTAATTCAATGGACGCTCCTTTGTCATCAAGAATGTTTCCTGTCCTCTCAGGCCTGGCATCACTTACTGGGTGCTGAAGAGCCAGATGATAAAGAAACCGCATTCGCACATCTCTCAGAACTCATCAGTCTCGTAACGTGTGGCTTGGTGATCTGTCGTGGCTCACAGCTCCGTCTAGGTATTCTCGATCCATCTAGCTCCGGGAGATCTCACTCAGCGAATTGCGTCTTTGTCCATCTTTCCGTCAGGGAATATCTTTTGGAATGGACGCCAGAAGATCAGACTATAGCGAAGCTTTCTCCTTCTCCAATTATCTCGCATATGGATATAGCAAAATTGTGCTTGGATCACTTGCTTGACTCGGCTCCCACTTCGATACCTTTGAGTATGAATAGGGAGCTGATCGATCTATACTCTTACTGCTCCGTCCGCTGGCTCTATCATCTCGGCAAAGCCGTCTCTCCCAGGACATCGTGGCGTAACATGTACTATCAAGAAATGTGTTCAACCGTCGTCAAAGGGATTGTTGACCTGCTAAGGCGCCTCCTTGAGAACCCACTGGCAGTTGCTCACTGGATTGACTGCTTCTATACAAGCCCGTCTGTATTTCCATTTTGGTCCTCGGCAGGAGCGCATCGTCTTCGGTTTGACGACGACATCAATGTCCCAACGGCAATGATATTGAAGGAATTCTCACAAGCAGTAGATTGGCTAGGCTGGGTGCAGAAGCTCCAGGTACCAGACATTGAAGCCAAAGTCTTTCTCTATCTATCTGACAATCTAGATCGGCTAAGGGAAGACTTGACTGATGTATGCAAGAAATGGGATTCGAAGCTAAGCGAAACACCAGCTATTATATGGAGTGATGTTCTTGCATTTACATCAAGCAAGTATCTCCCAGCAGCCCAGTCTACATACCAAGTCCCAATTGACTCAGGAACGCCAAGTCTCCCTACCGGGGCGTGTAAACGCCTTTGCCATATATCGGCGACCTCTTCTGATGGGTCTGTGCTTGGTATTCTTAGCATCTGGCCATCACGCAAGTTTGAAAAGTTCTGGGAAACGATCCAACCGAGCACTGCGTATATGGAAGTCGAGAATTACTGTGACAATTGGCATGCGGTTTATGAACTCAGCCGCGTTGGCGAGCCTATGGAGAAACTTGGCACCATCTCTATCCCGTTGAAGGCAACTGAAGTGGCGTTGCAGATGAGACAGGCATTCCGACAAGAACATCTCTCGACGTGGAAGGCCTCTTTCCCGTTCTCTATTAGCTTCGACGGCTATTCTATATGTGTTCTACGAACTATTTACCGTGTCACCATTGATCCAGTGTTATCAAGGCTGCGAATCCGATCTTGCCGAATGCCCCTGGAGGAGATTACAAGGATCCAGCACTTCTGGGACGATAGGCTCAAGAGACATGATCCCAGTTATTCACTCAGTATCGGGTTGCCTCCAACATTGCAACTGCTGCAACGAAAGCTTTACACGTATCGAGCTATATTCGACATACACAGTCGCTACGTTTTCTTCCAAGATGCAAAAAAGTTCGAAGCTCCGTTACTAGCTGTCTTTGAGGTGAACGACACGCCGAGTGGGGAGCTTCATGTTCGAGTTGTCGCCGTTGCACCAGATGAGATTATGGGGCCCTGGCTGGGCTGTACTGGAATACCTTTATCGACGGCAAGGTTCCATCCCAAGTCAAGCCTCGTCGTGTCTGCTGTAAGGGGTCGTGTTATGGCATGGGACTTTTCAACAAGTAAAATCCCTACTGCAAACCTAGTTGATGAAAGCTGACCGGTCGCAGACACTATGAGTCACCTCTCAACAGACGGAGCCGAGGTTACAAGCCTTTCGATATCGACGTGTGCCAATTATGTAGTCGTTATGCGAGAGAACTCTGATAGTCATGAAGTCTACGACTTGACAAAGCGTAACTTGAATCTCACCAGCACAGCTGAAAATAGCCCGGGACCATCCGGATCACTTATGCCCCCTCATAAGCAGCAAAAGACTCATAGCTCACACGAAGGTCATATGGAAAGGTTGGATTCAAGAATGGAGGTTAGACATGCAAACCTCATCGGATCTACCTTTGCACTTGCTGGTGGAGATGGCAACTCTACCATCATTAACGCTGGGCCTCAAAATATCGGGTCTCAGTTGAGAATTGATGCCGGAAAGATCAAGTTGACCGCTCCCCAATGCATGACAGATACAGCCGCCAAGACCCTAGAACTTCTATCGATCCCGAGCACGATCTCGACCCAGGACAGTCGCATAACGCTATATCTACCGAATCAAGACGACAACCACCTCTCGCTTCTAGTGGATAAAGGGATAGAAGATGGGTATAACATGATGGACAAAGTAGGACAAAGTCTGCCCGTCTTGGTCAGGAAGGATAAGCGGCTGGTCCGTGAAGCTATCCAAAGTGCTACTGGGCAGAAGGACGAAAGGATTAGACTAGTGGAAGGGGCGAAGAGATTGTTCTCAGAGATAGACCAATGATGTAATTGTGTGGGCAGTTGATATTGTGCCTGGAGTATGTTCTTAAGAGTATTACTTTACTTTAACATACCCAGCAGCTGATACTCGCATACTCGGCACTGGTGTGTAAGAGAAGAGGACACTGTACAACAGCAATATTATACGTTGGACTATGGCCACGGAATGGTATTAGCTGTTTTGACTGCAAACGTGGCAATGTACGTAAACCTTTTTATCAAGGACATTGGCCAGTTCCGGGATGCATAGCGCGGTCAGGAGAAAGGGGCCAGCATCTTAGACGCCTAGTACAGAACAGGGGATGGAGCGAAAGTTGCTAAAGATAGAAGAGATTGGGGGTCACGATGGCTATAATTATATTTGTCAGGTTGGGGTGGACGGAAACTATAATTCAAGTGAAGGATACAGTTGCTAGCTCATAATCACTGTATCAAGTTCTCTTCTCATATTCACGTGGTGTTATATTTATACATTGAGATAATCAAAAGTTGATTTCAACTGCTTCACCCGCTATAGATTCGACTGCTGCCTCCAAGGTTGAACTTCGGGCTGCTAACACAGGTGATGTGGACACGATACTGCTCTGGGCAACTGTAAATCCTGCTCGCCTGTTTCAAATGTCTGTGATGGGGTTGATGGGTCAAACAGAGGCTTCAGCATCAAGGCCACAAAGGTAAAGAACACCAAAAAAACACATACGGGCAAAATACTCGTCGCCCTCACTGTTGCCTAGGAGTTTCAAATGTCAAGCCCCTCCTCTCCAACCTATCCTCCACCTATTCGCTCTTCAGATTACCAGCGGATAGCCAGTGAATAGAAAGGCAGTGGCAGGGTCATCCTCAGCCGACGTTTCGAACTCCATCACGGCCTTCTTGTTGTACTCCTTGTACTTGACCTCTCCCTTACGGTCTAGCCAGACCTGCACCACCTTGGAAGCAACTATGAAATCGTCTGATTCACGAAAGCTGGATTGCACGACGCTTTCTCTGTTACTGACTCTCCACGGGCAATCTTCAAACCCGTGACCATGTACACTGGTCGCTTGGATCTGCTTGACGGCTTGTAAGATTCGTCATCAAGGTTGTCGATTGAATCTCTGACGTAGGACTCGGTTGGGATGAAGGCGAGGGTATCAAGATGCTTGCACGAGATCACCCTTTGGTCGCCCTCGGGGCGTCGGTCGGGTGCACATGGACCCCGGCCAATCAGTCCCAAGGCTCTTTCCGGCAAGAGATGGCGATCCGCGTGAAGGCCATAGATGTCGATATCGACAGAGTCTTGAGTTTCCACAGGAAGAAGGTGCGCGGCTGGGATCGGCTGAAATTCCTCCAGGTTAAATGGATCGAAATTATCAAGCCTGCCAAGGATGGTGCCGAGTTTGACGACGCCTCGTGGGGGTGCTGGGGCGTTAAAGTGCGGGGCTAGAAAGTACTCCTTGACCATGATTGCGAATGAAGTTTTGGTTCGAGGTATAGAAGAGTGGTGAAAGAATTGAGTGTGAGATGGTGAGCTAATGAGGTTGTGGGGTTGTGAGGTTGTGAGGTTAAATAGGCTTTAGCCTGAACACAGAAAGGTAAAGAACATAAATGAGAGAGAGAAAAAGAGAGATAGATGGGACGTGAACAAACGGAAGTCCTCTTGTTGAACAAGGTCACTTGTTAGTGGAACAACGGTACATTCACAGTGATTCACTGCACAGTGCTGTGTTGATTCTGTACGACTTGAGCTTGTTGTGCGCGGACACTGGCAGGTCAAAGCATTCATGATTGAATGGAGTCAGCTCTGTTGATCATGGAGTTGTTCTCTATTTACACAGCCGAAAGGCTTTTTAGGGCTGCTGTGGTCAGTGCTCTGCGTTGAGGCTGCCCTTCCCTTCACTGCTGATTAGTGGGAGGAGATGATAGTGGAACAAAGATGCTTATTGGCCTTGAGGTGCGCTGATCCACCCAACTGAAGACTATTCGAAGGTGTTTAGATCCCATCAAGTATCGCAAATACAAATTTGTTTTGGGCTTGGTTGTTGGATTGTCAGGCAAAATGTGTTTGTATGACAGCGTCAAAGAATAGCCTTGCACGCTGAGTGAAAGGGAAGTCTTGCAGATTTCATCCTAAATTGAAGTTATATTTGTTTTCAGCTACAAATTATCTTGATCCTTCTAGAGCTTGCTGTTAACAAATGCCAAAGCTTCTTTTCCGTAAATGCTGACGTATTGCTGGTGGTGGTTGGAGTCGTTTCCATTGCAGCAGAAGGGATCTTGAGAGTCACAGTAGATCTGGACCTTGTCTGCATTGGGGCAGGTGAAGCCCGCAGGTCTGGCATCAAACTATATGTTCTTAGCAGTGTTACATAAGAAGCGATGATATGACTTACGCCACCGGCGGTGCAGGTGCCGACTCCGTAAGATAGACCGCTCACGAATCGAGGGTCACCGAGCATGATGACAGCCTTGACCTGTTGGACTGCACTGGCGGATAGAGGAACGGATGAGTCAGAGATACCAGCTCCAGAGTCGGGGCCACCGCAGATGTTGTTATCCATGATTTGACCGCCCTATCATTCCAGTTAGTCACCAGTATTGTCGGATGACCGAGTGAAGGGTTCGTACCTGAGAGTACCCAACCAGGACAATCTTTGTCTGAGGACAGCGCTCGTTGAGACCGTTCACAGCAGTAGTAACAGCCTGTGTACCCTGCTTCGCAGAGTCACCATACTGAACGCCGCCACATGAAGCCTGGCCACCGCAAGCAGGGTAGTCAATAGCCTCTGAAGTCGCGCCAGGGTGATCAGCCTTGATCATGTCAACTAGTTGGCCAGCTGAGCCAAAGCCTGGTGCAACTGAAGTTTCACGGGCACCAAAAATATGAATGTCAGGGCATGACTGAGCCTTGACCGCCAAAATGTTGGCTAAGATAAGCAGAGTCGAGTCGAGAGAAGCGCGCATTTTGATAATGGGTAAGTGCTGATGGGATAGTTATGTTGCCAGATAAAATCGAGGCATCTAGTCTGCTATTTAAACACGGAAATAAACAAGGATCTCACAACGCATGAATATTTCAAGAGCTAATCGACTGACATGCAAACGATTCCCCGCTGTTGTTTCAACCTGATTGACAGGTTTCATCAGACAAGGATGAAGTATTGGTGGGTAATTAAGATTGAATGGGTCTAAATCTGTCTGAAACATGTTTTGTAGCAGTTTGCATAACATTCTACAACAGCCGAAGCTTGGATCGAATAAAGGTTACAGTTTCAGGAATCGATCGAGCCGACGGCCCGATCAACAGACTTCTTGCGAAACCTCCGAGCGTTGCCCTTGGCCCATACTTTCGCGAAGGATTTGTATGACCTCTTTTCTATCGTTCTTCTCAGCTCGAGATAGAGGTGTCTCGCCATCTTTATCCTTGTCTTCTGGCCGAGCGTTATACTTGAGTAGGAGACGAACAGCTGCCTGGTTGCCTAAGTCGGCAGCATGAGATAGCGGGGTTCTCCAGCTCACTATAGCCTTTCTCCCTGACATATACGCTCCCGGCCCGAAGACCGCCTTAGCGTGGTTCTGTTAGCATACAATTCTCTTATTTGGCGGACTAGGTATTCGTTACCATAACCAAAAACATCACAAGCCCTAATTTAAAACTTTCCAGAAAACACATTACCATAAGAAGCTATAGATATAAAAGTCAGTATCAAAACACCCATTCAGTAAGAGTCGCGGAGCGTCACTCACCACATAGTAAATCGGAAAAAGAACATTTGCAACAAAGTACAGCCATTTTGTCAAAAAGAATGGGTACCTTCCGTCTACAATGTAGTTATGGTCAACTCGGGAGCCTCTTTTGAGCAAAAGCTCGATGGCTGCGATATTGCCTTTCTCTATAGCATAAGAAAGTGGTGTATAACCATTCATATCCAAATGATCCTTATCTCGCCAGGCGCCAGTTTCCAGAAATAGATTTATGATACCTGTATCACCACACTGCACAGCATAATGAAGCGGCGACTTCCCAAGCAGATTTTTCTGGTCTGGTTTGGCGCCATTGTCCAAAAGGCTTTTCACGACAGCCCTGTGACCAGATCTTGCTGCAACAGCAAGCGGTGTGTTACCCACACGGTCTTCTACTTCCAAGTCGATTTTGACGCCAACTTCATCTGCTCTCGTTAAAATACCCCTCAAGGCTCCTATCCATCCTTTCTGCGATATTATGTGGAGCATTCCTGTCTCTTTTGGGTCATTCGACCAATATATGGTCCAATTCTCAAATTTCAGAATGGTTCGACCCAAGCGGCCCAGAGATGCATCCGAGGGCCAACAGAATGATTCCTGAAGATTTTCCGGAATGTGATTTGCATGAAATTTCCACCAACATTTCGCATATGACAGAAAGGGGAATTTTGACTCCCAATTGTGTTTTCTCCATTGATCTTCATTTACTGTCAGGTGAGCGTGTACCCACTCTAGGTATCGAACGCAGATCTGAGTCAATCGATAGTGTGCTGATATGGCTGTTTGTTTTGTATCAGTGCTTTTATGGAGAGATGGGAGTCCCTTATGGACGAAAAAGTCCTTCACAGACTGGTGAATGAATTGAACGACCCCCTCAGTGGGCTTATACTCGATCAGTCCGCGCCCGAGCGTTGTAATTCTCCACTTCATGGCAGCGGTGTGGATTCGAAATTCCTCCTCATTTTTGGATCGTAGTAACGGTTCAAACTTCTGGCGAGCTAGAGACACAGCCCTATATAACTCAAACAGAGTTAAAGGCCTTGCAGCAAAGCAAATGCATTCGATAAAGTCGATGGAGTCCTGTTCAACCCTATTCAGGATTTCACTATAGAGTTTCTCCAAGGTCTGGGGAATCTGGCGGATTTCAGACTCGATCTGTAGTATGCCTATCTGCCCTTGGTAGAGGCTCAAGACTCTGGTCACGACCAGACTCGCCCATAGAAATACACCTTCGGCGTGCTTCGAGACATACTCAGCAATCTTAGATCCTGTCTGTTCCTGGAATGAACTCAGTTTATTCTCAACAAAGAGAGATATGTCTTTCGCGTTCTCTGTGTCAATGCATATCCTGAATGCACAATTGAGGTTGAGAATAGGATAGTGACGACAGGTGAAGCAGATACGAAAATACTTTAGGCGGTCCCATAAGGGTCTGTGAAGTAGAGAATTGAACTCGTCTGCCAATTCCTCTGCGTTCTTTTGACCGCATTCGTCTAGCGCATCAACGAATAATATTATGGGATGAGTTTCCAAAGTCTTCCAAAATGCGGTGCGGGTATAGTGACGGAGCTCAGAGGTATTCCATTCCCAACGCTCGCCAGACGTGTCCAGTGGAATATATCTCTGCTTGAATGTTATTTCCATGGCCTCCAGTGCCCCAGGAATCTTGCTTTGCAACTGGCAGAGGAGCGAGCGATAGAGGCCATCTGGCGTTTTTTGGAGCTCGGTACCACGGCCATTGAAAAAGAAGGAAAGGACCAGAGGCATCTCTTTCCTGCTTTTCGATGCTATGGTATTGTCAAGGACATATCGTAACAACGTCGACTTCCCAGAACCCGGCTTCCCTTTAATCCACAATAGAGATCGATCGCGGGATTCCCATGTCTGGTAGATTTTGTGTTGGAAAATCCAATGGCATGTACCGGCGGCTTCAGTCTTAATCTCTGTCGGGCGAGTATTCATTTCTTTGAATAAAAGCGATCTGAGGAGGAGCTTCGACAGACTCGGCTTTCTGCGTGGTCGGGAGAGGACTACATGGTAACGGATCAGTGACACGAAACAGAAGTATATTTATAATCACTAAGCCATACCATGCTGTGTAACTGGGGCAAAGTAAGCAGTACCAGAACCGCTGTTTTCGTTATGATTCCCGGCGTACTTATTCCCAGCGACATTATCTCCAGATCCATAATGTGTCTGGCTGATAGCTTCCTCCTCTGTTAGTGAGCTCTCCATGCTAGACATAACCCGAATGGCCTCGGAGAGCTTCGCAACCTGTACCTCAGTGGCTGCTTGGGCTGCATGGTTTTGTACCAAGAGTTTCACATCCTCCATCATCCCTTGAGATAAGACCTCCACACGGTGTCCCTTGCCTAGAGACCGCACCGCCAAGGCATAACGCCTGAAACTGGATGAATCTTCAGAGGGCTCAACAGCCTTAAATAATTTCTCCAACTTCTCAGCCTTTTCTCTACAATGTTTCAGAACCGCCTTTATGGCCTCGTTCGTCACTTGATCGGCGGAAATGCTCAGGTGCTTTTCGACAGCTTGGAGGATTTCTCGAACGATGGGCAACTTGTCGGCCACTTCATGAAATGCTGGTGGTAGGTCCTTGGCATTTTTGAGGGCATCGGAAAGCTTGCCGATGGTCTCAAGAATTGTGAGAATACCAGAGACTAGACCGACTACCTCGATGCCTGACATTTGGTGATTAAGTAGGGCAGCGAGTAATAATCAATGGATGTGAAAAATATCGGAAGCGAGAAGTGCGAATTCGCTATTAATTTACCAGCATCGAAAAGGCTGGCAAAGGAAGAAAGTTAAAGATGGTGATGGTCGAGAAAAAAGAAGGAACACTAAGTCACTTGTAGGTTAATCCATTCATCAAAAGGCCCATAATGGGAGCCCATTGCGAGATTCAAATTAAGCACGATATCACACCGCTACTCAACAAAATTGCCAGCAATGGATGTGCGTCCTTGAAGACTTTTTCAGCTCCAGGGCCTGTGTCATCCTGATAGGATAAATGATTGTGGCTTGCAGCAAGTACTTTTTTCCAGCCAGTAAAAGTTTTCCGTCATTGTGATTTTCAACCCCCAGGTCTTCAAGGCTGTCAGCCTGCTTGGCAGGGCACTTTCATCGACCGACTCTTGACCGCCAAGCTGCGCAAAATAAGCCTATCCGGAAGGCCGTTATTATATGAGTAATGATGTGGCACGCAAAAGACTAAAGTCCGTTGCGTGCAAACCAGGGCAGCCTAAATACTGCGACAGATGAGAGTGTGATGTGAGACACATGATCTAAAAATAGAATGAGTATATATCACGACGCTAATCGGTACAGCAAGTGTGTGCCAATAGCATACCTACTAGGCCTCGCTACGTAAAACTGCCCGTAAGTCCCAAAACTCATCGGATCTCATCTCCCGACTCTATCATTTCCACTAGTTATCCAGTCTCCGGTCGTCTTAGCCTGCTCACTCATCAACGCACGGCGATCAACAATATTTTCACTGCATCTACCGCGTCCTTTGCCATTTGAACAGACTGTGTCTTAGCTGGGAACACTAAAACATTATCTATTGGCTCAACCTTTCAATGTGAAATATGTATAGTTTTCTTCTTTTCATTGGCGACCCGATATGCTCTTTATACAACGTAAGCATCAGCGCTGGATGTTTGATAGATGTGCTCTGTAGGTGCAGATCTGCTCCCGCATCTGGAAGATTCATGGCTTCAAGTTTACCCTCGCTAACGACATGTCGAGCCAATCTTGTCATATTATGGAACAAATATCCTAGATCCTGCGGAAACTACATTGGATCGTCCAGACCTCTCAAGAATAGCATCAACCGACTCCAAAAACTCATGGTCTCGGCCCGGTGCAGCGACAATGTTGGCTACCACTGGCAGATACTCAATCTTGTTGCTGATCTTTGAATAATACCGCGTCTCTCCAATTGGTACAACGACATCGGGGCTTCCAAGAATCGGTGGCAAAAACAGTTGATCACATGCTGACTGAGTCTCGGGTGATTCAGCCTTCTCGTCACGATAGACAGGTTTAACTTCAGCGACAGGAAGAATGACAAACGTCTCAAAGTTCTCGTCTCCAAAGAATTGATTGTGAAGCCACTTTCTGTAAACAAGCAAGGGACGCGTAGCTTCTTCGTGCTCGGCGCCAGAAACGGAGGCACCTAGAGTCCATCTTCTTCGAACAAAGGGGATCACATAGGGTTGTTGGCCATCATGTCCTTCAGCGTAGAGTTTTCTGAATCTTGCTGTTGAGTAGTAGAACTGATGATAAAATGTTCTCCGAATAACACCATTGAGATACTGCTCAACATCATCAGAAGCCTCTGGCGGGTGTAACTGATGCCAAGAGCTTCTGATAGAGAGTGGGATGATAGTAGCTGGAAGATGAGTCTCGATATCTTGTATGAAAGAGTCTATAATCTTCATTTGTTCTAGATTTCCTGTTGGAAGGTAATCTGATATGGTCGTTTCCTGACATCCAATGGAGCTACAATCCAAGTCTTCGCGACGCGCCGTATGACATCGAGGCTTCTCGCAAACACGCAAGGTGTATCAAACATTGCACAAGTCTTGACCAGACCCCTCAAGGATATAGAATCATGAGAAGGCCTGAACTACCAAACGCCATTCACCAAAGCCGGCCGACGACCACTTCCACTTGTATCGGTGCCGATCGCACAGTCAAGCCAGTCATAAGCCGCAACAGCAGCAGCACTTCCATTGCTACTCCCTGCAGGAGATTGATACCCATCTCCTCTGGGATTGAAGGCTATTGAATAGTCAATGGCGTCCATAGGTTCTTCTCGGGCTATCATAGAACTAAGTTTCGTCAATCCCAGTATGTATGCGCCCTCATCAATCAGGGACTGGATCACGTCGGCCGTGAAGGTTGCTGGCTCGCTTAGTTCGTAGTAAGCTCAATTGCAAAGTGATGTTTTCATGCCGTGAACGAGAAAACAGTCCTTTACTGCAACACGTAAGTTTGGCGGGGTGTTGGTAGCGAGTGTTGGTGCTCGAGGCGGAACGGCTATGGCGGGGCAGTTACTGGAGGTGCTTGCAACCCCGAGTTTTTCAAACACCGACAATGGCGATCTTGTCGGCATCAGTGGCAGGCAGAGGTTTCAATAAGCAAGTTACTCACAAATCCAACTTGGGTTTCAATCCCGAGAAAAATGCTCCCTTCTCGTCATCATACAAACGGCAAACAGGGTGAAGTTTGTTATCTGTGTAGAGGTAAGGCCCCGTAGGAAGATGAGCTTCGTCGCCTTCAACGATAACATCGAGCCACTTCATTCCGAGCTCCTTCAGGTATTCCCAAGAATCTTGAGGCACAGCCTGGCCACGATGCGGGGTAGTAATGATGACACCTGAAAGGAACAGGTTACGATCATACACATCACAGCCATCCAGCTTGTCCAAATATGTTTTCAGCCACGCTTTGTTGAGAGCTATACCGTCATGGTTTGCGAAGACGGTCACGAGTTGAGATCTCAAGGGAGTGTTGGTTGGGGACCGGAACTAAGTCAATGGGTCAGATGTAAAGTTCACATCGCACAGGGTGGATGAACATACAGGAATGGCTTCTGTTGTGACATACCGCTTGCCTCCAGCCTCAAAAATAATAGTCGGGTTGAGAGAGGCCATCGGAGGAGTTATATGATTAGCTTTCACCCTCTCAACATTTGAGAACAATGAAGTTTTCCAAGACATCGTAACAGCGAGGAGGTTGGTTTCGCTGAGTAATCGTGCGCCGCAGAACAAAGAACGACGAGATGGCTGAGGGGACGAAGCAGACAAAGCTTCAGCAAGCCAATGACTTCGTCGCGTAGTTAATCGTTACAACATTCTTACTACTAATTACAGACTACGTCTTACAAGGGCACTTTAGCTCGAACAAAGAACGCCCAATTGTTATTCATACCGGCTTGGGATTTGCGGGGAAGCTTCATTTTAAGCTTCCCATCTATTACCTCATCCCAACCCATAAAATCTCAATAATCAGTCGAGGCATCCTTTCCATACCCAACATCACCGAAGGATCTAAACAGAAAAGCTTGAGTTATTAGTTACTTTCCACCGTACAACTCAAGGCCCTGCAAGCTGCCAACTAGACAAGCTAAGAGCTGCTGTAAGACGGCACAGATGAAGCTAATTTTCAGCTTTAATCGAAGAGTGGCCAAGATCATCCTACTTCTTATGTGAAACTAGCCTTATGTCCCTTGATGTAACCTCATGGATATCACCTTGCCTTTTTGAGCTAGGAGTGCGAGAGGCGCGACTATAGAGACCATGATGGACAAGTTGATGTATGGCTTGCGATGGTCACCTGCAACTAGCAGCGGCGCAATCTTACCCGAATCCAGTTTGTAGGTCCGTTGGATAACTATAAAGGACCCCGACTTCCGCTGTCAAGACCCGCGCCCTCAATAAGCTACCTCGACTCATTCTCTCTCTCCCCGGTTAACGTCGCAGTTTCTCATAATGAAGTTCACCACCACTCTCCTCCTCCTCATCCCCCTTGCCGCCGCTGGCCCCGCCATCAGCACTGCCGAGGGTCTTCCAGACCTCGCTACCTCCGGGGAAGACGGCTACAGCCTCTCCCGCGGCGAGGCTCTCCAACTCGCTGCCAAAGTCTGCCCTGCCAAGTTTCCCCGAAAGTGCTCCATTGGCAACTTCTGCTGCCGCACTAAGAAGTGTTGCAAGAAGGAATGCTGCAAGAATACCGCCAGATATTGCAGTGCCGGTCGATGTTATCGATGAATGCCAATTGGAATTGAAACGGCCGTTGGTAGGCGCTGTAGCTATGAGTGGGATGACTGGATATTGTACATTATTATGATGGTCTGGGTGGAGTTAACATCATGAATCGTTCTGATCTGCATCGGGCTGGAGGGGTGTTGGGACCAGCTTCAAGTCCGTCGTGTACTATCTAAAGATTTAGCTTTAATATCATGTCCACAAACATGCTCATGCCAAACAGTTCCTGGCTCCCGATTCCACGAGTAACGTAGAATACCGTCTGTGAAGCCATCCTCCAACTCCGCCAAAAGGGTCCTCCTTGTCACTCGCTTCTTTCCTTCCATCAAATGTGATGACCTGAAGTTTGAGTACGGCCACCTGTCTCATTTCATCTAGCTCCGCGCGTATCTCAACGAGATTATCAACATCCATGGGCGAAGGCGGTGACTGGTGAGGATCGAAGCAGCCTCTCAATGTGATACATGTTGGTGTTTTTGAGAGGACAACGAAATGGTTGGTGAAATAGGTGCCTGTTGCGTGTCAGAAGAGGGGATAGCGAAATCAGGAATAGCATACCTGGCTCATAGGTAGATGCCAGAAGATCCTTCTTGTCCCACAAGTCGTTCTTGTTCACCTCGTTCTTGAAAAATGTCATAATCCTTCTCTGAATACCATAACCTGCTCGCCATCAGCCTCACGCCGGCAATACGAGTTTTTATGAGCCTTACCAAATCCTCCCCACATTCCCGCCATGAACCTCTCAACCAATTTTGTTCCTCCCTTCTTTGCATCTTCCAGCATCACTTTATCCAGATTGTTGAACGGCACCTCTCTCACGCATGAGTCGGCGGAGCCCGGTTTATTCCAAGGATTGATCTTCTTCAGCAGCGGATGCCCATACAACGATCTGCCATTCTCCGGTCCAAAGGGCTCAAAGTAACATTTTCTTGTGACGAGGTGAAAGCTTGCTGCGCCGGTGATTGAGACTCCTGCAGCTACTCTAGCTGCAAGAATTAGCCGTTGGGGGAAGAGAGGCGATATCCGAGACATGACTGGTGATTTTTGCTAGGTTACCATCACATTTTGTGCTGCTCAAAGAGGGAGACGCCTCTAATAAATACTGACCCAATTTCGGACTCAACAGAATGCCGAGGTCCGGAAAGACGAGACTTGTATAGATCTGAACTCCACATATTCGGAACCGTTTCCATAATTATGGTTGCTTGGACAGATTTAATGTTAGCAGCCCCAATTCGTCAAGACTTGGCAGCATTTGCTCAATTTGATTGGATCGTCATTTGACTCCACTGGCGATTTCCCGCTGACAGTTGGAATTTCCCGCTTATCTAATCTCCTTTATCCGTTGCCAACCCTAGACCTTGGGGTTTTTGGCACAGCAGTTAAAGCATCGACTACAGTCTGCGATACTGATGCCATTCGGCTGGAATCTCATTATGACCTTGGGTATTCTTTCAACACTAGCGTAGATACACACCATTCGCGTGCCCTATACGTTAGTGCACGATTCATTGAGAGGAACATCGTGGACACTTGAAAGGTTGTTCACGTTCCAGATCTTTTACTGAAGGAACATATGTTCTTTGAACATAGCCAAATGCGTCTCGAAGCTGGTTTCCTCTCAATTGAATCACTTAATAACAATCATTGGAATCAATAATTCAACTTTCGGATATCATATCATAGCGCCCCCAGTGAATTGAAGGCTTCCAGACTGAGCGCCATGCCGGATCTAGACAGGTGCCAGATCTCGATGTGGATCAACGGGCATACACGATCGGCAAGGCCTTCATTCCATCAACAATAAAGTTCAGCCGGCATCCGGATATCTCAACCCTACAGCCTCCAGCTAATATCCGACATGTCCGTCAGCCCAACGAGGCGTCTGCGGCAATCAACTTCCCCGGACTTTGCCACGATTCTGACAATTGGTATTCCAATTGTGAAGCACCTCCCATATGCTGACCTTTGCTCTGCTGTAAAGCCGCCTTAATTCAAGCCACACAGTATATCAGAAGTTCAAGTGCTTTAGATATTGATCACATTATATCTGTTGCAAGTGGTCACCGTAAATACTTATCTAATGGCTTGCCTGCCGGCAACATTGCCGCAGCCAAGACTCATCCTCACCACCAACAGACAAGCCAAACGCCAAATCAGGCCCTGCCAAGAACTCCCCGCCAATCTCCCCGTCGAAAGCATAGCAAAAATAAGCCTAATCTGTAACCCCTGGAATGTATAAGCATATCCCACGAAGATCCTTTACCCTAGCTCCTTTCGGTGTGATGAGAATCCTCATTGGCGGACAAAGACGGTCCATTGGTTTAGAGTACGAAGATCTCGTCTAATCCAGACCAATAGGCATGGTATACCTGGATTAGCGTCGACAAAGCAAAACCACCTTAGTCCGTGCCCCTGAATTCTTAATGAGACAAGTGTACCCCGTCATTCCGCGGGTTTAAAGTTCTTGGGTGCTTTTCTTCTCGATGTTTCGCCTGCGAGGTAGACCACCATGAAGCTATTCGCGATATTACGCTTGTTCACTCTCATTTTACCGTGTCTATTCCCGCAAGTCGGCGCTAGTTCACCGACCACTGCTCAACGGCTAGAGGACGCGTCGCAATGTGCCGTGCGTATTCTCCGTCCATCTCGCGCTATGGATTTATTAATCAGTTGTAGATTGAATGTTTCTCGCAATTCGTTGATAAGCCGACATTCTCGACTACCAACAAGGAGCGAATATGCGACGACCATAAACTCAGCAATACGGTAGCCAGCTGTATCCACACAGCATGCCCGATACGAGACTTATTCGGTAGGAACTTCTCAAGATCGGCTTTACAAGGATCAGGATACTCACATTGACGGTTGATGGACAGACTTTCTCAAGCTTGAGCAGACAAACTGCGGCAGACCGGAGCTCGACAACGACCACAATATTAGGGGGATCAACTACACGATCCTTGGGATAGCGGTGTTTTCTATCGTCCTTCGAACTGTCACGAAATCATATCACTTTTCACGATGGGGTGCTGACGATTACCTCATCATCGCGGCTTCGGTAAGAATGCTCATCATGCGCCATATTGTTTTACTAACATTTTAGGTCTTTACTGGAGTTCAATGCATCATCATGGGCCTAAGTGAGTCCCCAATTATACAAATATCCAACCGTTGATTACTGACTCTGCACAGTGACATTTGCAGGCTTGGGCCGGAATATCTGGACACTGAACGACAGTACCATTACCACGTTTCACATCGTAAGTCCAAGCACTTGCCCGTCAGCTTCGACTAACAAATACAGTACCTCCTCGTCGTTCAATACGCCTACGTCCTAAGTCTCTGCCTCATCAAACTCTCAATACTGTACTTCTTTCTCCGAACATTCCCAGACCCAAAATTCAGATTGATCATCAAGTGTACCATCGCCTTCAACATCGTCACGACAATCATCGTCACCATATGCGGCGCACTGCAGCGGCAGCCAATTCACTTGCTCTGGGATGGATGGAAAGAGTATCCGCCTCGCGGGATCACACTCAATATTCCGGCAATCATCTTCTTTCACGCTGGTGTCAACATTGCTCTTGATATCTGGATGTTTGCGTTACCGTTGACGCAGTTGTATTCTTTGGGGCTTCAGCCGAAGAAGAAGGCCGGCGTTATGGTAATTTTTGGTGTTGGTATTTTGTAAGCTTCCCATTCTGATTCTCCGCTGTAGCATTTTCTTAACATCCCTCCAGCCTCATTGCAGCCAGCTGTATCCGAATCCCTTATCTACTCGATTTCACAAGAACATTGAATACATCATGTACGTGTTCCCCATTCTCACCAATCTCGCTCTCTAACGGCCAAAAAACAGCCGACGCACAAGGATTCGTCGTATGGTCCAATATCGAAAGTGGCGTAGGTATCTTGGTAGCCTGTATGCCTCACATGCAACCAATCTTCCGCGCTATCGCAGCACGAGGACGGTCATGGAACATTCTACCCAAAAGCTCGAGCAGTAGCACAGAGGGAATTTTTGTTCAAAGATCTCTGGCGACTATTAAGATGTCGCGGACTGATGGAACTACTTTGATTGAACCGGATGACTTGGTGCTGCATGATACCGGGGGGTTGTTGAGCGATCCTGGTTCGGCGAAGGTTGATAGTAAGTTTGGGAGTGTGAGCGAGACAGGGACATCCAGATGACCGCTTTAGAAGATCATAACTCGTTGCATCATTTAATTTGGCATTGGCATTGCTTTATAGGTCTGCATCGGAATAACCTAGGAGCATAAAGCGCTGCATAATAGCATCTACTTTATATCTATTTATATCATTCTATCGTTCCCTCTACAAGGATACCTTTCGCGGCTTGATGAACACTCTGTCAGGGTTTCTGGTCAAAGACGAAACCGGCTTAGGTCTCGCAACTTCATCTGGCAACGGTAACAACTCGAATGTCCAGATGACAAGAGTGAAGAAGATCTTCATCTCAAGATACGACATCCTCCTTCCAAAGCAACCTCTCGGACCTAGCCCAAAGGCTTGTATGGGAAACGCCTGAGAATCAAAGCTTACGTCTTCTTTTCCATCTGGACCAATAGCCGTCTTGAGCCATCTCTCAGGCCTGAAACTTGAGTAGTCATAGTCCTTCTCCAAAGGCTTTGGCTTGCGAGATTTTACCCACTCACTACTTCGTGACTCGTCGAAGTCGATTGGAGGGGATAATATGCTTGGGCCGTTTGATAAGAAGACAACTGTCGTGCCTTTTGGTACACGAGCGCCTAAGATCTGCGTATCGACCTGGACTTCTCGTAGAGTCATTCCAAAAGGATATGATAAACGAAGAATCTCTTCAACGACTGCATCTAGGTAAGGAACGCGCGTTTGGATGATCTCACTGAGTGAAGGGGCACGTCGCTCAAATTTGGCTTGAGGATAAGCTTGTTGAAGCGCGTTGCGAAGTTCGGACTGGGCTCTCTGCTCGACGCTGAGATAGCTTAAGCCCCATCGCACAGCTGATGAGGTTGTTTCATGGCCGCCGATCAGGTATGTCATCATCTATGAAAGGGTCAGCATCATTCCTCGGATTGAGTGTCATATGAACTCACCTCACTAGTGATGACCTGAGAGTAGTAGTCAGGCTCTCTTCCCTCTTTCTTCGCCAGCGCCTCTTCACGAACCGAGATCTCATCAAGCGCGCACTTCATAGCCTCTCCGTTCGCTCTTCGCCTAATTCCATTAGCTATTTCTCGTTCCTGCAGTTGCTTCGTGAGGACAAAGGCGTTCTTCAGGGTTGTCGAAAAACTTCGATACATCCAATGGAACAGTGGGGGTGAAGGCGTCTTGATGATTTTGGCGACACTCTCGGCGACAGTGGCCAGGGCGTTGAGCTCTTCGTTAAGAGGGAGTTCTTTGAAAGCGACTTCGCCGCCGATCTTTGTTGAGGAGGTGGTGTCTGGGGTGAGTTCTTGGATTTCTTTGACAAGTTGGGTATGTTGAGTATCGAGACCAAAAGCGGCGCACACGATGATATCAAGGGCGGCGTTGTGTACATCCTTTGAGGCCGAGAAGAATTGACCATTGGCTTGCTCAGTCTTCATACCCCAGAGCTCAACCAGTCGAGAAAATTTGTCGTATATTTCGGGCGCCGATACCTTTACTCAAATCAGTCGCTTGATCATGACCCAAATACTCTCATCTCACCTCCGATAAAAACGACGGTGTCATCAAATTCCTCACAAGCTCCTTATTCTTTCTAAACTGCGGATCCGAACTCGTAAGCGTGATATGCGCCCCCGGCACCACGCAATTAAAAACAGCAGTACTCGACGTCCCTCTATCAAACTCCTTCACCCGATGCGTGCAAATCTCAGCGGCCTCATAATGGTCAGCGACGACAACCCACGGCTTTCCAAAAGGGCGGATAAAAGCCTGGAATAATGGTGATTGGTGTTTGATAGCCTGCTTCGCTAACCAGTCGGTCAAGCTCCCGAATGCCTTGACGTCTGGGAGATCGCCCAGGATACGATTGGTTGCGGAGGCGTTATAGGGGATGTCCGCTAAGGGACGGGGTAGCATCGAGCGGTAGAGGGTGTAGGCGATGCCTGCTAAGAGGAGACATCCTAATAAGACCCTCGTGGACGACGAGTCTAAAGCGTCAAGCAACGACATGTCTGCAATCTCTCACTCCAAAAATGTCACGAAAATGAACAGACCCAGCTTGTCACAGTCAAAGCGGGCCAAGGGCATTTTTAAGAGAGTCAACACGGAGATAACAAACTGAGACAATTAATTCAACGTTTTTGCTAGCGACCCCTAAAGAGGTTAGATGGTTTCAACGATGGTAAGCCGCAATTGAGAGGTGCTCCAATTACAGGGCTAGCATTACGAGGTAGGTAGCACAGTTGGGGCCTCGCTAGAGCCCCTTTAAAATCTGATGTGAGAATGCCAAGGCAATTTATTGGTATGACAGGATCAGCCCTGGGACTTTGGTGAAAGAGCTGAGTAGAGACATATGTCTGAGCGCCAATTGACTGACTGTGAATGAGACAGTGATTGCTTTGAAGAGGAGATGCTGAAAGGTGGCGTTCGTCAGACTGCAGGCCACGTAAGATTCTTGATGCAATGCTGATCTGTTTTGGACATTGATGCCCATGACTGTTAGTGCCTCTTTATTTGTTCAGATACTGCAGTGAACCGTTGGGATTTGAATGGCACAAAGGGATCAAGCAGTAATGGCCGGACAAGAGATGGCGTGCCACAATCGATAGTTCACCGCTGGACCAGCTGTATCGGATCTCCGGAATCGGCTCTCGGCATCTTGACACAAACCCAAACCACGAACGCTCAATGCCCAGGCTGCCGAGAAGATCAGACGAATCGAGTAAATGCCGAAGTCGGCTTATGAGTCTTGGTGCAACGATAAGATGCCGACACAGAGACCCCGCTAAGTTAGAACACCGTAGAGGCTAAGAGGTTGATTGGGTCGGGTGCACCTAACATGGATTCTCCACTGAGCCTTATAGGGTAGGCGGGGGGTCCCATTTCCCTACGCTGAGCATAAATAGCGAGGCTAGAAGCGCTATAAACTCCGGGTATGCTCACCATGACCAATTAATGCCAACAAAGCAACGAGAGAGCTGGGCAGGTTGTGAAACAATGAAAATCCTGTATTTCTTGTACTTGAATACAGGTTATTTTATTGCATGTATATCACTCTCTTATGCAAAATAATAAAAAACAATGGAGAAGCATAAAGTATCACATAAGGCATAACAGCAACATGGCCCTGGCGAAGAACGACGCGTGACCTTCTGTGGCTTTAAGATGGAATGGAGTGAATGATTCTGTCGTCTTCCAAAGCTAAGATTTATTGGGACTTTCCAGCGTGTTGGCTGTATATGCCTCACTGAGATGTCATAAGCTTTAACTGTCAATTGATGCTTTTGGTTAGGTAATCTTGGGGCTGAACTTGGTCATATTTGGAAGTAGAAGATGAAAGTGAAGACCCGGTGGTAACAGATGGAAAGAAACAAAGTTGTGAGCGATATACCAATGCGTATAGATAGTGAGTCGCAAGGGGTACGAGATAGCGTTGATCAGTCAATAATGACAACATACCGTGGTGGTACGCGACGAAAGTATATCCCAAGTCCGACCGACATTGCTCGAGAACACCCAACCGCATGTCAGATTAGTAATACAAATGTAAATCTCTTTGCTTTAGCCTTTCATGGACACAGTTGCCTCAACATCAGATCATAACAGGACAACATGACCGCAGACGTGAACTCAGATGTTGTGCGATCTAGGTGGGACAACCATAGCTTCTTATTAGCAGTATGATGTTACTAACCGCCACATTAGAATTGAAGATTTATGCCCTATCCTCGATCAAATCCAGGACAACACTCGATCAGCTTCATTCAGCATCGGCGTCCTTCACCACGGAGAAGTAATCTTCACTCGCAGCCGCGGGTTTCGCGACGTGGAGTCAGAAGCGCCCGCTGATAATGAGACGAATTACCTGCTATGCTCACTTACGAAAGCTTTCACCGCTGCCTGCTGCGGCATCCTTGATGAAGGAAAGCTAGAGTGGACAAAGCCGTTAGAGAGTTATATCCCTTTCCGCAGTGTTGTGGATCCTGTTATTGGCGAAAGAGCGACTGTTCAAGATGCACTCTCACATAATACTGGGCTAGCGCATATGGACCTTACATGGCTGGGGGTAGAATGTGACTGCATCCTTGACGAGAAAGACTTGCTCGAGGTTGTAAGCCATCTCCCTCCGGTCCATGATCTCCGAAGCAGATTTCATTACAACAACTACATGTATGCCGTGGCTGGTTTATTAATTGAGCAACAGTCTGGTCGGCCGTGGTACGAGCTTCTAAAGGAGAGAATCTTAGAACCCCTCGCAATGCATCGAACTGTCACAAATCGAACAAAGTTACCGGATGACAACGTCGCAGAACCTCATGTTGTGCTTGATGACTACTCGCTACACAGGCAAAAGCCATTTAACACAGCCGCTGATAATACTCTCATGGGACCGGCTGGAGGTATCTGGTCCAATGTATCAGATATGATGAAATGGGCCAAAGCGCTCCTCGACGCGATTCACCGCGAGCCTTCGTTCCTCAAAGAGGTACCGACCATCATATCACACAAAGCCAACATCACGACATCCTCTATCAGCGAGAATACATACGGCTTTGGGTTCGCTCGCGCCATGATTCCATCAACAGAGCTAGGAATGCTTTCTCTCAATGGCCCACAGCGAGAACACGTAATCGGTCGAACGTCAAGACCTAGACTTGTTCTGTATCATAATGGTGGTATGTCGGGATACCTGACGGCGTTCTACCTGTTTCCAGAGACAAATTCGGCTATAGTGGCATTGGGGAATTCTCATGGCTTGGGAGATGGACCAGATTGGTCTGTGCAAGCTGTTGCGCAGGCCATGTTCGACCTTCAGCCGCCGATCGACTTTGCTGAAGTATCAAAACAGAGAGCTATGACAGAATATGAGCGATATGCTCGTCTAGCAGCAGACTTTGAGTATTTTCGGAATGAGGAGCGGAGTAAAGAAAAGCGGTCTAATGTTAATCTCGAGGGTTATGTGGGCAAGTACGCCAATTCAGGGTTGAAGATGACGCTGGATATCATACATTACAAAAGTAAAAGCTTGATTATGGTTGTCAATAATATCTCGCCACAGCACCATCGGTTGACTCACTTTGCTGGGGACATGCTGGGATTTCTTCCATCTTCACGGGAAGTCTTTGTCGTTCGGGAATTCATTGATTGGTTCAAATGGAATCAGTTTGTCCTCAACTTTCATCGTCATGAAGAGTTGGGGACCGTGAATGGAGTTAATTGGGCTATGCAAGTCGGCATTACGCCAGTGTACTTTAAGAGGGTTTCCCTACAGGAAGAATGACTCCAAGCGCCGAACCATGACACAACGAAAATAAGCCAAATTCATAATACAGCATATAAGTACGCGAAAAATGATAGCGGCTATGGGTCTAAAATACAAATAGATAGCATTGAAGTGACAGTATGCTTGGCCCACTCAAAGGCTGATGGACCTGTATCGGGATGAGGGAAAGACCCCTCTGTACATAGCATGACATCTTGAAACTTCCTTGAAAAGCCCCAAGGGGCACCGAGAATGTAGACTTTTTGTCAGGCTTGCTATGAAATATACGGCCAAAGCGATATAACATGCCTGGTTCTACTTACCAGACATCGCCTTCTTATATTAGCGGGACGTTATTCACCCAACATAGCAAGTTCACGTAACCTTGAGGCAAAGGTCACATGCACAAAGCTCGATGAAAAGCTTTTTGGCCAACAACGGCGATATATCTCGCTGGTTCCTCTCATTATTCACGGGGCGAAGTCCACCATCGCAACCTTTGATGAACACATGATAGAGATAGAAAACACTCAAGGGAAGAAAACTGAGTTTAGCTTTGGCGAAAGTTGCTTTACCTATCTCTCGTATATTTTCAGGACAAAACCAACACGCGATATCCCAAGCCCTTCTCACCCGTATTTGCAAGAAATTGCTGAGTTCCTCAGAGGATCCTTCGCAGCAAGAGAAGTAACGGTATCATGCCAGTGCAAGTCTCAAACGTATCAAGGATCTTTAAACCATTATCTTACAGTTTCAGATCAGGAGTGTTGGTGTACCTAGGTTCCTCCAGGCGTTGCGTTATGCGCATGTTGAACTAAATCAATTAGATTTAATTCATCGTCAAAGTGCCATGCCGATCCCGATTGCATCTACAACTTTCTCACGGAAAGCCACGGAAAGACCTGTCTTATGTTCATCATCGCTTTCCACGCCAAACCGCCCACTCAGGCATGCCAAAACCGCACTGGTATACGCTTTGCCCATCCGTTGTGCTAGGTCCCCATTTGCTAAATCGAGAAGCCATTTTCGGATAGTCTCCTTGGGTGGTAGCTCCTGTCTATCTTCTGCTATACTGATCTGCTTGGCAAAGAGCTCAGAGATAGTCTTCCAGAGGCCGATCTCTAATAGAACGACACCCAATGCATAGATGTCGTGTTCTTTTGTAAAAGTAGATCCGGGATTACCCTGTCGAGCAGGGTGCCTGTAAAAGTTAGGCTCCACTTCAAAGTCTTGCAGTAGTTCTGTCCCTCCGAGTTCGGGTCTTGCGAAACCCCAACCTGTGAGGTATGGAACATGGTCGAAATCTCTGCCATTGGAATCTGAAGAGATTGGTTTTCCGAGAGGGAACACGGTCACACCGTGGCTAGAAATGTTTTTGTGTACCCAACCAGAGCCATGGACATTCAGAATTGTCGTTCCCAGAGCATGGGCTATAAAGAACCTGTGCCCCAAAGAGAATGGACAATTTCCGCTCTGGATGATATCGTGAAGAGTGACGATCTTCAAGGCCTGGTTTTGGCTGGCGATAGATTGGGGAGGCTGGTAGACAAAGATTGTTTGGTGCTCATCAGGTTGATCGATGTAACCTACGCATTCCAAGACGAACATGCTCTGGTTTTTAGTGTCTTTGTAACCCCCAACGTCAACATCGGAGAGAGAAGAGCTTCGAAGCAGCCAGGCCAAATTACGGATAGGGGCCTTCAGCTCCTGGAGAGCCTTTGTATTTTTCAGTTCCGTTGCTTGCACCAAAGAAGAACTATACTCGCGGTATTCGACAATAATTCTTCTGGTTCTCTCCCATTCATCCACGTAGTCCGCAATTTGCAGGCTCGAATTTGTCATTGAGTCGGATGCTTCGATTATTTGTCCATTTAGAGCCTTGAAGGTATCGGGCGGGCTGGCCTTGGCTAGCAGCTGGCGCTTAGCCACTTTCTGGAGACCTAAATCCCTTGCGGTCTTGCTGTTTGAGAACGTCTTTAGCTTCGCATTCCCGAAGACGGCGGAGACCAAAAGCGTGAGAGACATGGTCTGCCGAAGCCTCTCGGTCCATTGATTGTATTTGACCAAGGTGTCGAGGAGCTTGTCCTTGTCAAACAAGGCCCAATCGAATGATCTCTTCTTCAGGTCCTTTAACTCCACCATCTTGTTCTTGAACCACTCTGACTTTGCTGTAGTCTTCCCAGGGATGGTAGAGGCTATATTTTCACATTCAGGGCTTTCAATACCATCTGATAGCATATCATGCTTGGCCGCCAACAAGCCATACTCAGCAAGACACCTCTTCAGCGCCTGTAGGATGTTGCTCACATCCCGCTTCAAGTTAACTGGAAGTTGCTCGCTAGCCATTAATGCCCCATGATCGTCAAAGAAGAGGGCTTTAAATGATTCGAGGAACAGGAATTCATGTTCAACCTTGGCTAAGATGTCTGTCTTGTCGGAGTCATAATTCTTCACATCTGTCACAACCCCTTTGATGAAAACAGTGATTGTGTAGATCTCATGGATGACTGTGACTGTAGTGCTGAAAATATCCATCTTCGGTAGGACGAGTGTTGCTTTCCTTTGGATAGAGATGAACAGAATTTGCAACAGTTTAGACTATGGCTAGTTCAGAGAAGTATCGAGCCAGAGCTTGTATTAATTTCTTTGACACTAACCACGACCATGTATACCACAACCATGACAAAGGGCCGAGCCTCCTCAGAGATATGACGCGTCATCAGCCTGCATGTCTGACCTTTCAATAGGTGTCGATTGGTTGAAGAGTAGATTACCTCGAGCGGCTGAACTGCATATGCACAAAGGTTGCTTGGCTCCATGACGTGTCAGAGTCGGCTGCACATAATACAAAACCGATTGGCTACAATGGCTAATTGTGACAGCCACTCATCATCGCATTCATGCACATGGAGAGAATGAGGCCTTCCATACTGCCTAACCATAGCACACCAGGAGATAGTCTTTGATATTATAACAATAAGCAGAGCACCCCCAACCCCCGCCTCACTGTTCACTGGACTCTACAGTGGTGAGCTTAAAACATTTTCATAATTGCTTAGCTCCGGACAGACCAAAAGTCTTCAGCGAATCGTCACCAGTAATCACTTCGCTATGCAGCCCTCTGAGATGACAGAACGAAAATACCAAGAATTTCTTTGTAACCTCAATGTTCCATATGCACAGAGAAAGGTAGCTCTCTTTCAGAAATCTCGTGCTCCAGGAACTTGCGAAGGGATACTTAAGCGAAGCGAGTATTTAGACTGGCTAGAGGGTGATGCATCCAAGCTTCTTCACGTTACTGGACCTCCAGGTTCCGGAAAATCAACCATGTTTGGGTTCCTTATCGAAAAACTGGAATTGAAGAGAAAGCATCATTCGTTTGCCAGGCCAACAACAGTAACATATCATGCTTGTGGCAGTAGCCCCCCGCTGGAAATAGTCCGTGTACTCCTCTTTCACCTGTTGGAAGATAAGCCAGAAACTTTCAAATTCATCCAGCAACACTTTGAAACTCATGGAACGAATCTTTTTGGCGACTTCCAGACACTATGGAAGATATTTTGTCATATTGTGGAACATCCTACCCTGGGCAAAGTCTTTGTTCTTCTTGATGGCCTCGACGAATGTGAGGGAGGGCGCGAATTTTTCTCCGCTCTCCGGGATCAATTCCTTCGCTTGCAATCGAGTGGAAACGCCACCATGAAGCTTTTCGTAACATACAGACCCGGCACAGAGCCTGAGGTGGTCCTCAAAGATGTAGGGAGGCATTTACGCATTGACGCCACGATCAACAACGATTTGAACCGGTTTATCGAATGGAAACTGCAGGATCTCTCAAAACAGCAACACTTGCCTGTTGATCTGAAAAGCCAGTTACGTGAAATTCTTACGAAACCTGACAATACCTTCATTTGGGTATCTCTTGTTCTGGAAGAGATTTCACGGCTACCTAAGAATGCTCTGGCCGGGCAAATCCACTATTTACCTCGAGAATTGCACAATTTGTACGACATGATACTGTCTCGGATTGACCCCATGGGCGGAGATTACCGGCTTTCTGCTTTACAATGGATCGTATGTGCACAAAGAACACTGAAATTCGATGAGCTCGCCATAGCGCTTACACCGACTTGGGACGAACTCGAAACGGGCACTAGACCACCAGCCCATGTGGTTCAAGCGCTGGAGGGATTCTTGATGTCTTACCGATCTCTGATTCATGTTAATCCCGTCAGCAAAACCGTGGCGCTCGTGCACTCTTCCTTGAGGGACTTCCTTCTGAAGCGACAACACCGAGTATATTCCATAAGCTACGACGCAACAAATCTGCACATCTTGGACACTTGTTTGAGGTATCTCAGCAGAGAGGAATTCAAATCGATTCCAACACATGTGCACCGCAACACTACAAACTACAGACCATTCAATCGGAAAGCAGCGCTTCAGGACCATCTTCTAGCACACCCTTTTCTCGAATATGCGGCCCTCCAGTGGCCTGCACATGCACATGCAGCAAGCTCGAAACTTGCTCTACGTAAATGGGACTATGATTTTTTTGGAGAGAATGCTAAGTCACTCAATGCCTGGGTACAGATATACTGGGCATTCAAAAGGCCATTTGATGACCCTCCTGAGTTTACCGCCCTTCATGTCGCCGGCCTGTTGGGCCTTGACGCCCTGTTGAACTGGCTCCTAGAGAAAAACCCACCAGCGGTCACTTTTGATATCGACAAAAAAGACACAACGGGCAGCACCGCACTGCACTGGGCTACCAGAAATGGACACATGGGAACAGTAAGGATGTTGATCGACCAAGGCGCTGCTATCGATGTCACAGACAATGAGGAGAGAACACCTCTAGCAGGGGCCGCAACAAATGGTCATGACATGATTGTAGGCGTTCTACTGGCACACGGAGCTACCGTTGATTTTCCGTCGACCTCACCAACCACACCTATTCACCTAGCAGCCAGAAATGGGAAAGCCACTGTGTTAAAGCTATTTGAAGCTGTCTCCGGGGCAGGTTTAGACACCCGTGACAAAAAAGGCCGGACGCCACTATCTTGGGCGGCAATGCATGGTCGCCTCTTTGCAGTAAAGACCTTGTTAGAGCTCGGGGCAAACGTTCACTCAGTAGATAGCGAACATACCCGGACAGCTCTCCACTGGGCAGTTGTGGGTGGCTGCGAAGCAGCATCTCGCCAGAGTCTACTCGATGACGGTGTTGATATTCATATGGACCTTGACGATGAAGGTCAAGATGATCTAGATAGCCGGAACTATTCCAAAGTGGTTCGCGTTTTGTACGAAGCTGGTGCAGATCTCAATGCTCGGGATACAACGCAGTCTATATCGCTCCACTACGCTACAGAGATGCAACATCAAGATTTGCAAAGTTTGCTGATCAAGCTGGGTTCAGACGTTGATATGAAAAACGCACAGAACAAAAGTTCAGCTCAGCTGGCGTGGGATCGGAAACGTCTGGATTGGTCCCTCTACAAACAAGACCAGGAACTGACGAGTGAATTGAGCGAGGCGGGCAACTCTGAGGTCGCTGTTCTTCGCCGTATCAATGATATTTTCGATGGACCTGAGGTAATCTTAATCCCTCTTACATTCGAACCATGATGCCCAACACGTGCTAAGACTCAACCACAGATCATTTTTCGAAAGACACCCAAAACAGTAGTAGTCAAAAATATGAGACGCAAAAAGCAGATGCAAGAGGTAAAGAAGATACGCGAGAGACTTCAGGCGTGCTTTCTACGAGAACACAAAATACTACAAAAGATCAATCATCCTAATATTGTCTCATATCTCGGATACGATGAGGACCCAGAAACCAAAACCTGTTCTCTTTATCTGGAGTTTTGCAATGCTAGGGACTTGTCCGATTATGAGACGTGGGGCAATGGACATATGGATGCTTCCTGCCCGCAAGGTAGCATTCCAAATGAACAATGCGGTGCATCTGAAGAGGGATCTGCCTCTGGGGTTGAAGATGCAGTTCTACAAGAAAGTGAGGTTTGGTCATTTATTTTTCTCTTGGCAGCTGCAATAGCCTATTGTCACCATGGGCTTTCGATGAGGCATGTTAGAAATCTCGATGAGGCTGAGTTTGGCTTCGAGCCCGACTGGTCCTGCATTCTTCATCGAGATATTAAGCCCCGGAACAGTAAGAGGAACAAGATTTTTTTCTTTGGTGGTAACTCGAGTAACCATTATTCATAGTTGCACTACACATCCAGAGTGACGGAACCAGAATTCCGAAACTCTGCGACTTGGGATTGTCCAAGCAACTGATACCGGAAATGGACACCAACACCGATGTGACGGCTACGAAACGCTACGCTCCAAGTGCACGTGGTATCCACCCAAGAGTCTTGTTGCTTACATGCTTATAACTCCTATAGGACAAGCCTCGGACCGTAAAGAGTGATATTTATTCATTTGGAGGTATGAGACAACATATGTATTGATTTAGCTGCCAAGCTGACATAACGGGAAAAGCAACATTTAACAATCTTGATATTGCGGCATGGTCTACGGAGCTGGAGTCATTACTCGAAGCTTGTTTGTCGTCTGAAGGCTCTGATAGACCAAGCAGCTTTTGCATTCTTCAAATTGCGTGGGGCCACATCAGTGCGGACTTGAGAAGGCGATATAGCTCTTTGCCAGAACTCCTCGGTTCCAGATTTTTGCTTGGAGCGTTCGAAGTGATTGCAGGCCAATTGGACTCCGAAAATGGATTGGAGACGAGATTGGCTCGTCAACAGAGAGAGAAACTCCTCAAGCGACTTGGGTGGCTCTCTAGAGATGGGGCAATCGAGCTCTTTCGAAAACATGGAAAATCACTTCATCTTGCCGTCCTCCTAGGGGAAGATGCCAAGGTTCAAGAATTATTGAGAGATGCTACCGAGGCAAGTGTTAATAAAGGATGGGGCAAGTCTGGATGGACCCCACTACATCTAGCGGCGCAGAATGATAATCTCGGAATTGTGGAGATGCTCCTAAAGTCTGGGGCAGACAAAGGGGCCATAGACGAATTCGGACATGTTCCATACTACTATGCGTCAAATGGGGGTTATAAATGGATGGATATCATTGCTCATTCTGCCAACTAATAGTTAGTCCGGAAAATAGACAAGCTGAAATGAGTGAATAGTCTACTTCAACGTTTTTTTCATTACTCTTGCCATGAACATATGCCTTGAAAATGGAACCTAACAGCATGAGGACCTCCATGTCGTGGCCGATGTTGCAAGTTTCTCCTGTTCCGTACTTCGTGAAATTCGGGTTGGGTAAATAATTTGGTCAACTGTTACAGAACTAAACTCGCACCTTTCAAGCCAGCAATTGTTCAAAGTACTCCAGTTCTTCGCATGAGTTTGAGATAACAATACTCGAATTCTGTCACAAGCACTTAGTATTGTTAGGCCTATGCGGTGAAAATAGGACCACTGCGGAGCAAAAAGAAATTTTAACTTCGGCCCTAGGCGAGTCTGATACAACGTTTCCTCAACTCGTGACGAAAGTGATAAATTCTTCCTCTGAAATGTGATGCGTATTTCCATTTCCGCTCCGGTCTGTAACACTGAATGCCACTGTGTTCTAGAAATAGCAAAAGAAATAAGCAATAAGATTTGCAGTCTAGGGCCTTAACTTACCATCGCAGTATCTATAGTGATACCCTTTGATCAAATTCCCATATTGACTTGTGAATCTCTAGTATCGGTGAACAGTAATTAGAGCGCTTTGACGTTGGATGGCATTATTCAGGCAACACCGAGGTGACAATAGGATTAGCCAAATCAAAGGCCATTGGGCCTACAGGGGATTGAGGGGGGGATATTCCAGTATAGAGCATGGCGTATTGGCAATTCCTTTGGAAGGCCCCGACCGGCACCGAGAAATCTGTATCTGCAGGGTATCGCTGCGTGACGTAGTAAGGCGACTGGCCCTCATCGTACCAAAGTAAATGGTTCGTCGGAAGAAGATCGTCGGCCGCGGGAGGAGATACAACTGCAGGCGGTATCTGGTGCGGCATATGGAGAAGAGAATAATCCGTTTGGACTAGCCGATCGAGCACAAAGAGACTCCAGTAAACGCAGCGCCTTTCTTCCTCCTCGTAAGGGATCAACGCTTCCCGCTCGTCCTCAAGGTATTTTCCAGGGCCCACGTGTAGAATCAAAGCCATAGTATTGGCATCTCCGATACTCAGATAAGCACGCCCAAGATCCTCATGGGTATACTCGTAGAATGCGAGCAGAATAGAACACTGAACAAGCTCGATACTTGGGCTATCAATGGCTCGCAGGACGCTCAAGATTTGCTTGGCGGACCGATAGACAGCCCTGCCAGCATTCTCTTCTCCTTTGATACTTGAATCATCGTTTTGAGAAAAGAGCTGCATGCATACAACCAGAAGGGTAGTCGCAGGGTCCTGAAGCTCTTGATCCGAAAACGAGTCAGAACCGGTAATATTGGTGCGCAAGGCAAAGAGCTCTGGATGAACTATAGTAAGGTATGGGTTTATAGTCTCCAGGTAGTGTTGAACTGAGTGACTCGGAATGGCGTTCCGTGAAGAAAGCAGGCTTAAAATCATAGAGCTGGAAATATCGAGGAACGGCTTGAGCGTCCCCGGTATGTGAGGTGGAGATTTTATGGCATGCTCCGGTCTTATGACTGTTGTGACGGAGGGAGTATACATATAGTCATAACAGCATTTGTTGCTGAGCCTGGTCAGTTAGACAAACTGTGAGCATTGGAGTGAGACGGATTTCTACATACCGCTTACAGCGCGAACAGCCAGGCAACGATTTATCGCATTTCTTCTTGGTACGCGTGCACTTCTCACAGGCTCTATCAGCCTTTTTCAAGCCTTCTGTAATTTCAGGGCTTGGTGAGAGTGATGTGAAGCGAGGTTTGATAGATCTGCATGAGGGACTCATGGTGGCGTGTGTATGCTGGGGATGATGAGAATGACTCCAGATATGAGGTCTGGTAGGTGTAGTCAATAGAAGGTTCTCTTGGCAATATAGTGCGAGATATAGATTTTGAGGCAAATACCATAAAGGGAGAAACAGAGTCTTGGTATGAACAAGAAAGGGGAGAGTGCTATTTAACGTTTTATGTAAGACAGCTTCCTACTTAACCCTTGAGTTTCAGGCTGCAGGCTAATTAACCGCTAGTTGGGGGCAGTCCTAAGACGCAAAGAGAAAAGAAAAAGGCTGAAGAAGTTTATTTTAAGACAAGAGGTTACACAATATGGAGTGAATCCCCCAGTTAATACCGTCATGACAGTGGCTTTGACTGTCAAGCTGCCAAGTTACAGGGATGGTGGCATCTGGTCTTGGGGAAATTTTAGGGCTGCGAGAGTGGGAACTTTTTCAAGCCAGACGATTCAGGTTAGTGACTCGCTCGCTATACGACATTGTCGGAGCAGGGGTCGGGTTTTTGACTGCACGAGTTAGTGGGATATGCAACGGGATTATCCGTACTCGTTTTTCGTTATCTGATCGCTTACCTTTTTGGAAGATTTTTGAGAAGGTCTAGATGCTTAGAATGACATGGGGTTTCCTTGCTGAGTTGTCAAGACACCTTGTGTAACAACGCTGTTTAATTGCTTACACGTGAAGAGATTGTGGTGGTGTAGAGAATTGCAACTGGGGCCCCGCATCCGTGACATTCCTCGCCTCCACCCGCTAAGTCAATGTACCGGCCGGGTGCAGTTGACAGTTCGCGACGGGCGTAACAAGCGATGTCAATTCTCCAAGCTGATATCCACGCCACCTGGCTGCGTTATTGAAACCTTCATTTCGCAAGGACCTCGCCTGATGTGACGAGAAGTAGTGTGCATCACGTGCTGGCGTGAATGGGCTCCCGAGCGAGGAATGTCTGCTCCGGCATCGTGCCCCCTGTCCACATCATCAAACCCACCAATAGATCCATGTCACGACTCAAGACAGACGATGTCTGTTTTTCAGCCGCCCCACTGTGTCGCGGTCTTGCGCCGTATCCCGACGCTCTGTGGCCGTCGGGCCAAGCCTGTAAATCCCGACGGTGAGTCTGCTGCGGCGGTCTTGGAGCGATTCCCGACACTTGTCAGCCGTCGGGTTATACAAGCGAATCCCGACGATGACCCCACACACAAGATAACGCTTGCGGACTAGTCGAGTTCTAGCCCCCGGGAATTAGCTGTGAGTTATGGGGACGTCAACACAAGAAACTAGGTGCTCTAGGGTGCGCAAATTCACGATGCGTAGGTTAGCGTATGGATTAGAGGATTCAGTAGTTTCTATCGTATGCTATCAGTGGGACTTTGTGATGCGGCCCGAAAAGATAAATATGCCGCCTTTATCGCTTTATATCATGGTCAGACGTCCCGCCGTCTCGCGTCTTACATTTCTCCTCTCCGCGACCTCCTGGCTCGACCGACCCAACGAAACGATGCGAAGAATATACAACGAAAGAAATCCCATAACCCGTCTCCATGTACGCCGTATTAGTGCAAATATTCATTCTGGAATCTAAACGCTATGTTAAACCGCACCAGGCGATAGATCCCCTTCAGGCTCATCCAGCGGCAAGTGGTGTTCCACCAAAAACCTCACCATCCACTTGTCAAACTTGTAAGTTTGCATCGCGGCAGGCCTCGTACACGTCTTTTGGAACAGCTCGAGTCGTTTTACCTGCACTCGTCAGAATTTAACCACTAACACCGATTTCTCTACTGACCGAGTTCTGAATCGAAGGCCAGTATTTTTGCAGCGCATAGATGGTCTCGTAATTGGACTCCAGCTTGGCTCGGATATCAGCCGTGTCATCCTGCTGCCCGAAAATGAGCGTGTGCAGGAGTACCGCTGAAGAGGCAACTGTCATGTAGCCCACCCCCCCAAAGACCATGGCGCAGTTCGGAACTTGGCGGGACAGTTTGACCAGCTCGCTAATCGACCTTGCGTGATACTTGCAGAGCTCGGCGTACTCTATCGTCTTGGGGGTCTGCGCCCGGTTTAGGTCCAGGAACCGGAACAGTAGGAGCACGAAATGCTGGTGGTAGCCTGTATGTATGGCGAGGAACGGTCCCCCAAGTTTCTTAGCACTGTGTGCACGAAGGTTCTCCTCTGTCGCCTTCTTCTCCTCGGGGAGACCCGCTTCCCAGAGTTGTAGGCCTTCTGCTAGATCTGCGACGCGCTGCATCACGTAATCTTCAGAGATGCCCTCCTGATTCCACTGCTTATTCAAGTCCCGGATGGGCCCGAGCTGTTTTGCAAGCATGATGTTGTATGCCCAGAGCCCAAGGGTACGAGGGCGCGCAGGCGATCTCTCACCATTACCTTGGTCAACATCCAGGTGGTGAAAGTAGTCTTCATCCATTGGTAGGGGAGTCTCCTGACTAAAGTCTGGCATCGCGCGACGGAGGTTGCGGCCGACTGAACTCCAACGGTCAGCCATGAATAGTGTCCACCATACCCTGCATTTTGTTTCACGTAGAACTTCAGAGTCCTCCAGGTCCGGACGATCCAAGCCAAGAATCTCAGCCATACGAATGCCAAGAGTAACAAACAGAGCCTCAGATTCTGGATTTTTCGACGAAGATGACAAATTTGCGAGCAGCACGCAGGTCTGGATATTCTCCAGACAAATGTTCTCCATATCCAGCTTCAGTAAGTATTTAGACTTTTCCATAAAAGCAGGTCCAAGGGATGCTATCTCAGGTTTATCATGGAATCGGCAGCCAAACGCCAGTATCGCGGAGAGCAAGGCATCTCCCAACGTATCTTCCCTCACTGCAGTCCGCAACGTGGGAAGATGGAAGAGCGTATGAGGCCTGTCAAGTATATAGTAAATATACTTCTCCACAAGTTCTTCAATGAGGTCATGCGAGAGACAAGCCCTTGGATCTAGATCCTCGACCGAGAAACGCTGTGGCTGGGGAGAGACAGGCCGTGGCTGGACGAGCGAACACTGATGATTCTGCTTCTTGGCACAGGCATCACAGGGGCCTTCAGGCTTCGTCCGGAAGCACTTTTTGCGCCTCCTTCTGCACCTGGTGCACGCTGTAGGGAGTTTCATGGTGCTGCTGCTCTCGATTGGACCTGTGATGAGTTGAAATCACGGGGAAAAAAGAGGGGAAAGGCTGTTGTGGCATGCTCAGTTACTTAATCCGCTGACTAACGGTATATCACATTCGGATGCATGAGAACTAGTTCGGAAATAGCAGCTAGTGAGACTGTCTAACCTTGTCGGTGCAGATGCAGGGTCTGAAATGCATGGTCAGAGCAACGGCATAGGGCGGCCGCTGCTAAACCCTTCTTGTCCAGCTCGGGACTCTACGTACCGACCTGCCAGACAATGACCTTCTAGACCCTGCCCTGATTGTGGATCCCCGTCCCCGGAATATCTATAGATAAATTGCCAAACCTCATTCAACCGACGACTTGACTCCTCTCAACTCACTGTTCTTCACAGTAACTCAGGCATCTATTTGCCCACTATGCTCTTCAACTCGAAGAAAGCGAACCTCTGGTTCTCTTGTCTCATTCCTTGCACCTGCATGGCTGTCAATGGTTATGACTCCTCTACGTTCAACGCTGCGCAGGGCTCGGTTCATTTCATGAACTACTTTAACAACCCCGTATGATCCTCTTCTACCAACTCCATAGATGTATCGTATCTAAAATCTCAATCCCCAGTCTCCATCCACTATCGGCTCGGTCAATACCGCCATGGCCGTAAGCGGCATCATTACAGGTACTCGCCCATCACTCTGTGTCAACGGCTTGATGCTTATAACGTCCAGGTGTTTTCCTGTCTGCTCCGGTCTCTGACCGATTCGGTCGTAAATGGAGTATGTGGGCGGGAGCTGTACTAGTCATCATCTCAACGTTTGTTTCGACATTTACACCTCCCGTTATCGGCGGTTACATCGCCGGTCGTACCATCACCGGTTTCGGCCAGGGACTGATGCTGCCGGCCGGACCGGTCTTTATCAATGAGATAGCACCGGCCAAACTTCGGGGCACTATCATGAGTTTCTGGCAGCTCAACTTTGCTATAGGATCTTTTCTCGCGTATTGGATTAACTACGCATGCTCCAAGAACGCCGAGAGGCTCGGAGAATGGGATTGGAGGATCGTCATGTTCCTTCAAATCTTCTTTCCTATCATCATCATTTCTGGGCTTTTCTTCTGCCCTGAGACCCCAAGATGGTACGCGTTTGGAACCCTACTGTGACGAGATGCTTTTTTGAACCTGATTCTCACCAAACTATAGGTATGTCCAGAACGACAGATTCGAAGAAGCATACAATATTCTCTTGCAGATCCGCGACGACCCAGACCTTGTTGCCCAAGAGATGCAAGATATACGACAAGCCATTGCGTTTGAAAAGAAAGAAACAAACAGCACTTGGGCCCGATACAAACTGCTTTGGACGGATAAGTCTGTGAGAAAGCGCATTCGTAAGTCTCATTGTCCCTGTCCATGCTCAATACCTAACCTCGCTAGTCCTCGCGGCTACTATGAATATTGGACAACAACTCACCGGAAACAACTCTCTCGCAACATACTCCACAATCATTTACAAAAAGGTCTTTACTTCAAACAGCCAGATCCAACTTATCAATGCCTTGGCTGGAACCTTCAACATCCTCTTCACTCTGAACGCCACTTGGATGACTGATCTCGTGGGCCGAAGACCTCTCCTCCTCGTTGGTGTCGCGGGCCTAGCAGTCTGCATGTTTGCAGCCGCAGCCGTTGTCACTGAGACGCCAACTCTAGAAGATGGATCCAAGTCTCCCAGCGTAGGTATCGCGACTGTATTCTTGATGTTCCTTTTCGCATTCTTCTTCAAGCCTTCTTGGGGCGCGACAGTCTGGATCTGGACTTCAGAGATCTTCTCCATGAATATTCGTGCGCAGGCGGTTGCTATGACCACTCAGTGCCAGTCTATCGCCAGTATCATTCTCCGTAAGTATCCATTTTTCGTTCTCCCTAAACCTATCACTAACAAAGAGTGCAGAGCAAATCTTTCCCATATTTCTTTCTGCCAAAGGATTGTAAGTTACCCCCAGTCTACCTGAAATCGCAATGTAGTAACTCTTGTCGCAGCTACGCTATGTATATGTTTGGTGGTATTAATATCCTGCTCTTTGCATTTGTGTGGTTCTGCATCCCTGAAACTAAGGGCGTGCCCTTAGAGCATATGGATGTACTGTTTGGTGGCGCAGATCATGCAATGGTGGGAGCCGCCATCGTCAGTGAGAAGACTGTCCATGATGAGATGGTTTCCGTCCATGCCGCAAAGACCCCGGTGGTCCATCAGGCTAAGCACGACAGTGTTGTTTGAGCAAATGAACTTCATGAGATTTGGGCATAGCATAGCACACGACACATGGTTATCCTCTATCTAGGTCAGACTGGTCGGTAGTTTATTCATGAAAAAGGGAGTCAATTGGACAGGAAACAATTATGATTTCTGTTACACTGTTAATGAGATTGCTGTTCAGCTAGGATTCTTTCATCCTTCAATTTCTATCTTCAGCTCGGCGTGACCCTTCCTCTAATACGAAGACACCCGGCTCTGGGTGTTCCTCATCATACTTCCAGAGCAACGCCTGAGCCTCTTCATTCTCCCCGCAATCGAACTCGACTATGTACGATATCCAGGGTCTAGTTGGATATCGCCCTTGCTTCGCAGTCTCATCATGTGACATATTCCATGTCCATGAATGGTGATGATAGTGCCTGAGCTCATAAGTCTCGTTCACGGTACCTTGAAAAGTCATGTAGAGACGGCCATTCCAGACGCTGACGTCGATGCGGAAATTGTAAAGAGTGTTCCAATAGTGGCCTGCGTATGTCTCGAGGTTCAAATGTCTGGTGCCTTTTTCTCGTGTCTTTTCAAGTTCATCTTCAATTTTCGCTGGCAGAGATAGAGCCGCCCTCGCAGCCACAGTAGCAAAATGCAGAAAGTCGATTCTCTCAGTACTGCCTGACAGCTTATGCATGATCATTTGAGGAATCCAATCGCATGCATCGCCCAAGGCCGACGAGTTCTGCATTGCGATGATGGCCGCCTTGGTATCTGGTAAAAGATAAACAGCTGTGTTGAATCCTTGAATGCTTCCGCCATGATATAGAACGAGCTGACTTGGAGCTCCTTGCCTAATTACTGGCATTGAGGGAATAAGCAGATAGTTGTAATTGAGAGTGCCTAACGAACAGGGGAGCTGTGCATGCCCCTAGCCCAGTGCATAAGACTGCTCGCGCAAAGAGGTGACGCCAAGCTGATTGTGAGGTCGGAGGATTGTAGTGAGCTGCTTGAATGGCGAGTTTAGGGTTGAAGTCGTCTTGTTGTTGAACTGATTATTGACTGCGTGTATAAAGCTGCTGTAGTATTTGGCCAGGTCATTGGTGCAGCTTCTAATGGCCCTACCAGCTCCCATGATGGTTTTGTGGGATATGGTAGGAATTGGAACTTCATATGAAGAGGCATCTTTTAGGGCGTAATAGGCCTTTGCTGCATTGGAATTCCCAGCAAGGTCCTCCATAGATGTTCGATGCATCCCCAGCGGTTCCCATACCCTCCTTGAAAACCTGTTTAAGGCTCTTCTGCTCAACAATCTTAATGATTCGGCCAACCACGTTGTAGGCGTAGTTATTGTAGAGGAAGTCAGTCCTGAAGTCTCTAACGATAGGTTAAGTAGCCTAGGTCTGTATACCCTCTGACTTTGGGAGCAGGATATTCCCTGTATGTGAAATCCAGATGGCGTTGCTACGCGCCACTCCAGTGCGATGGGATAAGAGATCAGCGATAGTGATCTGCGAGCCGCGGCCCTCGAATGTATCTTGGAGCTCGGGCAGTAGTGAGGCGACACGAGTCGACCACCCGAGCTTCCCTTCCTCAACCAGCATGCCCACTAAAGCTGCCACCATGCCTTTGGTCACAGAGCCGATGAAGTACGTTGTATCGCCATCCGGTGTATTCTGACCTTCAACGTCTCGGGAACCGAGATACTTGGCATAGGCTTCTTTCCCACCCGAAACAACGGATAACGAAAGTCCAATGGCGCCACTGACCTTGCAGATGTAGTCCATCTGAGGCTCTAGAGAGACGATAGCATCGTGTATGTTAGTACGGGAGTAGCTCAGCATGGTGAGGTCTTGAGAAGTCAATGATGTTGTCGTAGTGGAATGATATGAAAGCGAGTAATCCAGCGAATGATGCTCCTTTTCAATATTTGACTCTGTAGACTTGATGAGGGGAACTTGTTTGTTGTTTGTTTCCGTTTGCTTTGTTCTCTTGCGCCACTGGAAGTTTAAAAAACAAACACGGCAGATGCTCTGGCTTTTGCCGTTCGCAACTCTGCAATCCGAGGTCGAAATGGCAAGCCTTCGGCTTCAATTGATCGACGTTGTACTGCCTCTTAACTCCCCTTGGAGGGTAGCCATGGTAAGTTAAATGACAATTTGGCTAACCAAGGGGGAATTCCGCTCGGCCGAGAGCAACATCACATAACCATCTCTCGAGAAACGAGACGCCTCGAATGATTCGCTGAAGTTCTGGCCGGATCTGATGACAAAAATACTGGCAGCTTTTGCCAGTATACTCAAGGTTTAGGCACCAGGCTTGTTTGCTGCAAGTAAGCTGACGACATTGTAACCTCGGTCTTCCAACTCAAACAAAGAGCCCTCATATGCAGTCAAAAGGACCGACCTTTCCTCTGGCGGTCACACCACTTTCGGTTGATGTACGTGGCATAAGACAATGCGATTTCCTGAAATTCTCTACACAACGGTTATTTGATGTAATTTGCCGTACCTGATCAAGTTGGAGGAGGTTTTCGGGTGGCTACAGAGAGAAGGGACTGGCCATAAATCGATAAATCGAAGGGATCATTTGATCATGACTGGATTATTGCAGACCATACCTTATGGGATTATTTAAGGGCACTATGGATTTAATAGTGTCCCCGCAAAGGTTTCCGAAAACTGCATCAATTTTCGATCTGGTTGATCGATGATAAACATGGAAGCTAATGAAGAAGCTAAGCCTTGGTATGGGCTGTTAATTGCTGACTGCATACAAAACCCGCTGACGGTGCATTCAGCTGGTCCAATATTGGACCAATAACGTCACGGACTTAAGTTATAGTGAGGCACGAGAGCATCAATCCTTGCAAGGCAACAAATAAACCCCTCGTATTTATTGTTCAACCCCAGAGCCATTTGCAATTTCTCTTTTCGCCCTCAAACATGCTCTCTTTCACATCTCCCTTCTGTCATTTCTAGCACTGCAATATTTCTGTGCCTAGTGGCAGTTGCGTATCGCATCATGGTAGCAAAAAAGGCACGCGTGGAGCTGGAGAAACAGCTAAAGAATGATGACCGAGATGTTGCCGACCTGTGGAAGGAAGCTCTCAAGAGCTATGAGAGCATCGTCGGTTTCGGTCTGCAGCGCAAATTCGACAATGTCCAGTCCATGCTTGACTACGGAACTGACCAGATGAACAACTTTCACAAGTTCAGGCACGACAAGGGCAAGGTCGATCGATTGAGGACCTTGTTCTCTTCCAATCTAGATCTCGTTGAACAAGGCGCCAACCAGATTATTGCCGCCGCAGCGCCGGCTTTTCCACCAGCCGCTGCCATTGGAACAGCTTTGACCTACATGCTTCAAGCTTGTCGGTCTGTTTCTGCCGACTACGATATTGTGATTGTCTTCTTTGAGGACATGAACAGCTTCTTAGGTCGGATTACAATTCTGGAGAAGAGATTGCCGCAAGATAAGGCTTATCAGAACTGCTTGATGGAGGTATTCACCTCGCTTCTGACCATGTGCGGTTTTGCGCACAAGTATATCGAGCTAGGTCGCTTCAAGAAGTGGATTTCGAATCTGTTCAAGGGTGACGACGGAGAGCTTGGTGGCGCGAGAGCGAATATGAACAAGAACTTGGATCATTTGCAGCAGGCGACCGAATTTGCCATCCTCGGTAACACAGAAGAGACTCTTGCAATGGCATCGCAGCTTGATGAGAACCAGAAGTCTCACGCCGAGATGCTCGAGCGAGTCGGTCATACCATCGACACCATTCATGAGAACACGGAGAATATTCGCGGCGACATTGCCAAGATCCTTAAGCTCTTTGGCGGACAGAAGAAGGAAAAGACCATGGAGAAACCGCAAGCGAACAAACCTACTTCTTCTAACAGTATTCGCAATGCCATGCCTATAGTCTTCAACGACGACCACGAGTATCACGCCCTGAAGGAAACACTTCTTCCAGACTCGTGCAGCTGGCTCTTCTCCGAACCCGAGTGGGAAGAATGGCTGAAGCTCCCAGATGGCACACGGCCCATCCTTGCAGTGACATCAGAGCCCGGTACGGGTAAAAGTCACATGGCCGCCGCGTTACACGACAAACTCGCCCAAAGGGCTAGCGAGGATGAGAAAGGCCATACTTGCGTGGCACACTTTTACTTCCGTGAACAAGAAGACGCCTTTGCTTTCCTGCTCTGCGGCGTCATCACGGTCATCAATCGTATCGCAGAAACAAACTATGCAGCTTGTGAGAAGCTGAATGCACAGATAGCTCGAGATGACCTTGACATTGATACAAAGCTCTGGCAGAACCTCGTTGAACATCTTCTCGGTGCTGTATTTGCGCCGGATTCCAAATTTAACCTCTTTATTGTGTTAGATGGACTTGACGAGCTTCGTGATTGGGCCAACTTCAAACTGTTTCTGACCGACTACTTCAACGAAAAGGGATTGAAAATCTCTCTAGTTGTTACTTCTAGACCTGAGAAGTTGGATGATCTCCCAGAGGGTACAAAGGTGACTCGAATTGAAGCGACCAAGAAGAAGCAGATTCAAGATCTGAGGGCTTTGGTCTGGAGCGAGATCAACGCTCTCAATAACTTGAGACGATTTAGCCGTTATGTGCAGCAAAGAATCGCTGATAACATCGAAGAGGCTTCACCCAGTCAGTATATCTCTACGTTCATCTCGATAAATAGCTCACACTGTACTAGATATGCTCTACGCTCAGCACCTGCTGGGTCGCCTTGACGATCTAGGTCGTGAGGGAGCTGTCCTCCGAGCTCTGAACCAAGACAAGCCCAAGACCCTTCACGGAATCTATGAGATCCTTCTCGCAGAATGTCAACGCCGCATGCCGCCCAAACACCAGGAGGTAGCTGCGGCGTTACTCCACTGGGTCGCCTTCTCCAAGAGGCTCTTGACTCTGGCCGAGGTCCAGTCCCTGGTTAAGTATCTTGCACAGGACAACGAATTCGACATTGAAGAAATACGTGAGCTATTCGACAAGTTCCTGAGGATCGGCGGTCCTGGCTATGATACAGAGGTCCTGGCGAGACTTCAGGCCAGTCAAGCGACAGCAGTTCAAGACCTGAAGCAAGATGATGACGATAAACACGACAGTATCTATGACGATGGACCACTGTCCGTCACCTTCAAGGAGCGCTCTATGAGGCATTATTTTACGAATAGCACTCATGGCGCGTCAGATTTCAGATGGGGTCCTTCAGAAGCGAATCGGAAAATGTTCGTCACTAGCGCAGCACTACTAAAACAGCCCCGTGAAGCTGTATGCGAAGGACTCCTCAAGTACGCAGCGTTATGGTTCATATCGCATTTCACGTCAATGGATATGAACCAGCACACGCCCCAGGAGCAGGTTGAAGTGCTGGAAGCTTTTGCAGAGACAATGGCTGACAAAACAGGCCTCGCTGAGATGATGGCCAAGAGCGGCATTCTGTATGGGAAGCGTGGTGGTGGTTCCGTGACCAATGTCAAGGTTGCTGAGTGGGCGGGACTTCTTGAGAAGTCGGATATCAAGGACGGGCTGAGTGAATTTGCCGTTGAGTGGTGGCAGCGTGTTGGGTCTGATCCTGCGATTTGTCGCGTGGATATCGCAAAGGGTTATCTGCGTCGGCTTTACGTGGCGCAGAATTCGAAGGACGCTTTTGACTCGTGGCAGCAACTTCATGGCGTTTTGCAGGTGGTAGGTATCTCCTCAAGTAACCATTGCTACACCAGAGAGACTAATATGTTGTGAATCTCTAGTCTGAGTTGACAAAACTGTTGATGGATCAAGCCGTCATAAACTTCCCCGATCGATTTGAGGGCAAAGACGCCTTCAGTAAGGATAGTGAGGAGTTCGATGAAACTGCAGCAAGTCTTGGAATCTTGAATCTCTTCGGCGACGAGATCAAGCCTGACGCTGCAGCGCATCGGGCGGTGGCAGAAGTCCTCGACGAGTATGAGCTTCTGGATCCAGCTGAGAAGACATGCCGCGCTGCTCTTGATCTCTGCAAGTCTGGCGACGAGGAGTTCTACAGAGCTTCATGCGTCTTGTCTAGCCTCCTCATTGAACAGAAGAAGAAACAGGAAGCCTGCGAAGTGGCACAGACTGCAGTCAATGGATTATCAACAGGTGATGTCCCTCCGGCGTTGAAGCGTAAGGTCTACACGACGCTTGCCAGGGCGCAACGCAAACTTCGTCAATACGACGCTGCGCTCCAATCGTTTTTCAAGGCGAAAGAGAGCGACCCCGATGGAATAACTCCAGGTGAAGATCTCGTAGACGAGCTCAAGGTCGTGGAGAAGAAGGACAAGGCTCAGTATATCAAAATGCTGAAGGAGTGGAGTCTCGTGGAGCGGATCACATGGATTGCATCGGATTACGCAGAGGACGGTGAAGAAAGACATGCTCTCTTTTGCGACATTGCTTCAGAAACAGGTGAGCAAGAATTTATCGTAAAGTTCTACCAAGAGGCCATCGATTTTCTGGATAATCTCGATGCCGCTCTTCCTCTTCGACTTGACCTCGCCGTTATATACTTCGAGGTATGTCGCGAGCCCGAGAAGGCGCTCAAGCTACTGGACCAGGTATTCGACACGCGTGCAACAGGTCTCAGGTTCCCGATCCTTGGCGGAACTGCGCTCTTGATGATGCTCCGAGCCGTTGATTGTATGACTAATGTTCAGCTCGAGCTCTTCCGCAAGTCTCGTGATCCGGTCTACAAAACGGAACGGCTCACTGCGCTCGCTGGCCTTATGCAACGGCCGTTTGCTTCAGACGTTCCCAGAACATCAGCATCCTGGACCAGTTTTCATCGTGTTGGGCTAGCGTATATGTACCTTGTCATGGGGCCACTTGAAAAGTTCCAGCAAGCCATCCAGTCTCTGCTGCATGACTGTTTTGCGGGTCTTAACGATTCCGTTGGATGGAACGATGCGCCTTATCTGTGGATGCTGGCGCAGTCATTATCCCTGATGAGCAAGGCGCTGAGGAACGATGCGGAGCTTGATAGATGTGCTCGCATTGTTGCGTCAGCTGTCTTTTCAAGACTAGGCAATACCGACAAAGCCGAGGACGATGATGCGTCAGCAGAAGAAGAGGCTAAAGACCAAGGGGAGATTAAGGCTGAGGAAGAAAATGACGAACCTCCCGCCAATGTCGACACTAGCGATGATGAGGAGGACATAGCTGAACCACCTACAGATGAGGGAGACTTGGTCGACCCAGAAGACGGGTACTACACCTGCGGTGGCTTCTGCAACCCTGCGCGGAAATTCAAATGGTGGGCCGGACGCTCAGCGTACCTATATATAACATTCGCGTCAGGCATGATCTGCGAGGAGTGCCAGGCTGAGTATGACGCTATTGAACGTGGTGAGAAGAAGTTCAAGGGCAGATACTTTTATGGCCTTGGTCAGGATAAGCTGAAGCTTCCTGTCGAGGGCTGGCGAGGTGTGAAGAATGGCGTTATGAGGATTGAGGGGCAGGAGGATGTTGCTGTGGATGATTTCTTTAAGAAGTTGGAGACTGATGTTGTGAAAAATGCTTGGGATAGGATCTGGGCTGGTGATGGATTTTGAGGACTGTCCTATGCATATGCAATTGATCTCTCGACTTACCCTCAAACGACTATAATCCGATTCGCGAAGGACCACATCTATCAAATTCTTTTGTGGTTGTAGGTAAACCCTTGTGTGCAGGGTAGTTGACATGATCCATAAGCTCGCTAAAGAAGTGGGTGCAAATGCCTGCCAATTTCCACTAGCTTGTTTATGCACTGTCAACTATTGGCACTAATCTCTATAACTCGTCAACCTAAACCAATAGTTTATTCTTTAGACCGTTTAATGATCATCTCAGGAGGACTTTTCAAGCTGAATATCCAACCCTGTTTTCATTTAATACATCCACTTCCTTCCTCTTCCTTCCTTATTCCCAGTCTTCTTTAGTATCCTCACAGTCGTTACCTGGATCATCATGCGAGTTCTGGCTCTTCAGCTGTTGGCAGTATGCCAACTTGTCTGTGCATCACCATGCAAACCTTCTTCTTCGTCTGCTTCAGTCGCTTTATCTGCGACTTCCATTGAAGCCTCGTCTACTGCCGTTGTCTCATCTTCAACCATCGCTGATGAAACCGAAACATCAACCACGCCCTTCCCTGTTCTCTCATCGTCAACTATGACTGATGAGATTGAAACGGTTACCACTTTCTTCACTGAATTGACGGCCGTGTCCGAGACTGAGACAGCTTCTGGCTCTACCACTGATGTGACCTCTGATTCGGCTATTTCCACTATCCTGATCACCACTTCAAGTACTGAACCAACTACACTCGCGACATCCACTGCGGAACCTACAACCACCACTACAGCTGCCGAAGAACCAACCAACGTCATCACAAACCCCGGGTTCGACTCAGGTAGCACCGCCCCCTGGTACACACTCGGAGGCCGCGGCACCCTCTCCTTCACGGACGAAGATACCCACTCCGGCGAATTCTCTGGCCACTTCTATACGGCTGATTACATCAGCCCTGTCGTCCTAGGCATCGACCATCCTGTTGACGCATCCTTGATCAAGGCTGACACTGAATACCATTATTCCATCTGGATCAAGACAAGCACGGCTGTTAATTGCCAGTCACGAAGGATTACTTGTGGAGCCGGGGGCGGGTACATTTCGGGCTCCGACTGGGCTGGGCCGTATAATGAATGGACGGAGTTTACTATGAGCTGTACTTGGAGTCAAATGTTTCTGGACATGGTGCCGAGTATCCAGATTCGGGCGGAGTGTCAGAATTTGGAGTTTTATGTTGATGATGCGGTTCTTATCGAGGCGAACTAGAGAAGGCGTGCGTGGATGAAAAAATAAGAGCTCGCAGATATTCTAAGTCCTGGCTTTCTTATCCCTGCCTCTGTTATATTTCACCCCTTCCCATTATAGCTGTGCATAAATGCTGGTATTATAGAACCGTAGTTGACCTTTTATTTCTTATCTATAGAATTTATCATATAATCGCTTTTCATTTCTTCATTTGAGCCAAGTACGACTCGACATCAGACTCCCTCAGTCGGGTAGCCTTACCATTCACCTGTTCACCAATGTCAACTTGGTAAGCTCTCATCTTTTCAAGGTACTCTGGAACGAAAGCACCCAGGATTCTGATGGCGAGCAGAGCGGCATTGGTGGAGTTGTTGATGCCGACGGTGGCGGTAGGAACGCCTCGCTGGATCGAGTTAGTCTGTGCATACTGTACTTGGAGATATTACTTACAGGCATCTGAACAATGCTCAGAAGAGAGTCCATGCCGTCCAAATGGGTGGCCTTGACGGGAACACCAATGACGGGAAGAGGCGTGTAGGCTGAGACCATGCCGGGGAGATGGGCAGCTCCTCCTGCAGCGGCAATGATAACCTTGATGCCTCGGTCAGCAGCAGCAGTCGCAACATCGCCCATCTTGACAGGTGTTCGGTGAGCAGACGTAATGTCAACCTCCCAAGGAACGCCAAATTGAGTAAGAATATCAAGGCCAGCCTTGAGAACAGGGAGATCAGAGTCAGAGCCCATGGTAACCAGAACTAGAGGATCCTTGGTGGCCTTGGCAACAGCCTGTTCAGGACGAAGACTCTTGCTCTTAGCTTGAATGCGCTCCTCTCGCATATCAGCTGCCAACTTGACAAGCGGCTGAGCATATTCCTCGAGCTCCTTGATGCTGGCAGTCAATCCGGTGAGGGTGATGTGACCAATCTTGCGGCCGGGCTTGGACTGCTTGCCGTAGAGATGGGGGTAGACGCCGATGTTGCTGGCGAACATGGACTTGGCCTTTTGCACGAGAGGGATGTGGGATTCTGGTTCGGCGCCTCCGAGGATGTTGATCATGATGCTGGACGCTACATGGGGCTCGAGCTTTTCGGGGAGGGGCTCGTCAAGAATTGATGTGAGCTGCGCCTTGTACTGTGACCTAAGGAATTCTCAGCATGAAATGAGCGGAACAGTCTTGGAAACTTACATGTAAGGAACGGCCTCGATGGTGAGATGGCCAGAGTTGTGAGGGCGCGGCGCAATCTCATTGACAAGGATGTCGTTCTTCTCCGTGACAAACATCTCAACAGCAAAAACACCTCGTCCCCAGATTTTCTCAACAACACTGACAGCAACCTCCTGAGCGCGCTTGGATACCTCATCTGGTGTATCGCGAGGAGGCATGTAGACGCGCGAGCAGACATTGTCCTCGTGAACAGTCTCGACGCAAGGGTACGGCACCAGACGCTTGGTTCGGCCCTCAGTGTCCTCTGTGCGGATGACAATGACCGAGAGCTCGCGCTGGAAAGGTACGTACTTCTCAGCGTAGCACTGCAGCTTTCCAAATTCGTTCACAGCAGTCTCAATATCCTCATCATTAGCGATCTTGATGTTTCCACGTCCATCATACGAATCCTTTCGCGACTTGAGCATATAAGGAAATCCAAACTTGGTCGCAACATCCTTCAGCGCCTTACGCATCTCCTCCGCACCCTCAGCCTGGATAGCGACCTGCTCAGCGATAGGAATGCCCTGCTTGCCCAGATAATCCTTCTGCTCAAACTTATCCTGAATCAGGCGCAGGGTCTTCCACGAAGGGTAAACAACGACTTTTCCCTCTGTAGCCAACTCCTCCAGGACAGCAGTCTCAATGTGCTCTGTCTCAACGCTGAGGACGCTGCAGCTGCTGGCGAGCTCTCTGATCTTCTGGGCGTCTTTGAAGGAGCCGTCGACGTGGTATTTGCTGCGGCTGACTTGCTTGGCGGGTGCGTCTTGGGCGTCGAGGATGGCGATTTCGACTTCGAGAGGGGATGCGGCCTCGCAGAGCATACGACCGAGTTGGCCGCCGCCGAGAAGACCGAGGGCAGGTTTTCCACTCATTTTTGCTGCGTGGGATGTGAGATATGCGCGTTGCAGTGAGTGAGTGAATGAGTGGGTTTGTGCGATGAGGTCAACGGAAAAATTTAGATCGGACCTCGAGATGTGGGGCTCCGAGTGTGCTATGGATGACTCATCAGCCGTGTCTGTCAAACTCTGCCAGATAAATTTTACAGATCAGATAAGATCATGGAAGAAGGACGCCCGAAAACGGTCAACTTTTATGTGGCCAGTGCCATTTTTAATTTGTTTATAGTAGTTGGTCCCCGTTACTCAATGTTTCAGCTCCGGCATTTGGACCCCGGATGCCGTCTTGGTTCGGAAACGGAACGGGGCACGGCTCCGACCTTATCGGGTCGACCTCCGATATCGTCAACCCCGCTTATCGCAACTTCATGGCGGGGTACCCAATGGTGTTGCTCCATAAAGAAGACGGCCCAATTAGAGACTTGGTCCCAACGTGAAAGTCAATTTACTTTGACAATTTTTCCCCTTTCACTGCTTTCCATCAGTTACTATATGCATCCACACACTGACTCTATCCCCAAGTGACCATAACAAATTTGTTTTTGTGTGTTCCGGACATAAGAATGCGGCCGAGTTTCCTTGTTTAGACAGACCTTGCGATTGCTAATTGACAATTCACTTCTTTCATATGGTCCGGTAATAGTTTTATTGCGAGCTGATACAAGATAAACTAACCGTCTCTTCCAGGAACGTGCTCAGCCATTCTGTCGATATAACTGCAGTTAGGCGTTGGAGCAATACAGGGTAGCAAGAAAAGAATTAACAGTTGGTCCCTCAAAGGTTGAGTCATATAGAAGTCCTTGCATTTCATCATAGACCTCCAATCTTCATATCCTGAAGTCGCCATAAGAATATTTGTTACTAGACTTCCTCTCAGCGCCTTTAATCATGGTTATCCTTGTCATATCACTGCGGCCTGTCTCCAGATATGCGCCTTAATGGCCAATGCCTAGGTGATAGATTAAAGCAAGAACATCGACGGGATTCTAGCAACTCCAAACTGACCTGAGTGAAGCTGGCTGTCACCTCACTCTCCCAAAAAACCAGCCTGAAAGGTTGTATAAGTGCCTAGTTCCCGTAGTATATATCTAAGGTAGGGCTTCAATCTACCATTGGAGCAACCTCTCCCATTTACACAGCCGTCTTATCCTACCTAGTTATAAATCTGTGTGGTGCAGTTTGGCTAGCGGGAGAGGGCTGCACGAGTTGAATCGTAGTATCGTTCTCATCTCACGCAGAAGAGGTTGATGAGCGACCCGCGCCTGTACAAAATCCTGTCTTCCTGGGCCAACCACGCCGTCTACGTGAGGCATTATCTTGCATTATCGGTAATAGAATAGGTGCAAGAACACTAGGGTCCACGAGATGTGACTTCTGGCTGGGCCTGTAGTGTCCATGAACTTTCTTTTTAAAAAAAGAGCGTGGCATCCCCACCACGTGCTGGCAGCCCATTGAACACTTGGCAGCTTCCCTCCCTGTTACCTCGGATTTGGGGTCACTGAGAATGATGATGCTCTTTGGCGATTGCTATTTCTGATTTGTCAACAAGGATAAAGCCTATTACGAAGTGCGTATAAGATGACTTTTTGTGACAGCTATGGGGTTTAGAATAATTACTAACCCGCCAGATGGTGTTGTAAAGAGAGTGGAGTAACTTAGTAGTATGTCCATGTGCCTCTTAATAATGTGAAGGTCATGCGTTGTCCCAAATCGTGTTTAGGGAAAATATCTCAAAGCAGCTATTTCTCAGTCAACTGCCGGTAATGTAAGGGCGGCCGCAGTGGCCTTGCGGGACATTGATGCCTGCGTGTAGCGCCCCCACAGACAGGGGCATGAGCGCCAAGACTTGTAAGCCTACAGGATAAATCCTACAGTACGCTTTCCGTTATGGAGAATATACGGTGAAGATGCCGAGCGACGGTCCGGACCATAATCCAAGGGAGGGGTAAAAAGAAATGAGGCCAGGTACCAGTAATGGAGAAGATAGACAGTAAAACAACGAGTCGGGAGTTCCTGAATCTCTGAATCTCTATTGAACCTGGCATATACGTTCTTTTTCAGACTGGTTGAATTGATTTCGCAATCTCTAAACCTCAGAACTCGATGATAATAACCTATTGGATTTTACGTCCTCTTGGAAAAATAGATATGTTGTGCCCAGTAGATTGTAGATTTTTGCTCAGGGTGGATCGAGGCGGTTAGATAAGATAACCTTAAAGGCGCCTGACGGGAAAGGTGGATCTATGGTCTTGTTATTCGATGTGCTACGATATGCTTAATTCAAAGTCCTTATGGATGTCGATCATCTAGCATGGAAGAGGAAGGTGCAAGCATGAATTCCTACAAATTTTACGATGCGGCGTATACGAGTCCAAAGACCCTTGGCCCGAATTATTTCGGTAGACTCGTACGACGGCGAGCTTCACAAAGAAGGTAAGGCGCAGGCTTGAATACATCCGGGGAAAGAAAGTCAAAAATACTATAAAAGAAGACAAATTCTCTGTGCAAGCAACATCTCTGCAGCAATACAGCCAGCACTCAATCACTATTCTCCCACCTTACAATCTTCAGACAACGGAAATACTCAAGATGAAGGCTACTCTTTTCACTCTTCTCAGCACCGCTGCCACAGCGGTCTCTGCCGCGGTAAAGCTTCTCACTGATTGAAAGAAGTTCATATAGACTAACCTTACCACAGGCCCTTCCTGATGGTGTTCAGGTTGTTGACAACCCTCTCGAAGGATACAAGATTGTTCCGATGGAATGGACTGGTTCTATCAGAGAGGGAGCCGATCCCATCACTCTGACTGGTACTGATGAGGTAAGTAAATAAGCCGTAATTAGACCCTGAAGATACGAAGATACTAATGTCGACTTAGGAAGTTGTTGCTCAAATTCAGAAATTGAACCCCGACTACGTGTTTCCCGAAGACAACGTCACCGAAGCTGAGATTGAGAAGCGCAGCCAAGTAAGATCTCAAAGCATCTTTCTTATCATGAAACCTACTAACATACAAACTAGGGTCATATTATTTGCAAAGTTGGTGGCTTTGGAGCTATGGACGTACGGGCTGCTCACCGGGAAAGGAACTACCTTCGCTCGCTCGGGAACAACGTTTGCCATGTCGGCGCAGGACCTCGCACGTGCACTAAGATCGCCTGCGCTACTGGCGATGCCATCATCCTTTGCAACGACAACGGCCACGCGATTTCGCCTAGGTGCTCCTACCTCGCTGATTACATCGACCACATCATCGCAGCTTGCTCTTGGACAGTCAACAGCCCTCCTTGCACTGTCAGGCCTTGCGCTCCTTCTTGGTCTGTTCAGATGGTCCGAGGGCAACAATTCGATTCTGACAACTACAATGTCATTGTTGCCAAAGACACTTGCTAAGCTGTTCATCGTCAATTTATGCATATTTGAATGATGATGACAGAGGTGTTAGGGTTGGTAAGACGACTAGAAGGTGGCTAGTTAGAACGAAAGGGGGCAAGAGCTTGGGTTGCCAGACTATTATGCTGCCGTGCTAGGTCTTAGCTTTTCAATCAACAACCCGATTCTTCTTAGCCATTACTATCCAAGGTTTGAGCCGACGTGGACTCGGAGGCAAAATTTCGTAAACTTCAGGTCAATGCCATCACGTTGGATAGGTTGGAGACAGTACAGAAGCCAACCTGAAAGATATAGTCCGGTACTCCATCGGGTAAAGATGCCTGTAAGGCGCAGGATCTACGCAACGTATGGGCTGGTAAATCCCTGCTACGCGGAGGGTATTTCTAGTCATTTGTTGAGCCGGGATTCCAATTGGGCTGTGATAATCGTGTTTTCGATGAATCATATTGAGACTTGTCACATGAAAAGGTAGCGGCCAAGAATTGAGCAATAGAATTCTCTGTCACTGAGATAACTGAATCGGCAACTGATAGCCCCGAGACATTCCGTTTCAGCTATGACGAATGTCTGGTAAGACCGTAAGCAACTACAACAGCCACAGTAAGGATGTATCGTCTCACAACAACTTGGAAACCACTATAATGACCTGGCTAGACGGTTCAAATGACCATCCTAGCCCACAAGAGTTACGTCAACTACAGGCAAAGAGTCCGTGTTCATTGCATTTAGATGCCGCAATCACATCAAAACACGCAACCATATTCTTGACCGATACCTAGTCTGTGATCCATTGTGGCTAAAGCCTCAGGCGACCTAGTGATTACTTACTGATGTCACCTTATCAAATCTTTTCTTGATTAAGAAGCGGGAAGATGATAGTGGAGAGCTGAAAAGCGGAATATGCAGCCAGTTTTTGCATCTCCCCGAAACGACGGAGATACTGCAGATCTCCGTCCCTTTCGAACCCCATGCATAAACAGACAGCATAGAAAGACTTTGATCGAGATCCTCAAATGGATTGGCTTAGTTTGAGGCCTTCTTCGTCTATTCAATAGGCCGTCCCTGTTTCATCATTTCCGGTCTTGTTCCTACGCCGCGCGAAGTGTTCTTGGTATCGCTGCAGTATATAAAGTCAAGGTATGCTGCCTAAAAATCGATAAAAGACAAACATACTCCCATCTCTTACTTCTATCACAATATTCTATTACCCTGAGATTCATTCCTTCAAAATGGTCAAGATCGATGAAGATTTTCTCAACGAGGCCATCAAGAAAGGCCTCGACACGATCCAGAAAGGCGAGCACCTGGACATCGAAGACCCGAACGACATTGGCAAGTTTATCTTCGGAATTCTTGCATCAGGTCTTGAGCTCATTCCCGGATATGGCGACGCCCTAGCCGCTATTCTCAACCTCTTTTCTTCCCTCATCTTCCAGCCCAAGTCGGCCACAGACATTTGGGAGAAGCTGTTCAAACGCATTGAACAGATGATTGATTCCAAGATCGAACAGTATCATTTGGAGACTCTCAAAGAAAAATTGACAGGCCTTGACGCCGCCATTAGTGATTTCTCTACCCTGGTCAAAAAGCATGATGAGGGCAAAGACGTGACCACTTTGCTTCTCGGGTGCTTTGCATCCCTGCATCAGACGATGGTTATTTCCATGAGCGAGTTCACATCTCCCAAATACGGTGTGGCGTCGCTGCCATGGTTCGCTCTCGCAGCGACAATGCACCTCAAGCTATTGGGCGACGGCATCCAACATGGTCGAAAATGGGGCTTCTCTGCTGATGAAGTCGAGTTTCTTCAGGAGACTTTTGATAAGCTCACGACAGAAACTGCGGCAGTCTCACATGCGGAAATCGCGTCGCGTCACAAGCTATTTCTAGAGAATCTCATGCTAGACGACTCCAAAATGAGCTCTGTCCCTGCAGAGACCCTAGAAAAATGGAAAGCTGTGCACTCGTACCTTTCTGCGATGGACGATGCGACTCATGCAATTCCTGCCATTGATACCTCAAGCTATGTAACATACGCCAAGGCGACCTACCAGGCAGGACGTGACAATGTTAAACCCGAATGGCAGGGACTATCAGGCGATGACATTGGAGCTAAAGATGGCGCCATCTTCAGGGCCAAGATGCAGTACGATGCGAATATGACTATTCACGTCCTCAATTACGCCGACTTTTGGCCTTACCTGGCAGGCAAGCCTCTTACGGAGGAAGCACTGGTAAATTTAGACCGCGAGATCTTTGCGTCTCGCGGCCGCTATGACATTTGGGTAAATGGTAACCCGTGGGTAGACAAACCCTTCCCCCCCGTCAAACGGGGAAACAATGATCAGATCACAGCTGTTTACGTAGGAGGCTGCAGATGAAGTACGGTGATACCTGGGGAACGGCGTATGGCTCTGCCACGGTAGATCCAGCCAGTACAACAAACTTGGACATCAAAGCAGGAGATTATCTCTATTGGCTTGATGTTTGGTTCGGCCAGAAGCTGGGATGTGCCCAGTTTTGGTTGAACACTGGGAACAAACTCCGAGAGGTGGGAAGGAGTGGGAGTACTATGGGGGACTTACGGTTCGCCGATCACCAGGTCACGAGTGTTTACGGGATCAACTACGAAAGCCATCCCCCTTCCGGTTTGGAGGGCATCATTGTTGGGTTTAGGCCGCTATTTCTGAAGTGGGATTGACGGTCATAGGTCTACGTTGCTCAGCTGAACATCGATGTCGAGACTGTCCATGAGAACTGGAATACCAAGTTGCCAAGAACTTGACTGAGACCAAATACTAGTGACAGGGTGCATAAGATGAAGCGAAAAGAAATGTCGGCTGAGTCCTACGGCCATGATTTATATAATTCTTGTATACGGAGGCAGCCGCGAAAAGTTCTTGCCTAAAGGGACTTACGCCACAGTTACTCACTTTGCTAGATACAAGGAAGTACATAGACTAATTTTAGCTTATAGAGGGATCCCTCTATATCTCTGCTATAGTTATAGGGACTATAGAGGTAACTACCTTATATAGCTTTTGCTTATTCCCCTAGAGCGAGATAATGATCAGCGCCTCTCATTAAGAATAAAGTATCTCCTGTATCTGTGGCTAGAGAGCCTCTTCAGCTACAGTTCCTGTAGGCAAGGACTTTTCGCGGCTGCCTCCGTACAGATTGGGGAAATAGCTGAATGGCGGTGATTGTAGCAGGACTGTTGACAAGATGAACGTGCTGGGAAGATTAGGGTTCAATACAATACAGGGGTCCTGTCTGGAACCTGGAGCTACCCTGTCTAGCCAGTGCGGCTGAGGGGTCTAGATCAACGCCTCGCGGAACTATTGATTCGAGTATCGAATGATAATGTTCAACTACCGAGCCCACGGGGTTTTCATCGCCCCTCGATTTGTCTATAAGAAACAGGCATATTCCCTATTGGTAACTTTTCCCTTGAACTTACATCGTAGTTATTTCCCAACATCATTCTGCATTGTCAGTCGTATAAACGCCCAAGTTGTAAATCGCGACCATGGTCAAATTAGCGCTTCTTAGCTGGCTGGCGGTCGCTGCCCCTGTATTCTCCGCACCAGCCGATGCTCACAGCCCTCTCGATGCACGAGCCTGCACTACACCAGCAAATACTCTCAAAAACCCGAGCTTTGAGTCCAGCGCTCTCGGTAAATTATTCCCCAAACTATCTCCGGCATGGCTAACCCACTAAGCACCATGGGTATTCAAACCCACATACGTCAAACTCGGCAGCGCAACAGTCGTGAAATCCGGTTACAAAAGCGACCGCGCGATCCAAGCAGCCGGAACGTCCGGCTACAACGACCCGACAAGCTACAACAAACTCTTCCAGACCTTCAAGATCTGCAAAGCGGCGCGCTTCCAACTCTCATGGTCCATGATTCTCCCCAAGAATAGCGTTGGGTACACCGCGCCCGGCAAACCTGGCTTGTTCGTCGAAGCTAAAGCTCCTGATGGTCTGTCGCATTCAATGGGCTCTTTCAGCTTTGATACCAAGAGTTTCAGCAGCAATATATATACGCCGAGCTTTAAGGGCACGCATAAGGCTGATCAGTGGGTGAATTTCGTGGCGGACTTTCCGAACTCGCAGACTGGTACTTGGACAATTTCTATGGAGTGGTATGTTATGGGACCTGGGGCGAAGGGGACCAAGACTTCGACGCTGAAGTTCAAGATGGATAACTTTGTTGTGAAGCCTAAATGATCCTGTCCAAAGTTTTTAGTCGATGATGAGAGTCGTTTACAACGTAGCTTCTTTAATCACTAGTGTGTTGCATTGTTTATCACTCTATGCGCCGGGTCATCTTTTTTCTCTGTCCTTTCTGACTCTATTGTCACACAATTGTCCTCCATCACTTCCTGTGTCTTCTGCTACGATAGTCCTGAGCATGCTGCCGTAATCTCGCCAATGAACCTTCTCCCTCATGGCTACCATGTAGACCTGTCCCCAAATCTATGGTACACGTGCGGTTGGGCAGTTCTGGGTCGCTCCCGATCGTCAAAGGTATACATAGTGAGAACCACTGTAGTTTTTTGTATTCTGATTTCGAGTTATACCCCTGAAGAATGCTTGTCTTGATGGGAGTGAGCCTGCTACGATCAATACTCGCATTCGACTGCTGTCCGAAGAATGATGCTTCCGACTTGGTCTTGGTTAAATCTGCTTGGCTGTCGAGCCGAACGTCGGAAACAGTACACGGCATACGGATGAAGTGGTCAGGTGTCAGGTAAGCACTCGAGATCAAACCCTACGCCAAGACCTTCAGTGCCCTATGCCGCGTAAACAAAAGAACTTGGAAGTGTTCCACTATGAATTCGGCCATTCGTGTACGGGAATATGAGCCATGATGGAAAGGTCGGAGTGCTTCGAGACGTAAAAGAGAAGGGCATGGAGTTTTTTCATATCCAGGCCATGAATCTACGAACATGGAGATCAAGGTAAACCATGATTTCTCTGGTTGTGCAAGCAATTCGGACAAATTTGCCACAATTCCTGAGCGCTTTCATTCAATTCCAGTTTATATATCGAATACCTTATTCAAGCGCCACGAAAAGCATTTTTAAACTTTGAAGGTCGGCCGGCGATGGGCATTACCTCTTTCGTCTGTTCCTGGCTAACTCTAGTCTCTGTATGAGAAAATGACGTATTTGATCTACATGCAGATCTCTCGCCACACGATGTCTTTCAAGTCAGAGAAGAGTCTGGGGAATGATGTCTAAGTCAGATCAGGTATTTATAGAGGACTGACTCCCCTACCTGTTGACATTCGCGAGATGTTCCTTACCAAGGCCAAGTGATGGGCCACTTCGAACATGAGATCTGCTCTAATTTAAGTTCTCAGCCACAAGTCGCGACTTCAAAAAGCACACCTTGCTCTTGAGACACCGAACTCCCTGTCTCTGATATCAGAATCATCTATCATCTCTACCAAATTGACGCTCTTCAAGCCCACCACTCCGAATCTTTCAGCATGTAATCTTTCAGCATGTTGGATCTCAGTATGCTAGACTGGCTCGTCAAGAGGCTCATCGGTGGTGACGAATTCTATGGTCTACATGACCCTGAAGCCATTATTGCGAAGGGACGGGAACTCGATCGCAAGTCCAGCTACATGTATGGCAACTCCTACGAGAAAGAAGCCCGCAAGAGGGTAGCCACATTAAGGGTAGCAATCGGGAATCACGACGGGGGCGGTAGTACAGGAAGGAGCAGCTATGCGCACTGAAATCAAGAACTTATCAATGGGTCAGGATATCGTTGGAGGGACACGGGGACATTTTGCTTCTTGTATTTAAGGATTAAAGGCATATTCTATACTAAGACAATTTCTGAAACTTGCAATCCTTCTAGCAGCTCTTTTAGACGATAAGCGTAACCTCTGGAGGTGCTCTCCAGAACCTCCGTGCTTGGTATTGGCAAAATATGGTCTTTCTTTAGGCGGTGTAAGAATTTGGCGTAATTGCTGGTTAACAAAGCATCATGACTAATCCCAACATGGCCAGCTCGCTCGTAGCCGTCATGTCCCGGTTTCTTGATAACATGGATGCCACAGAAAGCAAAGTTGTTTTCGAGATTGACACCCAGTGGGATGACGAACCCGCCACAGAGAGGGGGCCATCTTGTAGGTGCTGATCCATCTAAAGGGCTATCGGGCTTGTAGTTGTTAACACAAAGCTCTTCGCGGTGGATATCTTCCAATGGTGTGACTGTGTAGCTAATGTTGCCATTCCATACCCTCATAGGTGTGACCTCGGTTGACAGTAAGGACTTGACATCTATCAGGGGAGCTTGTAAGGTAATTGAAGACGTTGAGCAGTCTCCCATGTGGCTCGGGCCGTTAGGCATATATCGGACCTCCTGAACAACCACAGACTGGAGTGGACTCCAAATCCCGTCCCACATTACCTGCGATGAGACAGAAGCCCATGACCACGAAGGGTACCAGGCAAGTCTCGGTTTTCTGATCGTCGGCGTGGGCCAGACCATCCATAGGAGATCGAGCGGGAGATGCTTTTCCCAAATCCCAGCTAGATATCTATCATCCAGCCGTGTGCGTTGCATACGTTGAGCAACTCCAGCTAGTGCAATCGTCTTATCTGAATCATAGGTGAGATTCAATCTGGAATACTCTAGAACTGTCCGGTGCCATGTGAACTGGTCCTTATCACAAATATCGCTGTTGGCGCAGCCAAATAGCGTGGGCTTAAAGCTATCGCCGTCATTGTAATCGAGGTCGTTGCAACCGCTTTCGCTTCGTTGTGAGGCTTGGCAAACCCAGATAACCTCCTCGTTGCAGAAATGCAAGACGCGCGGCGAGAGCCTCATCTCTTGGTAGATCCATGCACGGTTGAGTAGCGGATAGCTGTGATTATTTTCTAACTGCGTCCAGTGATCTGGAAATATTGGAGGCCGTTCACGGACGTAGATATCTTTATAACCAGGAACTAGCTTGGCCACGTATCGAGGGCTAGTCTCCGAAAAGCAACCCTGGGACCCATCACGGGACTTTGTAGCTGCAACAGTAAGGAACGAGTGCTGATAAACATCTGCCATTTGAGCTGCTTGTTCTCTCCAGTCTTCTGGACTGTCCTGAATTATACAAAGCGAGTCGATCCAAAGATAGAGAATGCCGAGACTTCGGCATATGTTAACAGCATCGCGGAACGTTTTCGACAGTTGATCCAAAGGCACTTCTGTTTTGAACGTGCCAAGTGTTAGTGTTGTCGTTTTAACAATGTTGATCTTGCCCCAGCAGTGACTCAGGCACGCGTAGCGTAGTTTCTGCCCGAGATTCTCTCGCAGAACCAGGGCTCCATTACTCAGGTCTAGTAATCTCTTTGGGCAGATGAACGAGGCAGACTGATCATTGATCTGTGACTGACATCCATCGTGTGTATCCAGGCACTCCCTTATCCATGACTGGACTGTGGTGGTCGTCGTCTGGAATTCTGTAGTGCTGGGGAAACGACCTAGAGGCAACCGTCTGATACCTAGCTCAGCACCTTCAACACCTGTAGCAAGAATCATTAGTGCGTGGTCCAAATTGCCGCAATGACTATGTCAACATGATTCGATGTCTCAGGTGTAAGCTTCGCCGCGGTTACTTGTGATTGAGAAACTTAATGATAGAGACTTGCCATGCTGGTTGAAAACCTCCAATAAGCACTCGCCACCGGACCAATGAACTTTAACGCAGCCATGCACTTTCTTGATGTCCCGGACATTGATATGTGCTGCCCCTTTGCTGATGCACTTTAAAACGAACGTGCATCGAGCACAATTGGCTTCTGCTGCTTCCACTAACTCGTCGTACGTGCAGCCTTGATCATTACTATTGGGGGGTGCCGGGGGATTACAGACCACGCAGGCCATTCTGTTGTTATCAATCAGAGAGCACAGTGCCTTGGCCTGAGAAAGACGGGTCTATGGGGAGTCGAATGATGCAACAAGACAGCGCTGGAATTGGAGGATGACAAGAGAACGAGCCTTGCTTTAATCGCATTGACGATGTAGAGCATGATCTATTCTATATAGACCAATTAAAATCACCTTGCTATTCACAAGCTCGCCATACAGTTGCGGGGTAAGCAGTCTCGAGCCTCCTCTTGATGGTCAGCCTGGAAAGGGTTCCGTCAGCCCACGGAGATCAGCTCTCATGAGTGAGACTTGAAGCACGGTGCAATATGTTGGGCGGGCCTTTTACTGTGTCTTCGTTTTCGATGTCCAGTCGTCTACGAGGCTGATACCGGCTAGCGTCATGGCGGGATGTAATGTTTTTGTTTTGAGCTTGGTGACTTCCGGTATCTTAATCATTCGGTTTGGTTATGTGGCTCTTTATTCGCGGCTGAAACACGGCAGAACAATCCGCCGCATATGCAGCCACATTTCTGCGTCTTTCGTTGGCTTGAATGTGGTTGGGCAGCAATACACGTTGTCACCTAAGGATTTGAGTTGAACAAATCAGGGAGAAAATAATCAGGTAAAGTCTTCGTACTTCAAAGTTAGTATCTCTATACCTCTCATATTAAATTCCCAGACACGTGCCAGAATGACATTCTGAACCTCGGTCAACACATTAGTTGAGCAATGGACCTTGCAGAGGGCTCTTTGTGCGATATATGTATCGCGGCCTTGAGAGGCGGCAATAAGATCAAGGAATCGAAGGATCACTGTAAATACAGCGGACGCGTTTTCAGAAACTATCATCACCAAAAATACCACGATTTGGCCGTCAGTAAAGATGAGTGTTGTTTCATCTGTACGTGGCTGTGGAATAAGCTGCCAATTCAACACGGCAGAGACAGTGTATCAGCCGATGGTTTCCGGATATACTGCAGTATTCACAGACCAGACATTACATTCCATGTTGTATGCCCTTGGGCCGTCGACTTTGACCTGGAAGGTGGGTCTGGACTTCTCTGGAGATGAAGATTATATTTCTCACTTATGCTTTTGGTGTCTTTGTTTAGCAGGAGAACACTTGCGCTCTCATTACGGTCAATTCTGACTTTGCTTGATGCTAGACCCTGGGCCTATCTTGATGAACACATAGGGTCTAGTCAGTCTCTGCAGAAGGTTAAGACCTGATTGTCAGCGTGTGAAGAAGATCATGGACATTGTCTTCTACCTTCTTCGAACCGTGGGATATATTTCCCGAGTAGAATCATTGATATCTATGTGGCTGAAGATGGGACAGTATATCTCCGTGAGAGAGCCGAGGTGAAAACCTTCCATTTGAAGGACCAACACAAAGCCGGAGACTATCCCGTATACTGGACACTCTCTCATCGATGGGGTGACCCTGAGTTGATCCCGCAACTTTCACGAAGCACGGAGGATCAGCTTCGGGCTGGCATGGCACTTAGCAAATTATCGCCCACAATTCGCGATGCTGCCCTGCTAGTGCGTCGGATGGGCTTCAGATACATATGGATTGACTCGTTATGCATACTGCAAGACTCCCTAAGCCAGTGGCAGTAGGAGGCTAAAGAAATGGTCGACATATATCGCCATTCATTCTGCAATATTTCCGCTACCGCCGCATCCTCAGACCCCAGCAGCACCGGCCTATTTTCCACGAGAAGTCTTCCGTCGAGGCTTTTGTTTCCTTTCAAAATACGCGAGCAGAATCTAGAAGACAAGACCGGCTTCGAGGTTGGGCCATGGGTACTATACAACGATTCTTCTTGGAAAGATGAGATCGAAAATACACCCTTGAACACCCGTGGGTGGGTTGTACAGGAGCGGTTTCTAGCCCCTCGCATTGTTCATTTCACCAAAAGTCAAATGTACTGGGAGTGCCTTGAGACTACTGTATGTGAAGCAGATCCGAACTGGGAACTCCAGACTCTTGCAAAAGACTTTTCTTTGCACCGCCAGCCTATCCACACAGTGTATAAAGCGGCAGGACAGCAGATTATGAAAACAGTGTCGACAGATCAGAGATACGAAGCTATGGACAGAAAGACTTACCATACTCTGTGGGGTAACCTCGTGTCTATCTATGCGAACTGTGCTCTGACGAAAGAGTCAGACAGACTCATCGCCATGTCTGGTATTGCCAATGAGGCCAACAAAGATACATACCTAGCCGGGCTCTGGAAGGAGGCTATACACTCCGATCTGACCTGGAGGACAAATGCAAGTGAAGGCGCCGAGGTGGTTCGCAATGGGTCGTATGCTCCAACATGGAGTTGGGCTTCCGTCGTTGGAGGACACACGACACTCAGTGCTTTGCATCAGAGGTACAGCGGCCTTCCAAAGCCGCTCGTGAAACTTGTGTAAGAGCGAATCGTAGCTGAATCACCCGGAGGTGATTCTACAGGACTCCTGCGTTCGGCCGAGCTAGATATCGAGTGTAGGCTGTTCTACTATTGCTGGACGGCCCTCTCAACCACGCTCACAGTATACAAAGATGAAATCAGAAGTGATTGCTATTTTGAAGAGAATTTCAGCTCGCAGAATCTACAGCTCGACATCACGGATCTGGTGCGAAAGTTCAAAGAGATGGAAAAAGTGGAAGGGGCATGTGTGCCTCTGTGCACAGGCTGCCATGGATATGGAGGGGGCAAAAACGTCTTCATGATGCTGGAACTCGTCTCAGGGACTACTTTCAGCCGTGTTGGGATATTTGACCACGGAGAAATAGGGACATGGATTAGCGAGTGGTCTGGATCTCGGACACGCATTACACTCGTATAACATGTACTCATGACAGTCCTCTTCAGCAGTTCACTGACGAGATGCCATTCAAATTTCGAGAATTCGCCGTTATGAGGTAGCATTACCAGCAAATACCTCCATTTAGAACGGAAACTTCGGCATAGATCGAGATCATGGAATGTCCGTGATTTTGGATCTTCTGTGCCCTTTACATTAGTGAGTGTCTCGAAAATCTGACAATACTCAATCACAGAGCTGTATTTAATGCTCGTGCGCTTTCTATACGAGAAGTAAGTCCCTTTGTCGACGGAGGATCGTAGTATGAATGCAGATCGCTCCTTCGTAGCGGCCGAACACTATAAAGCGGCCGCTCATGCATAACCACAAGGCGGCCGAACCATATAATGTAACCTAGCTATTCTCTAGTACGACGATCATATATATTTCCGCGAGCTTGATTATCACAAGCAGGCTGATATTTCGATTCTGACATCATGTAACGTTCGTACTGTTGTTCTTCTTTTGGGGATTGTTTGCTTTCAGCATCGCGCACCTTCGTGATAGAGCTGCAAATTCGTTGATCATCCTGTTAGTCACTCTTATTCAGCGATCCTCTTGTCTATCCAAGACTAGATCGCCGATTACCTTTAATGCAGGCCATGTATTGCTACTTCTATGAATGTTTGAAGATGGTGTGCTCAAGTATAAAGGGCCATCATCCGACCACTTCAACGACATTATCAACACAACAGTTTCACAACATTCACACACGCATTCCAAGCCATTAAAAGCTTTAGAAAAAAGTTCAACTCTGTAATCCCGCACCACTGACTCTTAGCTTTGCTTCCCTTTGCTAATTTCCACCAGACCGCCAATATGAAGACCACCGCCATGTTCATGATCGCCGCCTTGGCCAACAGCGTCGTCTCCCTCGACGTCAAGGACGCTTCAACTCCTGGTGGTGGCACCCCTGGCTCTCCCGCCTGCGGTCGCCAATGCCTGATCACCATCTCCCCAGTCGACGGGGCCTCCACGCAAAGGTCCGATGGCTTCCCTGGCTCTTGCAAGGAGTACGCCACTGGTCAGCTGAAGGGCACCAACCGTGCTATTGATGGGGGTCGTCTCAATATCAACGGTGTCGGAGGCAACCTCGTCATTGACTTTGTCAAGAACGGACGTGATCGCCGTGCCTCTTTCACTAACTGCAAGGAAGCTGTTTTCACCGGTGCGCAGTGTAGCCTTAAGCAGGGCGGTTGTGACAAGCAGGCTGAGTCTGGATAAATCACTATTTGTGGTCATCTGTATGATGATATTCTACTGTTCTCAAAACACACTCGTTAGGAACTCTCAGACTTTCGATTCGCTTCGCTGTCTCGTTGTCTGTATCCAGCCATAACTTGGGAACAGCTACAAACTTATATAATTTTATGAGCTTCAGTTCATAGATCTGTTATCATCTCGTCACCATTATCAATGTCTGCGGAATGGAGCGACAAATCATGCACACTAACTTAACATCTTGGCTATATCGACAAACATAGGCTTCGTGATGGCCCCTGCCTACCACCCAAAATGGGGCTTGCAGTGTCGATGTCAGTCAATGATCTCTGGGCATATCAGTCTCCTGGGGATGAGCTAAGAGTAAATTGGCCGAGACAGTTGTGTATCCAGTTTCATGAGGCACCTTCACTCAAAGAAGGATCCGCACCTTATCTATCCAAGGGTTACTTCTGTCTGCAACATCGACAAATTAGTAGCGTTGATAGCTACTACGGACGAAAGTTGACAAGATTCGTTCTCTCTAACGATTCTAATTCCTGAAATATGACCAAAGACCCCTTTTCAGAGCTGGGCTTATCAATATTACTTCTATATTTCACCTTTTATTTAATCACCTTCTCTACTGGGAAGAAATGTCTGTGCGGTGTGTTTCACTGCTAGCAGACTGAACCATTTCGACGTGAACCTCTGTTGTTTGCTGTGCTGTTGGTTGTCCCCTCTCAAGACTGCATATGCAACTAGACAAATCTGGAAGTGCACCGAAGAAAGTGATCAAAGGGATCTGGGGCCTTGAGTATCCTCAAACATTGCAAAAGAGAAAGACAACACATAATCCATCACAAAAATATTGCGAATAGTAGATACTAGTATTTCTTGACTTCTCACTTATATTGAAGATTGCACGATGGTGGGACCGGAGTCATATGTCTCAGCCCCAGCATTTTAGACCACGGCTCGGACCTGAACTATTCCTATCTCGATCGTCGGCTGCATATCACCCGGGGAGGATGGTCCTGGTTTAATTAATGGCCCCTATCGGCTTGGTCTTGGCTTCGGCTCACGAATCAGTCAAAACAAATAAGCTTGTCCGCCACGACCAGTACTGGTTTTCGCGTCCTGCACCTGTACCTCTTCCACCATGAAAGGCCCATCATCTATCATCTCTGGGAATTGAAAATTCTTCGTCGGCATCATGACTATCGTTCCGATCCTCACTCTGATACTCTCCATATTCGCCACTGATGTTTCATGCATCACCAGGTTCCTGCGTCCCCCCCAGTGGATCACCGGCCTCGACAGTGAAGCAGGCTTGGGAAAGAATATAAGATACAGCGTCGGAATATAAGATACAGCGTCGGAGATACGATAGAGCTCCTTTGGGGGGCTAATCTTGAGAAAGTTGAGCTTTTCTTAGTTCAAGAGACAATATCAAGGACTGTTCGCAAAGACCTAGACGGTATGATGTTCCGGTAATTCGTTACTCGTATGCGCCATTCTGACCTCGACGCCTAGCATCCCGTACTGAATGGAAGGCTGAGTGGGATGTATCTGGACTAGCAGAAGCAAATGAAGATTCTTTGTACTGGTTTGCCTTGAGAGACCCCGACGATCCTGAATGGACATTGCTTCGACGCAGTACTTCAATGTCACCGCTCCGGAACCCGAAACCTCTACTACGACTATTACGGCTCACATGACAACGTCTAAGACTGTGGGAATATCAACTACGCAAATCATTCCAAGACCTACAGTTACAGTTCAACCCACGAACGAAGAAGTGAGTTCAGATGCTGGATCTGACTCTGGAATCTCCAAGGGCGAAACCGCAGGTGCCGCGGTTGGGGGCACCATCGGCGGTCTGATACTTCTTGGTGCTATCGGCTGGTTGATCTGGAGAAGATTGGGGCGAAGTAAAAGAAACACAGACGCGTCAATGGTTTCTCAGAGCCATCAAGGGCAGGCTAACTGTTCCGAGACAAAGGCTGAGCTTTCTGGTGACCCGGCGGTTGAGGTGTATCCTTCAGGTTATGCTAGAAGTCCACCAGGCCTGCATGAAGCTCCTTGACAGCGAGTAATTCAATCAGGGACTAGAGATAAAGAATAGGCGGGGAAGCTTACTCATAATGCGATAGGTTATGGACATTCAAGAATTCGTTCATATTATACTTGATACCCATTCAAAGGCCCTGCGAGAAATTGAGGGGCCAGCTAATTTTGGCTATGCAGTTGACTGTCAATAAGGTTAAGCTTTAGGCTGCGAACACACACAGGTGACGAATGAGGATACACTGATATAAGGTTCAACTTAAAAGCTTTCACGATGACCAATAAATCTTGCTGCAATCCCCAGGGCCTTTAATCTTGGGTAATCGGGATCCATATCCCTTAGGTTTTACAGATTGGTTCTAGTAATCCAATCAAAGCCTGGCCCGCGTCAAAGGCTTGCGAATACTTTATCTCACTCGGCAATCGTAATACATAGACATTCTGTGGCTATACAAATCTGTCTTGTTGAAAAAGCAACACATTACCCTCATTGGATGATATCAAGTCAGTATGCGGGGTCATGGTTCATTGGATGATAGGATTCAAGTAACTGACGTGTTGCATGCCTGGCTGGCGAGCGTTTCCAAGGTCTAATATGATATCGCTGCAGCACTGATCACGCCGCTGGACTCTTGGCCCGGCTATTCAGCCTCGAGAGTTGTCGGTGGCGGCATCATGACTGGCGCATATTCTTGTTGGCTAACTTGAAACTCCATGCCGAAATCAGCCACTGAGCTCTGTGTGCTGATTCAAACTCTCAGCCAGGAGTGCTCAATTATGTTAAATATGTGTGTCTCCCCCTTGTATGCGAGAATGCCATGAATCCCTTTCATCCATAATTTGAACTCTCTTGCATCACTCCAAGTCAACAGGTGTGGATAGGCAACCCATAACTCCCCACCTTTTGACTCCAGTCTAAAACCACCCATCATGCAGCTGAGTTGGGTGTCTCTTCTGGTGGTTTCACTCGCCAGCCGAGCAGTTTGTCAAACGCGATTCGTTAATCCCCCACCATGGGATCCAGAGGACGACGGCAATCGAGATTTCAGCAACAACCGACGCTACAAGGATGGCGATGATGTCAAGATCCGTCTCCATATGAAATCGTACGGTGATTATTTTCCAGAGGTACATGTTTGGCAGGTGAATCCTGCCAACCAGAATAGATCGGAACATAAGCAAGTGGCCGGTACGACAAATTCATTATTCCATTCTGTAGCCTCGCGAGGGTTATACTGATCCTAATTTTCAGAGGACGTTCATTCCAAAACCACTTTCTGGAAGGCCGAGTATGACATGGCCCGCCATTTGAGACACGGCGAAGACGCTGTTTACCGGTTTGGATTGCTTAGATATGGTCAGACCAAGTCAACTGTGAATTCCACATACTTCAATGTCAGCATGCCGGATAATTGGAGGCCCAACCTCCCCTCAGCCTCAGGTACAACAAGCTTGGTACAAGAGTCACCCACCTCGCAATCCACCACTCAATCCACTACCCAACCCGGTCCCGAGTTTACAGCCACTGAGAAGCCCTCCCGCGAAGAAGGAAAACCAAGTAAAAAGTCCGGATTGACAGGTCCTGAAGTTGTAGGTATCACTGTTGGCGCATGCTTTGCTTTCGTCCTAATACTGTTCGGTTCCTGTTGGGGGTATAACCGGATGAGAGTGTCAAGGCAGCTACAAAAGTCGCACGAGTTTGAACTCAGAAACATGGAACGCGAAGTGCGCGCCTTGAAGGATACGGTATCAAGAATTGGTGCTTGAGAGGTGCGCTCAGAATTAGCAGCATAGCGATACAAGACATTGCTACTATTGAGTAAATTCATAAGAATTGAAGTTTTTGAACATCAACCTGTCGGTCAATGCTAGACAACCTCGGCACTTTTCCTAGCCAGGAATCAAAATCGCTCAGAATTATAACGTACTCGGTATATACGTGCCGATGTTGTTGACTTGTGCTCGGCTCAATTAGTAATCGTATTACGACTGAAGCTCCCTCTGACTCACACGCCCAATCGGCTGAGTACAAAAAGCTCATTCACATATTCCAGGCATCAATATCTTTAACATCGAGAAACAAACCAAAGTCGCAAGAATGAGTCTTCAATTCACCACTCTCGATGTTTTCACTACCACCGCCTTTGAGGGCAACCCTTTGGCAGTGGTGACGATACCCCCACCAAGCCAACAGGCTCCCCTCACCCAATCTCAAAAGCAACGCATCGCCCGCGAATTCAACCTCTCTGAGACTGTCTTTGTTCATGATGTTGAGAAGCGCGACGAGTCAGACGAGAGGGAGATTGATATATTTACTCCGTGGTTCGAATTGCCATTTGCGGGGCATCCAACTATCGGTACAGCTCTGTTTCTCCAGCCCCAAGGTGTCAAGACCATGATTGCAAAGGCGGGCAGACTTGATCTCCAGTTCAAAAACGGTTCTGCGCGTGCTTTAATTCCGCATGATGTAAAACTTCACAAAGAGCGCGTGCCAAAGCATGGGATTGAAGCTGGTTGGGATGAGAAACTGGCGAAAGTCGCTGCCGCTGATGAAGGCGCACCGCTGTTTAGCATTGTCAACGGAATGACTTTTGCGCTCGTTGAAATCCCATCTCTGGAGCTGCTCGGCGCTGCAAAGGTCGGGGCTATGAGTTACATCGACGGCAACTTGCAGGATGACGGCTGGAAACACGACTTTGACTCAAGGCGCTACTACTACACGCTTCTCAACGATGAGACGTCATCTGATGGAAAGCATGTGCAGAATATTCGCACGAGACTTGTCAAACGCAATATGGAGGATCCAGCAACTGGAAGTGCCGCGTGCGCGCTGTCGTGTTACCTGGCGTTGCACAAGCTTTCCGCGAATTCGATCAGGTTCAATATCACTCAGGGCGTTGAGATGGGGCGGGAGAGTCTGATTGTAGTAGACGTTGAAGTCGAGGCTGGTGGAGCTGGGGAGAGAAAGGTAAAGAGTGTTCATCTTAGTGGAACGGCGGTTGAGGTCATGAAGGGCACTGTTAGAGTGCCTCAGTGAAGGCTAGCATAGTGAGTACGAGTGCAACTGCGTCATATGTAATTTGGCAGTTCCGCTCATGTATCTATGAATCTTGGACAACCCGTTGCTCGTAGTGCTCAAAACAGACACTGATGCTTGTGCACAACAAACCCACGAGGATGTGTCAAGGAGACCCAGCGTCAGGGGATTGATGCATTTGAGGCTTGCCAGCAGCCTTTCTTTCTGTTGCCAGTGATTCAAACAATGTTTTTATCGAGATATGTAAACTCTTTGTCAGCAATCCCAACCACAAATTATCAACGCCTAGCATCTGCAGAAATGTTTCCAAGGTTGGCGGGCAAGGCAGTCAGTCAGGCGAGATCATGGACCACTGCGATGCAGGCGTCCGACAAAATGCAATATTTCCGGATACTTGCCGGGCTGTATAGTTTTCTTGCGTTTAGATGTGAATGGCATCGCAGCACTGCTGCTGTAGTGGATCAAACGATGTAGTGACCAGGCAGTCTCGACTTATTCTTTCGTAGCCACTCCTCCTTCAGGGCGCAAGAAAACAGCGAATCTTACTGTGGGGTGTCAAAATAAACTCAGCAAAGTTTATATTAAACCTAGCAAAGATGTACTAAGCTTAGGCTAAATTACCTAGGTGTTTTTGTCATTTAGGATTGAGGTCCTGTTTTTGCTTTCCTCCCCTAGCCACTGTGTACCAAATATTGTGACTAGCAACCACGAATTATTGTGCTGTCGGTCCAAGCCACTTGAAGAGTGGATCCGCAATCAAGAAATCAGCGAGGTCGCGATATGTAGGTATCCGCCTTGACAGTGCCAGGCAGTGCTTGCAAGTTGCAGCAAACAGCCTGTGAATGTTTGATCTAGCCTCAGGCTCCAGCCAAACCAAGGCTTTCGAAAGTTCTTCGCTTTCATCTTCCTCTTCTCTTCTCTTCTCTTCCTTCTAAGTTCTCCTCACCAGTCACCAAAGTCGACATCAGATATCATGGCGACATCCTCACTTCCCTGCGCGAACTGCAGCCCAGATGGCGCCAATTGTCAGAACACTGGCAAGTCCAGCTGCGCTAAATGCCGTCTTGTTGTCGTAAGTATTGGCCTCAGGTACTTCTCAACTAGTTGCATCATGCTCACATCTTGCAGTACTGCAGCTCCGAGTGCCAGAAGTCTCACTGGCCCATCCACAAGCTCGACTGCAAATCCGCTTTGAACAGCGATGCTTGGAAGCCTGGATGGGTTCTGCAGAATCGAATTCCAGCTTTCGCCCCAGGCGGCCAAGTCCCAACCAGAAATGGTCTCGGAGGGGATACTTGGATCTTTGGGGGTGTCCCAGCTCTTGATGTTCTCAAGCTTGACGGGAATGAAGGAGAATCCTTCCAAAAGAGTTTATCTCTTCTCTTTGCTGGTATTTGTTCTTCTTGCTCTGTATCTTGGTGGTGGAGTAGCTAACTCTTGGTAATGATAGCCTCAGGCGACCTGCGAAATGTCGTCAAGACCATCGCTCAACTTGCTCCAGGCTGGGATCAGCCCCTCCACATCACCATAAACGATCGTGACCTGAACATCGTTGGTCGAAATGCAATCATTCTTCTTATTACTCTTACATCTGACGACGACGAACAAGCTGTCGACTGCATCGTTCATACGTGGTACTCAAGCTTCATCCGCAAGTCTGACCAAGTCGTCCTTGAACAGCGCATCCGTCCGCTCATCCAGGCGGTCTGCGACAAGATAAAGGACAAGCCTGATAACCGCATTTCGGGTAAGACGTGGGTTTTCGGGAAGCGATCTCTCAGACTGGTTCTCGCCAAGGGGACTTGGGACAAGCTCTTGTCCTTCGTCAGTACCGCCAACGGTCTGAACATGGAGATAGCGAACCAGTTTCGAAAGGCCGTGACTCTCGCCGAGTCCCAACGCGACTTCCTCGATCGCCATTATGCGTTCCTCCCACCCTCTCATCGAGTCGCTAAGCAGCGATTTCGGGAGCATGGAGTCCTTCAACCTTTTGGAGTAGGACGAAGCGAATTTACCATCCCGAATCCGTGAGTGTTCGTTTCATTGACTTCCGGGATAAAACTAATATCTTCAGGACACTCTTCCATTCTCCATGCTCGTGGCCAATGGAGTATTCCTGCGAACCGCTAGATGGGTGGTCTGCGAAAGACGTTGAAATGACTCAGCATGGACCTGCAACCTCCGACATCTACGGTAAACTCTTCACCTACCTTCGCTCAGTCCTGAAGCACTTCATTTCACGTATTGCAAACAAACGGATCACCTTTCAGCTACTCCACTTGAATGCTACCGACCTTCTTGACCATCTCAAGAAGGGGTCATTTGATCGCATCGAGGTAAGATTCGGTGACTGTGTATCGACAGTACACTTACATTCTTTAAAGGTATCCAATATTTCGGACAAGTCTTATCTCGGCATCAATATGACGGTTACTGTGATGGCACCCTTGCTTCGCTCACCTACAGTCAATCCTCACGCAACACTTATCACACGCTTCATGGATGCCATCCAGGAAAACATGACAAGTGAGGATCGTGTTGGCCCGACTCCTGGGTCTGACAAACATGAAGAAATGGTGGCACTCCTCGACGGTTACTTTCCCGAAACTGCCCTGCCTACTACAACCTGGGATGCAATTATCGTCAAGTTCGTACTTGCTTCGGATTTGATCCGAACCTTTGACCACATTTTCGACAAGTGAGTAATTGGGGAAGCTCTGCGATTGCCTTTGGACCTAACAGTTGTAGGATTGCACACAAACTTGAGTTTGATGAATTTCCGGAGTATATGAAGGTCGGGATCAAAGACGAGCACACCATCATCGAGAAATGGCCTTTTAGACTCAAGCTAAAGCAGGGACAGGCGGGTGCGCAGGAGGAGTTTGATCGCATGATGGGAGCGGGAGTGACTGGAAAGGAGTTCTACTTAGAGTGGAAAAGGGTCTAGGTGTGGAATGAGATGGTGGCAAATGAGCTGACGAGGACACATTTGCGAATTATTCTGGCCATCAGCTTTGTCTGTCACGAAAGTGTGGATGTCTTGACGCCGGGTTAAGCCTGTGACCGCTCGGAAGGGCTCAGGCACTATAGCCAGAGATTTAGGGTCCTCAGTCTGTTAAAGTGAATTTTATGCCATAAGAAAGAATTATGGTTATTCTAGGAACTGTCTACATAGAATTAAGAACTACTAAGCATGACGACCATTGCCAAGTCCTTATGTAACGCGATGCCAATCCTGTGATGCCTGGGCCACTTCGTCAACGATCCTAGCTGTTATGGCACGCCTTGACTGAGCAAGCTTAGCACTGATAAGGGTAGTTCGTATGACAAACAATAGCAGGGTATGGCCCGATAAGAGGGACAAAGTCAGCAGTATAAGCAATTACCATATACATGTTATGTAACAGCAGTAACAACAAGAACTTCATTTCAGTAGCCATAAGCCCAACATAAGAGGCAAAATATTAACATTCTTAAGAACAATGTTTTCATTCTTTCAAGAAACAATAACAGCTGTTCACATCGTCATTTTGCCGATCTAAAAGGTTACCTGGAAAGGCCAGTATCAGCCCTATTACTTAGTAAAACTTCGGCATTATCGTAGTCCTCAGACGAAATTTAGCCTATGTATTGCTGATAGTATGCTATCAATCTTAGTATATATCTCTAAAACGCAGTATCAGCTATCGGCAACAGCGCTGGTCTACCTGTTCCATCCTGTGGAGTTGAAGTTGCAATTATCGGGGCTCTCACCCTCAACATCAAAATGCAGAGCATCCCTGAATTAGGTTACATTTATAAAGCGGTAAATATTGGCCAAAGTCGAAGCAAAGTTGCTAATGGGACTTTGGAGTTTAGAGAAGAATACTCAGCCTGCCGGCTACTCCGTGAGTATATCCATATTGTCCAGATTTGTTTTCAGCTATGCACGGAAATTCAATAGTTTTAGACCCTTATCCTTTCAAGGATCAATTATTGACGCTAGTGGGGAATATTGCTCCGAGTTGGGACAGACTATTGACTGTTGACTGTTAATATGGTTAGTCTTGTCTGCCATTGGGGTTGTTTAGTGGCCTAGGTGACAGTTTAAAAATAAATCGGAATTGTTGCGCGGGCATATTCCGCCCCAAACTGATCAATGACTGGTCAATCCTTCGACTTCGTCACCTACCCGGGAGATATACCTATGATGGAGGATGACCGCTGAATTGGCCTCGACCTGTCTTTATTGCCAAGCTATGGGGCATTGCATCGGCCAGCCAGCCACAACACCATCCATCCACGTCACCTCACTGGCTCCCTCTTCTATTTTCGGCCGAATGCATAAGGTAGTCTATGAGATAGCAATTGAACCAGAGCGGAAATCTTTTATTAAGAGCAAGACCCCTTTCAGTCACGAAGATGATTCCTCAACATCGCCTGACCACACACCTTTCTCAATCACCCTGCCAATTTTATCTTTTACCCATTATTCTTGGATACTACAGCAAGTTTACAAAATGTCGGCATTAGCGGAGAAAATCGGCACTAAGCTTCTGGTAAAATTTGCTTGTGGTATTGCACAAGCTGCTGGCGCCAAGGCTTTTGAGAAGGGGTTTGAGGAGTTCTTTGGCAGCGATGAAAAGAACCTTGAGAACACCATCAAGAACGAGATCGCAGATGTCAAGAAGGAACTCAAGGAAGCCATCAACCAGATTCGAGATGTCAAGAAGTCTATTGAGAACCTTGCCAGTCAATTGGCTGATAGCATCCTGCAACTTCGAAGCGACTCCTTGAAGGGTCACTTGACAAAGATCGACAGTCTCTACAACAGCATCATCGACATTTTCGAGACTGTCGTTCACGACTCCGAGATTACGGACCTTGAGAAGCGCCAGCTGAGGATGCGTGAGCTCCAAAAGCGATTGGACAGTCGACTTAAGGAGGTTGCTAAGGACGTTCCCGAAAGTCTGGAACAAATCAACAGCTTTCTTGGCGAGGAGGGAAACAGTTCGTTCCTAAAGCAACTCGCACAGCGTGCTTTTGACAACTCTGAAGAATTCCGAATTTTTTACCTCAGATGCAGGGCTTTGGTGAGTAACAATTGATCAACAATTAGTGACTGGGCATGTGTAGCTAACTAGATGTTCAGGTCTACAGCTACTGGGCAGTGGTCGGCCGGGGAATTGAGCTTTTAGAGATGGCGACAAAAGCCCCGAAAGTCCACTTCTCCGAAGGAGAGAAGACTACCGCCCGGCACCTTGGATACCTGGAGAAGCAGCAAAAGCTTTTCGAATCATCTGTCGGCAAGGCTACGATCGACCTCTACAACAGGCTTATGGAAGTCAAGGGTGAAGAGAAGCTGAAAGTCTGGTTTGCGACAAACGCTTCATCTGGATTTTCAGGACACACTCTCCCTATTGATGGACTCGGCCCCGTAGCCGTTGCAGATGCCGGGTGGCAGAAATGGTACCTAACACCTGCGTCGGGCAGGGAATCACTTGATTCATTCAGCGGCTCTGCCTATTGGCTACAAGACATTGAAACAGGCGATTGGTTGGGCAATCTAACTGCAGGTGCTGGCTATCTTACTAGCAGATACGTCATTAAAGGACATGGGCTCAAGACCCCCGTTCAGTGGAACTGGTTTATCAAGCCTGCAGCGCCAGGTTCCGACAGGTTTACTCTTAGGCAGGAAGAGTCTCCAGGCTGGGTTATAAGTGTGGACAGGCAAACTAAGGTATTGATAATGCATGGGCCCTTGCCTAGCCCAAGTGCTGAGTTGTTCCAAATTCTACCTGTGGATAACTGAAGATCGACGATAGTGCAATGAATAACATGGACCATGTACCATCACGCATAGTTATTTAGGGGCTTAACTCCTCTCTTTATTATATTCATAGTCAGGCATACTTTCCATCACGAAGTGCTGAGACGCGGTGGTGTCTTTCTCCGCAAACTCTGACTTCCATTTTACAGCATCTTGCTCCTCATCAAGCGACTTTGAACCCAAACCTTCATCACTCCATCACGTCTCAGCAAGGTTTCAAGCACTTTAGGTCACGTATATAAGGCAGTGAAGATCAGCTACTATCTGTGGAGAGTCCATTCATGAGCTAAAAATAACTATGTACAAAGAATGACAGAGGTCGACTGCACACTAAACCACGGCCCCGTGCACGCCCCCGAACCACAAGAGTAATTTGATTCAACCTGTGACGCCTTGGCCACTTCGTCAACGACGCCAAGATACGCCTTCAGCGAGCGAACTTAGCTCTGGTACAAGCAGTTGATACGGATACCAGTAGCGAAGTAAGGTCCAACAATGGGGATAAAGTCAGCAACATAGGCAGAAATAGTCTGGGCCTTGGAGCAACCACCAGAGCCAGGAGCCTGCGAAGAGATTCTAGCCTGGTAGGCATCGGCACGGAGAGATCCATCGCGGTTGTAGACATTCATGCGGATAATGCTGGGCATCCAAGTTCCCCACTTGAGGCCAGTGCACTCCATTCCCTCCAACGGGCAGTCGGAGTTATGCGGGCAAGCCTTGCCGGATCGTCCTCCGCATGCCGAGTTAGTTCTTCCCGGCTTGGCCTCCTGCCAGGTAAAGCCGTAGCAGTTGTTGTAAACAGTGTATCCGTTCTTCTTGCCAATGCCATCGGCGGTCTGCCACATAGAGTGGATCAGGGCGTCGCGCATCGACCAGCCGCTGAGACGGCCCACAGCTCCCCACTGTCCATCGAGGATGAATCGTGTGGTGACGCCGTTACCAGCGCCAGGGCCGTTACAGAACTTGCTCCATGCGCCACGGGTGATATCCGAGAGACCGCCCTTGTCGTCACTGGAGTCGTACATGCGTGTCCAGAGCATGTAGAAGGTGTCGACGTCACCGACGTTGACGAGGTTGTCGGTGTACATGCCGTGGACTTGGTAGATCCAGCTGGCTCTGGCTTCGAGAGCTTCAGTCTCGTTGAAGGTGGACGCAGCAGCGGCTTCTTGGCGGGCTGCTTCTTCCTTGACGGCTTGGAGCCAGTGCTCAGGATCAGCTTTCTGGATCTTGTCGAAACCCTGAGGCTTCTCGAGCTTCAGAGTGGGTGGCTGAGCTTCAGTGGGAAGGGAGAAGACGAGCGGAATGCTTGCGAGAAGCGCAAGAGAGGTGGGAGTGAACTTCATGATGGAAGAGTTGAAGGGGTTGGAACGTTTGAAGTGAGGCTGTGATGAGGATGTTGAGATATCTGTGGGATTCAATGATCTATATATACTGTTCTACACCAAACCAACCTCTCTCGCGACTGTATCGCCATTTTGACGCGTATTCGATAGCAAATAGATTCTCAATGATAGTCATCCGTCAATCCAACTCCAGGCTAAGCTTTTCTTGATCATGTACCTGACCTAACTAAGAAGCTGGAGGGAGATGGTCCTCAAAGTTTGTGCTAAAGAGATAACATGACTTCACGAAACACCCTGATAGGAACGTTTACACAAATTTACACGATTATCCTCAATCGGAACAAGTCTTCTAGAACTATTCTCTTAGCACCCATGTTACCAAAGCTCGTGGCCTAGGTTTCATATTTTTCCACGACTCAGGTTTCATCGCTTACTAGTCACCGCATCTCTTTTCGTATATAAGGTTCATGCCGTTAGTGGAGCTAATGGATAGATACACTATTCTCCAATGGACATGACTCAGTGTCTTTCTTAAACTTCAGCTCACCTTCCTCTTTCTACTGGTGAGGGATCCATCATTCGATAAAACATTCTAGAAATCGGCAGGGTTTAGTCTGTGCCCTACGGCTGTACGGCCGACTTCGTGCATGGGGCACTTCGGCAGTTGTGTTGGGATGGACTAAGCCCTTTGGGGGGAGCTGAAATTAAAGGATGGCTATGCGAGATTGGGTCTCATGATAAGCTAGAGGGATGACAATGTGGGCTAATAAAATAGACTAACTTGAGTAGTGGTGGCGGCTGGAATACTTGATAAGTGTTGATATGATGAATTTCAAGTTGTCTGACATCTGCCCTTCAACTGGTATTCCCATTTCTCTCATCTTTCGTTTTGTCATCATGCGTTCATCAACTTTGGTATCACTCGTTGCTCTTGCTGCTCACGCACAAGCCGTTCAACTCAGTAAAACAGAGTTCAATGTGTTGGTATCTTCGAGACCAGCGTTGATTCTGTTTACAGCAGACGGCTGCAAGGAGTGTGATAGGGTTCAAGCAGTTCTGGACAGGGCGTCGCCAGCACTTACAAACACTGCTATTGCTTCCGTCAACTGCAACGACGAACCAACTGTGTGCGATGACTCTCAAGTCTTCACAGTCCCAACGTTGAAGTTTACAACCGGCAACAATGAGCTTGTCACTTACAAAGAAGGTTTAGACGCGTCATCGTGGGTTTCGTTGCTTCCGTGAAATTGCTTGTGGATCACTGATCGTCGCTGCAGGGTTGTCAAATACATCGAGCGGCAATCAGGTTCTCCCGTTGTAGATCTTACCGAAGACACCTATCTCAATTTTACGCGGGCATCTCGAGTTGCAGTCATTGCTTTTCTTGGCTCGGATCATCAACATGAACGCAAAGCTTTTGACGCTGTCGCTGAGAAATGGAGAGCGCATTACAGTTTTGGTACTGTGCATGGCCTTGAGAAAGACAGCAAGGGTCCGTCCATTGCTGTTTATACTCAGGAGGAAGAAGATCCCGTTCACTACCGCGGGCCTTTCACCGTCACGGATGTCGAGGCTTTCTTGCGTGACGCGACTCGGCCGCTAATTCGTGAATATGATCCCATCGTTCATGAAGAAGTGATGAAGGTAAGTAACCTCTCCCTCAGGGCTTCATATCGACTAACCGTTCAAGGATGAGCAGCCGATGGCCCAAATATTCTTCGACAAACGCGACGATCGGGCTGAGCTCGTCAAGAGTCTGGCTCCTCTTGCTAAGAAGTATAAGGACCAGCTTTCCTTTGTGACGGTCCTTGCGCCAGATTACCCCAAGAGATGCGAGCAGATGCATCTCAGCAAAGACATCAAGCGTGGCTTTGCCATCGCAAATCAGCAGGGCAGAGCGTATCCCATGTCTGAAAAGGTGTTCAACGCCAATAGGGTCGCTAAGCATGTGGCTGCTTACCTGGCTAGCTCATTAACACCCAGCATCAAGTCAGAACCAGTGCCTGAGGTGTCGACATCACAGCCTTTCTTGACAAAGTTGGTGGGCAGTAATTTTGACGACATGGTATTGGACAAGTCTAAAGATGTCTTGGTTGAGTTCTACGTACCGTGGTGTCAATACTGTACCGAGTAAGCCAGACTTGTCTCTACGCTTTTCCAGTGCTAACGAATTGAATAGTTTGCATGCCGTGCTGAACCAGCTTGGTTCCAAGTACGCAGAGCTTGGACTTTCTGATAAAGCTGCTCTGGCTACGATTAACGTCGATGCGAATGACGTACCAATCGAGATTGACTCGTATCCTTCAATCAGATTATATCGTGCTGGTACAAATGAGGTTGTTTCTTTCAAGGGCAACTTCACTGACATGTTGACGGTTGAACAACTCGACGCTTTCATCGCTCAGAGCGGAAGTCATGGGGTCAGTATCATGGAGCAGACCGAGCGAGGAGCTCGTGATGAGCTGTAGTATAGACGAGAAATGATAAAAGGCCTTATTAAAAAAGAAAAAAGAAGGAAAGAAAAACTTCAGCTCCATCACTCGGATTATAATGTCGCACGATAAATTATGATGTTGATCAAGTTGCCTTGCAATGGCTGAGTGTTACCTGACACAATACAAGTTGGACGGCGGCGGTCAGCTGAGTGGCTGTGTCAGACCAGTGCGTGGGTCTCTAGTGAGGAGGGGTATTTTTGAGGTGTCATCCGCAACTCAGCACGTTAAAACAATAGAAACAAGGGATGATATAAGACCCCATTTAGTCTTTCCATTCCTACCAGAGTGTCCTGCCGGTTGTCGATTCTCAAATGTGGCCGTCCAAGCCCAAGGCAGAGGCCAAGTCCTCCGCGCGCCACTCAAGAGACAGCTGTTCCAGTTTCAAAGTCCCTGCGGCATTGAGAGCCAGTTCACTTCTAAGCAGGGTATGCTCCAATCTTATATGCCCTTCCTACCCTTCCTGCACGTAGCTATCTGGCCACATAGCCAACTCGTTCCCCTTCGACGCATCTGGAGCTTATCGGCTGATGTCGGAATCGGTAGATGAATCCATCCCTTCGCGCAAGTTCTATAGAGTCATATTTAGGAGGACTTGTGAGCAACAGGTTGATCTTTGATCGCGACAGTGATTTGAGAATCCCTCTGTTCGCTGACTTGGAGCAAGATTCCAACGTAGAGGGAATTTTGCTCTCAATCAACAATCCGAGATCGCCGATATGTCGCTTCACTCCACTTGAGAACAATGGTACTCCAGCTAAAAGCACTTCCGGAATCTATCACCCTTTGCCCGGGGCCAGTACCTTCCGAGTACTAGAGATCCTCGCTGGCGATGATGACGTGGTTCAATGTAAGCTCCATGTATGTAGCTTGCAAACAAACGAGGCAGCATATGAGGCTCTGTCATACACTTGGGGTACGCCAGGTATTTCCAGTCAGCGGAAGATAGAAATCATCTCCAACGGCGCGAGTCATTCTGTGTCTATCTCCGGGAGTTTGTACATCGCATTACGAGAGCTTCGGAGAAGCAATACAAGTAGAGTGATATGGGCTGATGCCATCTGTATCAACCAGGAGGATGTGAAAGAAAGAGGCCAGCAGGTAGTGCTGATGGGGCAGATATTCAGTGGCGCATGGCAGGTAGTCGTATGGCTAGGTGAAGAGAGCGACCGTTGCATGTGTGGAAACACGGTCCTGGAGACATCTCTTTCTTCGGTGTCAAAAGCCTTTTCGGGAGTATGCGCAGTTGTCAACGACTGGCTCGCACAAGCCGGTCAAGAGGCCCTCGAAGCAACTTACTCGGAACTCTCAAAAGATGACGATTCTACCGTATATCGCGCCAACATCAACGATGGTGAAGACAGCCGCTCTTACATGTTGCAGCTCTTCAGACGTCGTTGGTTCTCTCGGATGTGGGTCTTGCAAGAAGCTGTCCTAGCCAGGCATGCACTTGTTCAACTCGGCTCTTACCAGATCCCCTGGGAGTGGGTTGGCCTCGCAGCAGCTATACTGGTCCACAAGCCGGAGCTGTCACCCAGCGGCTTTGGGCGAGACATGATCCCTACTGGAGCGATGAACGGTTATCTGATGTATCGGCTATCAGTTTCGCAGAAATGTTTCCCACGACTAGAATTCTCGTTTGCACAATTACTCCAAGTTTCTCGGCATTTCCAGAGCAAAGAACCGAAGGATAAGGTCTATGGCCTCTTGGGTATCGAAACAACAGACTCTGTGGGCAGGCAGATCGTCCCAGACTACCGGGAGACAATTACTTCCGAGAAAGTCTTCGAAGATATCGCAAGACTCATGCTTGAGTCGGCGAACCCACTGACCTTTCTTTCGGGAGCTGGGACATTTGGAGACTATGATCGATCAAGGCCATCGTGGGTGCCAAGCTGGCATAAGCGCCGGCCATGGACGATATTACCGACTAAGCAAGATCAAGGGTTCCATTGTGCATCTGCTTCTCGAATGGAAATGCGTTCCGATCACAAGGAAGGAGAGCTGGTCCTCAAAGGCGTGATCATAGATCAAATCACCTCCATGCAGGAACACCGCGACTATTGGGGGATCTTCGACGGAAATGACAAAAGTCGCAACAATCTCCTTAATCAGCCACGATGGAGCACGGAGGCATGGAGAAAATGCGCCATGATTTTAACGTGCGGTGGGGATGGGAGAGCATATCCTATTGATGATGAGGCCACGAATCTGGCTGATCTAGCTGCTCTGGTCCTTTCGAGAAGTGCCCACTGGGTCATTAGAGATCTTATAGCTCTTCGAGATGTTATTGAGCCCGAAGACGACGAAATGACGCAAGCTGAGTATCTCGCTGAGATAGCTGAAGGCGGGAATGCTCGTCGATACATCAGCGCCGTGGAACCTGTTCGTAACTCTTATAGATTGTTTAAGACGGCGTCGAAAGACTTTGGGGTTGGACCCGTGGATATGAAGATTGGGGATAAGCTCTGCGTATTGTTTGGCGCAGAGGTTCCGTTTTTGTTGAGGCCGAAGGGAGATGGGTACTTGGTTATCGGGGAGTGTTATGTCTATGATTTGATGCATGGAGAAATCCTCGAGAAACTTGCTGCTGATCCAGAAGGACAGTTGAAGGCTGAATGGATCAAACTCATCTAGTGGAGTCGATTTGCGAAGAACAGATGAAGGCATAGAACAATGGCCTGATGATGTATAAATGAACCAGATTGAATTGCAGTTCTCCGTAATTATCTATGCCAAGTACCCAATAACGCCTATTCCAGCTCAAAGTTAACATAAACCCGACTCTCCCAACCCGCAAGCATCGGCCGTCCACCCTTCAATCCACCTGCACTTTCCCTCGTATAAGCCATCAACCTAACATCCTCATGCGCACAACCCAACACTGTAGGAACATCCGGACCAAGTCTATCCTCACGACTTATGTTCAACACCACAACAGCCTTCCTCTTCTCAGACCGTCTTCCCTTGACAGGTACAACACTCTCTTTAACGTAGCTAAACAACGATTCATCCTCTGGGTCAAGAAGTTTGAAGCATCCGAAGACGAAGACATCTTGATACTGCTTTCGAAGGCGGAGCATGGCTTTGTAGAAACTGAGAATAGAGTTGGGGTCTTTAACTTGCTTGGCGACGTTGATATCGCGGTAGTCATCGTGGACTCTCATCCACGGCTTCGCAGATGCGTCAGCGAAGCCCGCGTTGGGTGAATCATCCCACTGGAAGGGAATACGCGAATGATCGCGCGCCATGATTTGAAGACCGTGCATTGTGTCTCTAACGCGCTTCTCATCGCCCGACGCGACGGCTTCGGCGTAAAAATTGCTGCTCTCGATATCCTTGTACTCTTCGATTCCCCACGACCTAGGCATGTTGGTCATACCAATTTCTTGTCCTTGGTACAGGAATAAAGTTCCTGTTAGTGTTGTTTGCCAGATAGCTAGAGTTTTGGCCGACTTGAGCCACCATTCTGGCGTTGACGCGTCACCGAAGCGATCCACCGCACGACCATTGTCGTGATTCTCGCAAAACGCTGTTGCCCATGCATCTGTGCCCTCGATGAAGCTCTGCCACTTGTAGACAAATGCCTTCAGCTTAGATAACGGGAATGGTTGGTAGATATACTTATCACCAAAACCGTTTCCATTGCCAAGTCGTATCATGGAGAACTCAAATACCATGTCCAACTCTTTCGCAGCGGCGGATACATAAGGAATGACTTGTGAAGGATTAGGCGTGTTCGAAAGCTCACCCACTGAAACCGCGTTGTAAGGGCCAAGCACTTTCTCGTACATCTCATGAATAAACTCATGGATGCGCGGTCCGTTACACCACATTTCAGGTGCAGGCTGATGAGGCGACGCAGGATCCGTGATAGGCGCGTCGACAAAATCTCGTCTCTTGGAGTACTTATTGACGGTATCGATGCGAAAACCATCAACACCACGATCAAGCCAAAAGCGCATGGTATTCTCGTAAATCGCCTCTCGGCACTCATCATTATCCCAATTCAGATCAGGCTGATCAGGCGCATAAAGATGAAGATAATATTCCTGGGTACCTTCATCCCAAGTCCACGTCGAGCACGCAAAATACCCTCTCCAATTCGTAGGAGGATGTCTCACGCCGTTCTCATCATACCGCGCCGGTTTCCAGATATACCAATCCCTCTTCGGATTATCCTTTGACGATCTCGATTCTTTGAACCACTCATGCTCTATTGAGGTGTGATTCACGACAAGATCGAGAATGATCTTGAGACCACGCGCATGGCATTCTTTGACGAGAATATCGACATCTTCAACGCTGCCGTAGGGTTCGTAGATTTTCTGATAATCTGAAACGTCGTAGCCCATGTCCTTCTGGGGACTCTCGAAAATGGGCGACACCCATACGACGTCGATGCCAAGATCGCTTAAATAATCGAGCTTGGAGATGAGACCGGGTAAATCGCCCCAGCCATCGTTGTTGGAGTCTTTGAAGCTGGCTGGGTAGACTTGATAGAAAGATGCGGCTTTCCACCAGGACTGTTTGCCTATGTATTGATGCTCATCATCCCAGACGATGGAGCCCATGATGGCTGTGATGATTTGAGAGATGGATGAAGATGAAGGAGGATGGTGAGATGGGAATGAGTGGTCATGGGAATATTGTTGAGAGGGGAAGACGAGGTGCTTATTATTAACCCATCTTATCGGCCGACATCACTCCGTTGAATGTGGAGATCAGATCCTTTCTGTGATCAACGCCGCATAACGGACTCTCCGCTCAAACAATCGAGTGTAACATCCATCGCCAACTCGTAAAAGATCAGCCGAGGCTGTCTCTCACCCCATCAATCTACCCTACGACGTCACCTAAAAAATCCAAGCTCGTGTGTGACCAGCGGAGACTCCGCCTCTAGCGCTCCCACAATCGGAGTTGTTCCGCACTATTGATCTCTAGTCCCAAAAGAACCAATTACTGCAGTGAAACAAATTCCGAAGGGTGGAAGCTCCGCTAGCCCGCGGAGTCTCCTGTGCAAAAGACTCGTGCCCCAATCCCATTTCTTGAAAATCACCCCACACACTCAATTCCCCCGTGCCCCAGGTTTCCCCATGCTTCATACCAGATGATGTACAGGTCCTGTTTCTGGGGAGTTTTTTCTAAGTTAAGCTTGGGCGAAAAAAGAAAAATCATCATCCGAGCTGTCGGGTTCAGGCGTAGCGAGCATCGGCTCCGCGAAAGTACATAAAGGACCGACTATCCTTCCTCTTTTCCGAATTCCCAGCATCTCCATCATCACTTCCTCCCATCCCAACCTTTCACCATGGCTTCTTATCCCGAGAAGAGTATCGACGCTCAGCATGACGAGACTGTAAGCCCTGAGGCTCTTGCTTCAGAGGCCAAAGTCGCCGCCGAGGCTGAGCATCATATGACCCTCTGGCAAGCTATCAAGACTTACCCCAAAGCCATCGGTTGGTCTGTTCTCTTGTCGACGACGCTCATCATGGAAGGCTATGATCTTGCTTTACTTGGCAATTTGTACGCGTCTCCTGTGTTTAACGAGAAGTTTGGCTCGTGGAATGCTGAGAAGGAGAAATACGCTGTTTCTCCTGCTTGGCAATCTGGTTTGTCTAACGGTGCTCGCGCCGGTGAGATCATTGGTCTCATCATCGCGGGTTGGACGTCTGACAGGTACGGCTACAAGATGACAACCATCGGCTCTCTCATCCTCATGATTGCCTTTGTCTTTGTTCTCTTCTTCGCTCCCAACGTCAAGATCCTCGTGCTCGGAGAAGTCCTCTGCGGTTAGTTATCAGATCATACCACTACCTGTGCCATTCGCTAATGTAACGATGCAAGGTATCCCATGGGGCGCGTTCCAAAGCGTTACTCCTGCATATGCATCCGAAGTAGCACCGGTTGTTCTGCGACCTTACCTCACGACCTTCATCAACATGTGCTGGGTAATTGGCCAGTTCTTTGCAGCTGCTGTGAACAAAGGTTCCGTTGGGCGCGGTGATGAGTGGGCTTATCGCATCCCTTTTGGTGTGCAGTGGGTTTGGCCCGTGCCTATCCTGGCAGGTGTTATTTTTGCTCCAGAGTAAGTTGTGTCACATCATCAGAGCGAGGAGTGTTGAGCTAATGTCGTGATAGATCACCTTGGTGGTATGTTAGGAAGGGCAACCGAGCTGCAGCTAAGAAGTCGCTTCTGAGACTTACTTCGCCCCAACAACCCAACTTTAACGCCGACGAGACGATTGCCATGATTGAGCATACAAATGAGATGGAGAAGAACTTGAAGGAGGGCACTACCTACAGAGACTGCTTTAAGGGTGTTGATCTTCGCCGAACTGAGATCGTTGTTGGTATCTGGCTTGTGCAGACCCTCGGTGGACAGAACCTCATGGGTTATTTCTCATACTTCCTTACACAGGCCGGTATGGATGCCAGCAACTCCTTCTCTCTGTCCATGGGTCAATATGCTCTTGGAATGGTTGGCACAATGGGCTCTTGGTTCTTGATGTCTAGAGTTGGTCGACGCACGATTCACTTCTCAGGTCTATGCTCCCAACTTCTCATCCTCATCATCGTTGGCTCGCTCTCCTTCTCCAAAGACAACTCATCTGTCTGGGCTATTGGCGGCATGCTCATTCTCTTCACATTCGTCTACGACTTCACCGTTGGCCCCGTCACATACTCTCTCATCTCCGAGCTCTCCTCGACCCGACTCAAGGCCAAGACCATCGTGATGGCCCGCGCCGCTTACAACGCTAGCAACATCTTTGTCAACGTCATGACCAACTATCAGCTTTCATCGTCCGCGTGGAACTGGGGAGCTCGCACCGCCTACTTCTGGGCTGGAACATGTCTCCTTTCTGCTATCTGGGTATTCTTCAGACTTCCTGAGCCTAAGGATCGTACTTATGCTGAGCTGGATGTTCTCTTTGAGAAGAAGGTCCCCGCGAGAAAGTTTGCCAAGACGCATATCGACCCTTACTCGCACTCCGTTACTTCGGACAAGAAGTTGAACGAGAAGGAATTGCAGTAGGCATTGCAATAATGTATCGCAGTGATGGGATCAAAAGAAACGAGGTGTATGATAGTAATGTGGGTATATAGTATTGAATAGCTTGCTGTACAGATTGTTCGTTATGAATTTACTCTCGATATTGGCGGACTACTGTGGGCCATGCTAGGCCCGGGACTCGGCAGTGCCTGTTGTATGTGCTTTTCTAGAAGCGGCTCATAAGTGGATGCACCTCCCGGCAGTTTGGTTATGAGGTTCCGGATATATAGTAGATCGTCTTCAGGTGACGTGCCCATTGCCAGGCCTTGAGGACTTGAAGGCGTGACGGGGACGCGAGCCAGGACGTCTACCACGGCCGAGACAATATCGTACAGCTTCTCTGTTACTCCGATGCCGTGAATCTTTATACTGTCGATGGAAAGATCTCGTGTTGAGAGCGTGAGATCTTTGGCAACGACTAGAGGGTACTGATAGGTCAGACTATGCTGATGTGCATTTTCACTGAGATGACCCAATCGAAGGCGCAATTTCCATACGATCATTCGCAACCACAGCTGCGTTATCCTCAAATTCGCCTTCTGCGTCTCATGAAGCTGCAAGTCAGGCTTTATAGCCGTATTAACAGCCGTCTCCACGAAATCCAGCGACGAAAGAGGCGGTGAGATGGCGAAACGCTCCTGATTCAGCAGCGCAACAAACGAGGTGTCAATGGGTCTAAAAAGTGCCGAAAGACTCCAGAAGCCAGAGAGCGAAGGATCGTTGAGGTCGATTTCTGGGGCCTCGTCGGTTATTTGTAATGTGATGGGGCGGCGATATCGGATGGCGTGAGATCGCTCTGATACGACAAGGACCCAGAATAGTCGGTGTGCTAACGCCTTTGCGGAATGGTCCATGTCCTCGATGCGCAAAAGACAGAATAGAGTTGTTGCTTCGCGCAGGAAGAGAAATGTTTGGCTGTGGTGCGAGAGACGCGCTTGGCAGGCGTAGAGGAAGAATGCGAGGAGGCATTGGTTGAGGGTTGGTTTCATTGTGCGGGGGGTGGATTGATGGACGGTGACGACTTGGTCCACGATCATTGAACCATATGTCGCGTTATTCTCAGCTATGATGCCTTGCGACAGTAAATTCTCCGGCTCTTCTGTCTGGAGGAGTACCTGCGCGCACATGGCGACAAGCACAGAGTACGCCTCAAGTCTCCATTCAGGCGTGGCCGACGATGACGCCGATCTCAGCAGCACGACATAATCGCGAGTCAGAATAGGAATAGTAGGGTAAAGCCGTGCAAAGAAGCGCTCGACGCAATGATCGAGTACCTGAGCCGGTACAAGCTCAATGAGACGATGCAGCGCGGCGACAGGTGCATTTGAGGGTACCGAGTAATGGCCGGGGATGGGCTGGAGAATGCTCGGAGCGCCGGACTGTCCAATGCAGCGATCTCCTAGACCTGCATCCACACATCGCCTGCAGGGCCGATACTCGTTACAGCCTCGGCGGAGCGTCTTGCAGCGCTGACAGGCTCTAGGTACCTGCGTCCGCTTGGCGGGGGGGACATCATCGTCAGGCATAGGTTAGGTTAGCCTCAGATAAGACACGTCTCTACTGTGCGTGCTGTGTCTATCTGGGCAAGGTAGCGGTACTGTACGGGTATGGAGAGATAAAGGATGGATAATCGCGCACGTGCGTGGGTCGAGGGTTTACCGCAACGGGAGTAAGTTTCCTTGGGATGAGGTAACGGAAAGATAAGAAAATAAAACGAAAAATTCCCGCAGCCGATAGGGATGTAACTCAAGTGTTCAAGGGGACAAGAGAGTGACTGAGTCAAGAACCAACAGAGAAAAGAGAGAAAGTGGATTTTGAGTTCGTGGGGATTGGAGAGGCTGGTTCGATATTAGGAACTGCTACACCCCGCTTACAGGCTATGCCTAAATGGGCCGTTACATGTCGTCTATCACTTGGCAAAGCATGTCAACTTAAATTAATATCTACATCTTTGAACCGATCTATTGGTAAATGAGACAGAATCTATCTATCCTAGATGTAGAAATAATTACCATGATCAAGCCAATTGCTGGCAGTGGCTGTCTTCCCCGCGTCTGCATCGGCATGTCAGCGTTAGAGGCCGAACGATAATTATTCAGACTAGAATCTTGGCAGAAACCCGTAATCCTTGGCCGATCACCTATCGCCGTACGTAATTAGGGCGCACGGCGAGAACCTTCTACCCTCACCTTACTTGCTCTTGGCTATCTTACTATCCTCGAACTAGAGAGCCGATCCGACGGGACCTGTTAACTAATGATAAGGTAACACGGTGGGTTACACGCATATCCTCGGTCAGGTTAAGATACCCACGTTTGACATACCAAGACACCAAGCTACCAAGATATCACGACTATAAAAGATGCCCAAATTCCCCTTCATCATGTTCTTCTTCCTCTGTTCTCCAGGCAGTTGTCTTATATCGTTGATAGTCTTGTCCTGACCGCCCAACATGTCACCCTCTCTTCAATCCCTGCTCGCTCTCACAACCCTTGTAGGCTCGGCCCTCGCTTCGCCTCTCCCCGAGATACCCCAGCTCCTCACCCGTGCAGTCAGCGACTTTGAGTGCTACAACGCCAGTCTTCCCAACATCACCATCTACGCCACCGGCGGCACAATCGCCGGTTCAGCTGGGTCTTCTGACCAGACTACGGGCTACAAGGCTGGTGCCTTGGGTATCAAGACTTTGATCGACGCTGTTCCCCAATTATGCAACGTCTCCAATGTTCGGGGCGTGCAGATCGCCAATGTTGATAGTGGAGACATTAATTCTACTATTCTGACCACTTTGGCGCATCGCATTCAGGATGATCTTGATAGTGATCATATGCAGGGTGTTGTTGTGACTCATGGCACTGATACCCTCGAGGAGTCATCTTTCTTCCTGGATCTTACTGTCAAGAGTGAGAAGCCTGTTGTTTTGGTGGGCTCTATGCGCCCTGCTACTGCTCTCTCCGCTGATGGCCCTCTCAACCTCCTCTCTGCCGTCAGACTCGCCAGCAGCAAGAGCGCTATGGGCCGAGGAGCAATGATCGTTCTCAACGATAAGATTGCTTCTGCGCGATACACTGTCAAGACAAACGCCAACTCCCTCGACACATTCAAAGCCGAGGATCAAGGCTATCTCGGCTCCTTCGAGAACGTCGAGCCTATCTTCTGGTACCCCGCCACTCGACCTCTCGGTCATCACTACTTCAATATCAGCACCAGCTCCACCAAGACTGCTCTTCCTCAAGTTGACGTGCTGTATGGCCATCAAGAGACTGACCCTAAGCTTTTCCAAGAAGCTATTGAGAACGGTGCTGAGGGTATTGTTCTCGCTGGTCTTGGTGCCGGAGGTTGGCCTGATAAGGCTGTTGATGAGATCAAGAAGGTTCTCAATGAGACTGAGATTCCTGTCGTTGTTAGCCGACGTACTGCCTGGGGATATGTTGATGAGCGGCCCTTCGGTATTGGAGCTGGATACTTGAATCCTTCCAAGTCACGCATTCAGCTTCAGCTTGCTTTGGAGAAGAAGCTGTCCATTGAGGAGATCAAGGACATTTTTGAGTATGCTTCTTAGATGATGAGCGAATTTGTATGACTTCATGATGTATATATGAACTAGAATAAGATTCTCAAGAGAATATGATATGCAACGCACTATTTAAGCAAGAAGGGATCAAACGTCTAATTTTATTCGATTATTCCAAGACTGGGGAATTATCAGAGTCCCTGTGCGTTATTTTCATTCTCTCTCTCTAGACTGAGCCAGGCTAGAACAGGCAATTGAAGTCAAACTACTTTAAGCATAAAAACAAGTTTAAAATAACTATTCACCAGCCAGTGAGAATTGCGAGATTCGGGAAGAATCATTCGGGAAGAATCCAAAGAGGATTCTAGCCCAAAGCAATGAATGAAAAGATCATCCGAAACAGTAAACAGTTAATTCTAGGGTAGGTAGGCTGAATGTTGGTCAGAATATCTATCTACATGACATGTCGAACGATTGATTAGATAGGAGATGAAGCTTTGAGTAAGGCAATAAAGATAAGGTAGTCATTTCAGAGTTTATGTTGCTTTTGGAGACAGGCCTAGAAGGTCGGCCTTGTCTACAATTCGTGATCAAGTCCTTTTTGCGATGGCGCGTGCGCTGTAGGACTCACTAAGCCTGTCGCTGATTTTAGTGGCTGTCCCCCATGACTAATCGCTATTTCGATACCTAGTCTAGCACACATTCAGGCACCAGGACCTTTAGACGTCAGCGTACCTACTTTCTTACAACTTCGACAGCACCATCTCAGACCAAGACACATAAGACAAAATTAACAGACTTCAATATGTCATCCGGACCAAAAGAGCGCCAAACCATCAACCTACCTGGGACGACAGATCAGCCCAAAACAGAGCCAGATTATCTCCTCGATGCACGCAGCACAGCAGTTTTATCCCAACTCCAGGATGGTGACCTGCTGAAGATGGTAAGCCAATCTCGCATCCTTAGAGCAAAGCTCATCAAAGGCCAGGTAATCGATCACGAAGAAGACAGCATCGAGTTCGAGGATCACGTCAAGAATGTAGCCCCCGAAGATCTTGCTGAATACTTTGACGCTCCCGGAATAAAGAAGTTTGCGTTCTATCGCCATCCTGGCTCAGGTGCTGTCATCTTGATCTGGACACGTTTCCCTGCTACGACTTCGACTAAGAACGCACGTGTTCAGCACCGTGTGAAGAGGGATTTGACTTGGTATGCTGAGAAAGCGGACATTAAGAATGTGGTTACGGTAGGTATTGGGTCTATTGTGGTGGGTTTGGGCTAATGATTTGCAGCTTGAAGTGCAGTCGCAGAAGGATGTTACCGTCGAACGCCTGAAGGAAGCGGCTGACTCGTTAACGGCTAGCAAGGAGTGAGGAAATGTAGTCGCCTACCTAGACATCTTCATTATAGTGCTCTTATCATCGATTGTGAATAAAAACTGGCTACCATTCTGGTTGGGTTGTGAAGTAGCGAGATAGCCTCGATCACGAGGATTTTATCTCACAGATTCAGGGTTCTATGTGTGCACTGAATGTGAAGAAGAGAAAAAGCTACGGCGAATTGTGATAATGGAATGATCACCAATTTGAGGGTGCATGAAAAGCCTAAATGTCTCAACTAACTTGACCCAAAATATTCATAACCTCACCCCTCCACCTGGCGAAGCTAGATATTATGTAGCTCCGTTAAAAGCAGTCTCAAACTCAGCAGGAGTGTAGCGTCCTTCGCTCTCACTGCACATAGCCTTGGCAATGACCTTGAGCAGACCATCATTGCCGTTGAAAACACCATAGTTTCTCCCCCGGAGGATCTCCTCAGTCTTGCCAGCCGTGACGCGCTCGTAGCTAGTGTTAGGAGGCTCAATGAGATCTTTCCACAGCTGGAATCGGTCATCAGAGTTTCGCAGGTCAGGAACAGACATGACAAGGAAGCTCATGGCCAGAGAGAAAGTGTCAGCCTTGGTGGTGTAGTCTCTACCAATGATGATTTCTACAAAAGCGTCAGTTTGTGGTTGAAGTAGAGGAACTGGATATGGTACCTGGCGCGGTGTATGAAGGGGTGCCGACATCCATCTGAACAGTAGTTCCAATGTCTCGCGACTGGTCAAAGTCCATGAGCTTAATGGTATCTCCATCCTTGAGAAAGTTCTCGGGCTTGAGATCACGGTGAATAATGCCCGCGGCCGAGACAGCAGCAACGGCAGCGAGCATCTGTTTGAAAGCGCCATTCACATCAGTCAGGCTGCCGAGGTTATCAGCCACAGAGCCCTCCTGAACATAAGGCATGATGGCGAAACCATAGTCTTTCACACCACCCTTGCCGTAAACAATGTGATTAATGGGAAGAATGTTAGGATGGTCAAGGGCCTTCTGAAGACGAGCGCCGTACATGATAGCGTTGCCATCGCCAGACTTGATACCACTGCGCTTACTAACAACTGTCTGCTGCTGCGGCTGGTTCTCAGAATCGGTCCAAGTCAGAGTAGCTTTGTCGATGATGACAGTCAAGCTATTGGCGACGAGGCTGTCCTTGGTGAGCGTGTAGCACTCCCAGGTCAGCTTCTTCTCAGAGTTGACCCAGTCGCCGACAATTAGGTCATCCATGCCGGGAACGTCAAAGACGGGGATGGAACCTGTGATGTCCTCCCATCTTCGGAAGAGGGCCCAATTCGAGATGAAATCAGGGAAACTGCCTTCGCCAGAAGCGGCGCTGGCGTTGGCGATAAAAGAGAGTAAAGCCCCGAGGGCAAAGGTGAAGCGACTTGAGAAAAGCATTGTCGCTGAAGAGAATGACTATCCAAAAGAGTGTAGGAGGAATACCGACGACGTGCTATTAGGGCTGTATAAAATGTTGGGTCGTGCATTTATTTAACAGACCGTTCAGGACTTTGGTAGTGACTTACAAGATGCCGTGTTTTTAGAGGATGCATGCTGAATCCTTGGCGTAATCCGTTTAATTAGTTCATCTAAATTCCATTGTACTTGAAACAGGAGCGACTATGGAGATCCTTGTGCTGACATGTTCCACTACCGATGAAACAGGGCTGAGCTGACTGTATGTGGGTGGAGTTATAGCGCGTTGATGACTCGTGAGCCGAAGATTCAGGCGGGTGACTGAGACATTCTGCGGGAGGCTTGAATGGTGAGACGGGGCTCTAAGTTAGATCTTCCCGTGTTTGCCGTGTCTGGAGGATCAAAGTTGGGGTCTGGATGAGATTTTAGTTGAAACGTGCTGAGATTGGGGGCTGAGCTTTTGCACGTTCCGCAGAGGGCCTTGAGAGTTGAGATGGTGAATCATAGATAATGAGAATGGGTAGAATGGGGGCGGTATTGGGATCGTCAATCTGCCTTGATGATTACATGCACTGAATCCTATTGCAACGATGACATATTGCTCAAATCCAATGCATGAAATAAACAAATCCTTACGGGATACAGAATAAAAAATTACAAGGTGATACCTTATTTACAGCCCGATCATACCAATGGGAGCATGCCATTCTACAACTCCCCTGCCTGTTTACTCCAGTGGAGTCAGCTCAGCCCTAGAACACCACTAACAGCCCCCGATAAGCGCACGGGATGGAGCCTTACAGCCCTGTAGCTAAGGATTCCGAAGGATGGAGATTAAGGAGTTCTTAAATTGTACCATCTCACTCTGCGTCGTAACACTCTCGGTAGATGCGATGCCGCGCAGTCTATTCCTGCATCTGGAGTCAAATTTCGATGCGCTAATGTAAACAGCGTGTTTTGCTGAGATCCTTCGGAAGTTTCTTCTGAAGGATCGGCCCTGTAATTTAGAATTATGGGGATGGCTTACAATCCATGTCAAGTCGTCCGGTTGATGCTGAGGCTTGTATGTAAATGTCTGTAAATAAGTCCTTTATTGTACTTGGGCTTTACTTAAAGTCTTTTGTTTCCTACAGACACTCTTTTGTCAGTTGTTTTAGTATTGCAAACCTTGGTTGGGTTAGCTTCTTCATTCATTATGTTGCGCCCTACAGACTCTCCCATGCCAATTGGCATCGGTTTCCTTCTTTTGTCTTTTGGAGCCAAGTTCACTTCAGCCGTTCCTTATCAGTGAGTATACTGCTACTGAAGTTTAGTATCGTGGACTGATTGTAGTAGAATCTACCAGCTTAATGAGCGAGACGTCAACACTGACACTACTACTACTGATACCTTCATTTCTACCACCACCAGCGCCGTCGCGCCCATTGACGTTCTTCCTACTACAAGTTCAGATATCGTTGTCATCAACACTGAGACTTCATCTAGCAATGACGCTATTGTCGTTGACACAACTACCAATGCGGCCCCAGTGGTTGAACCTCCTACCACTATTGGCCAGATTGTTGATGGCACCACCAGCGCTGAAATTGCGCCTGTTGGTACTGAGACATCAGCTGTCGTGGATGTTTCGAGCAGCACTGATGCTCCTGTCGTCAACCCTATTCCTACCACAACAGATGAACAGACTACATCGAACTGGATTCCTCCCGCTGGTACAGAGACCAACGTCATTGGTACTCCTGGTGCCAGCACTGACGTCCCCCCTCCTGCTGGTACCGAGACTGCTACTACCAACGATGCTGTTGAGCCTATTGGGACGACCACCAACACTGGTCTCCCTCCTGCTGAAACAGAGACTACGAGCGATGTCCCTGCTCCGGTTGTCGACACTACCACCAACATCGCTGTTCCGATTGGCACTGAGACTACCAGCAATGCGATTGAACCTATCGGTACTACCACTGATCTTACTGCGCCAGGTCCTGAGACGGCCACTACACAACCACAAGCACCTGTTGATACCACTACCTCCGCTGCCATTCCTCCTCCCAACACCGACACCAGCGCTGAGGTGCCACCTCCGCAGACAACAACCGACAAGGTCGATGCGCCTAGCACCACCGCCCCAGTCAACAACATCCCCAGCACCACTGAGAAGGCTTCTGAACCAAGCGACAAGCCCAGCGAAGCGCCATCAGCACCTGTCACTGCTCCTCCTCAAGAAGCCACTGCTGCTGCTTCTCAGGCTCAGGTCACTGCCTCAGAATATAACTCCAAGGTCGACGACGTCATCCCTATCATCGTCGCTTGGACCAATAACCCTGATGGTCTCAAGACAGATACCTTGAACAAGGTTAACAACCTGATCGATGGTGTCAAGGGCGCTATCAAGGACCTTGGTGGTAATGAGTCTGGTGGTTGTCCCGGTAAGCGACGCCGCGGACTTCTCGACATTGTCTCCAACGTCATCAACACCCTATCTTGTGTTGTCTCCAACCTTGAGGATGTTACTGGCAAGATCACTGGTGGCATTGTCGAGGGTGTCACTCCCATCGTGAGCACTCTCACCAACAACAGCAATGATCTCAAGGATCAGAGTGAAGAAGAGGATGATGACGATAAGTCCAAGACTGAGAAGCAGGAGTCCAAGACGGAGGAGGAAGAGTCCAAGACGGAGGAGAGCAAGACGGAGGCTAGTACCACCGAGAAGCCTACCTCCACTGAGGCTGAGACTACTACTTCTGCTGAGACGACTGAGACTACAGGGTCTTGCAAGATGAGGGAGACTACCAGTATTCCTGCTGCTTCAGATACCCAGCCCAAGACATCGATCGCTCTGCCTCCCACGAGTGGTGATGGTGCTACTGGTAGTGAGACCTCTGCTGGTCCGGCTGAGACTGACACTTCTGACATGCCTACCTCGACCGAGGCTGCTGACGCGACTACCTCCAACCAAGCTCCTGAGTCGACCACCGCAGCTGAGACTTCTGTCCAAGAGACCTCTACCAAGCCTGCCGATGAGACCAGAACCGCTGATCAAACCGTCAAGACTGAAGAAACCTCCAAGGCTGATGAGACTGACACTTCAGCACCCGCTACCACAAGGCCCAGCACCCTTCTCACAACAACCCGTCCAGCCGACCAAACTACCAACACTATCACTTCCGGCTCAACTGAGGATATCACCACCGCCCCAGTGCGCACATACTACCCCTGCGGTATCTATGGCGGTCCCCGCGTTACATCAGCCTACTGCCAATGCTCCACCACCGTCTCGGGCAAGCAGTACATCGCGACAGCTACACTCATCGATAACAAATGCGAAGCGTACACGGAGTACCCCTCCAAGGTCGATCCTGCGACCGAAGCACCCCCTCCTACACAAGCACCCATCAACGAACCTCTCACCAAGACCATTGATGGAACTGTCCTCGCCTGGACGGCCTACACTCTTGCATACGGACAGGTGTACAAGGACGTCACTGCTACATTCTCTAATGGCATTGGCGAGGTGAAGACCATCGCTACGCCAGTTCCTACGCAAACTCACGTCGATAACGATGGGTCGGGGCAGTGCGGTACAAGCGATGGACTCTCCAAGTCTGGTCTCGGCGACGCATGTGACCGCGCCATTGGTGAATTCCAAGATGACACTATCTACACTGGGTACACTACGCGTTACAGCCGCTCCAAGAAGGGTCTTCTGATGGTCATGTCTATGGGACAGGCTGCTTGTATTGCCAAGTTTAGCTGTGATGACTATGGTATTGGTATGAGCGGTAAACTCATCAAGGAAGCGTAAGTTCCCTTTCCCTAACTGGTTGAAGTTGAATTGTTTTCTAACTTTGAATGCAGACGTGAGAATGCCAAGAAGAATGACAACATTTGGATGTGTGGACACATTGAGTTGTCGAACTCTTGTAAGGTTGTTATGGATTACTGCACAAACTGTAACAATGAGGGTTGAGTCTTTTGGGTAGAATCTGGCCATGGGTCATGGAAGTGAAAGTAGTACATTGCCTATCAATTGCCTTTCAATTAGACAATGCCAAATATTCTTCAATTTCTTGTGACATCTATCATTAACTACTACTGCCTATCCCTAGAGTCATCTGGGATAATCACGCCGTGGAGCTGCAGAAGCCTAATCCAAGTGAGTCGTGTTGAAGAGCCGATTCCCAGTGTCAGTCGTCTCAGTTCCTGTGAATTTGTTCTCCGAAACTCGAAGCGCAACCAATCCAGCGCCGTGTCGTCTCATCACCTTGGCGACCAGATGGTCCTCGGCGATCGCCTCAGCCTGAACTACGCCCGCCACGACTGTAATGTGGATGTTGGGCTCGAGACGCACAACGCGCTTGATGAACTCAATCACGCTCTTGCCGCTGTTGACCACTGAATCCACCAAGATCACATTTGACTGTCCTTGGACATGATGCATCTTCACGTCTCCAACGCTAGACGCATGAATGAACATGGCTTGTGGGAACACTTCGCTAACGCTGAATTCCCAACCCTGACTGTAAACTCAGGACTCTACGCAGTTTGCCTTCCTTCTGACTCTCAGCTTTGCCCTAATGGGAGGTACAGGGAGATGTCCCAAACTTAGGAAACGAGGCTTCTCATGGACTTCCCCCAAGTCATAATTCATCGCCAAATATGCAAGAAACACTTTTGTAACAACTGCTGAAAACTGTCTCCTAGGACAAGAATGTTTCCCGATCCCGAACGGAATGTAATTCTCAGACGGAGTGGCGAGAGAATCCGCATTCTGAATGCGCTCATCCTTGTGTAACGGCACAAAACGAAATGGGTCGAATGTGTACGCATTGGGATAAATATCCTCGTAATGATGGATTCCCCAAGCGGAGACACTCACACGGGCGCCTTGAGGGAGATGAATCATACGATCCTCGATGATGACCATCTTCTTGCATGACCTCCGCTGAAAGTGCTTTGATTGCAGTATTAAGCCGAAGTGTTTCCTTGATAACACTGTCCGCGATATGCAGGGAATTCAAACTCGCTTGATCTACTTGTGTGGTGAAAACCCCAAGTGCTTCTTCCTCCAAAGCTTGCCATACCTGCGTGGAAGGATTGCTTGCGCAAACGTTGAAGAGAGCATATGTCATCGTTAGTGTTGTAGATTCCAGTGCTGCAAACACTGTGGCAAACACTGTGGCAAACACGCGACAAGCAATGACGTCGGCCATCTCGAAGCAAGGTTCATTTTTGTGCAGTGCTTCGTGAATATGCCAAGTAAGCACATCGTCTGGAGGGAGGTCCTCAAAAAGTCCGTTTTCGGCGACGATAATTCTTTTTTTCGATGTTTGAACCCAGGATCTTGAGGGCTCTGTTCATGTAGATATGATTGAAGATGGATGTGACTCGCGAAGTGAGAGGTTGGAAGAATGGCGGAAACAACGATAAGACGATGTCGCTGGGAATGACACTGCTGGAGAACTTAAATACAGTCCGTCATGTCAATAATACGAAGCATGTTGCACTCCGAAGGTTTCATCGTCTACTTCAAATTTACACAAGCATCTACCAACTCCCATGTCAGTGCTTGTCTCTCTCTGGTTTCCCTGTTTACCTATGAATCATCCCAAGGCATGGATGGGAACAAAGCAATGAGGCTACGGCCCGGTAGGGGATCTCTTCTGTCTCATCATCCCTCACTTGCCCTTTAACCGTCTCCCATCGCTGGCGCAGCATCCATAAGACAATATCGCCATTGTAAGCAACCCCCAGCACTTCATTTTGCCCTCCTTTCTCCAGCGGTACCACATGAAGGCTCCTCTTCGAGTCTTTACCCTTTGATCAAATAATCTCAATCTCAACACACTTGTCATCACTCCATGCCTCGCCAGACATGATGCCATGAACGTAGCAGTCCCCGATAATCTTCCATTTCTCTCCCGCCTTTCGCAGCACATACGGTGTCCTTCCGCCTCGAAGGAGTGCAATCCGATCACCAACTCGCGCAGGCCAAGGAAGCATGCAGAGATATCCCGATCTTGTCGTTGCCATTCTCTGGTCAAACGCCAGTTGCACGTCAGTGAAGGACTTCCCAAATGAAAGAATTTCGTTGTCATCGATACTGCATATCTTTCCGAATCCTAGTAGTCTGTGATAGAGTTTCGGTGCCACGTGCGGGAGATGAAGCTGATTCATAATAGTGCCACTACTGCTCATCTTGAAGCTAGTTCCTATACTCTTTTCGAGATAATCCAAGACTTTTCGTCGATCAGCACTGAGACGAATCCTGTTGCTCAGCAACGCTGTGAGGAAAGCGTCCATTTGGGTTTCTCCGGACATTGTTTGAAGATTTTTATTTTCGAAGGCCAGATCTTGCCAGCCTTTGATAGTATGCATGGCAGCTCCAATAGACCCATGGATCCTCCAGTTTCTCTTGAAATCGTGAATCGCCTCCTTTACAACACTCCCAGAATGTATTTCAGGTCCTGGCCAAGGATATTCGAGCTTGTCTCCAACGCAACTTAACTCATCCAGGATCATACCTTTGAGTGTCAGTGTTTTGCTATCGCTTGAAAGCCTTGCGGTGAAGAGCATGCTGGATCCAGACGCCTTCCACTCAGGAAACGAATCCGCCATTTCTAGCATCATCGGCGTACGAACGTTTTCCCTCATGATAGGATTGTTGATAGCCGAAGGTCCCTTTTCATTATCTGGAACACTAGAGAAGTCATAACTCCAGTCAGGAACCCATGATGGAAGGTTGGCCAAGGTACTCTCTATGCAAGATGGCCTTCGTAGAGCACTGAAAATATCCAGTGATCGGCTACCGGTTATTATACTAAATGTCGCACGTGTGTAACATTCGACGGTGGAAATGGTATAGTCCGGCTCAATGCCGTATGTTGATGCGGCAATACCCAAAGAGCCATATACCTTGTCCCTTGGATCTTTGGCTCTCAACCATCTAAGAAACCGGAGCAGCTTTCCAAGCTCCATTTTCGCACTGACACTGCTATGCAGCCGCATCGTGGCCATGTATATTGTGCCATTGGGGTCGTCAAACAGGTCTCCAAAATTCAGAAGATCATCGTCATCGCCAGTGTCAAAGGCGTCGCTGACTGCGTGCATAAGAACATCAGCGCACGCCCGTCGGACATCTGATGCTGGAGCAGCTACGTGGCCGCACATGATGATTGCACTGGGAGCTAGAACCATCTCCTGGACGGTCCAAATCCTTGACCACCATGCTCTTGTCAATACAGCGATTGCGCCCTTTGCGACCTCTTTGGGTATAGCGAAATCCTTCTTAATATGATCCGGAACTTTTGAGGCATCCTTGTCCTCATCTTGATGCCAGCGATCAGCATCAAATACGTTCATCTCGAAAAACGTTCTCTCTCTCTTGCTCAACCGAGGGCCGGGAAGATTTGGAATCGTTGGCACCATTTCGAACAAGTGGTTGACTCCATCGGAGGCGGGGTCGGGACCTAGCCAGATAACTACCCTGTCTGATTTGGTATATATGTCTGTCATTAGTTTGACCTGAGATTGCCGCTCCTCCAGATCATTCTGGTTGATACAAATGGCGTCGATCCATAGTGTCCGCTCCATACTCTCGTCCCTCAAGTGCTGCAGTGCACAGAACAGACTTTCGGTGACTTTAAATGCCTCACCGTTGCATTTTATCTCCTGGAGCTGAGTACTGTCGCCCCAGCAGTAAGAAAGAGCCTCATACACCGGGTTTTCTTCGAATGCGACAACTTCGAGTAGGCATTCAATCGGATTGTCGTTATCTTTTGCCGGAAGTAGATGCAGAAGACGGATTTGCGTTGGGCCGAGCCCGCCTCCTGTGCTTGCGCTGTCATATGAAAACATGATTACAAACTGATGCTAGATCATGGGGACAAGGTTTTGGTGGGATGCTTCAGCGGGCATTGTTGAAAACCTTTGTGCTGACGATACTAGAATCAGGCCAGGTGGTATTCGGCGCTGACTAATCTCTCAACCCTGTATGCCAGGATCGAATCGGACGGAATAGGATGATCTAGGCCTATTGCTTCATTAGGCACCGTTCAAAGATATTCATTGTGATATCTTATTCATGATCTGATGGCTGCTGCTTAAACATATCCTTCTCAGACTACATCCGCAGGAACTTCATGCACCTGAACCTGAACCACCTTCGCCGCCTTCACTGCCTGCTGTGGCTGAGAGGTAGTGACTCCGCCCAGGAAGGTATTGTCAAGGACATCATTAGAAAACGTCCTCTTAATATCCCCAAGCGTCCATCCATGTTTCTTACCAATAGCAGCCATCAGCGCCTGAAACTCTGCAATCTCCTCCTTGTAATCCTCCTTGACTAGCTTCTCCACCCAAGGCTTACCGCCAACCTTGTACATGTACCATTCCTTAGCCCAGTGAGGCTTTACCACCACAGGTTTGCCTTCGTTCGTCTTGTAGCTCGTCCACTTGTCAAGGACCTGTTGCGCATAAGGAACCCAGATGTCGGATACAGCCTCCAGAGTCAGAATGCCGATGGCACATGTTCCGAGCTTGTTGCCGCGCTGTGGCGCGAGAGTCACTTCGCTGGAACCCATTATTCGCATCTCCATTGGCATGCGCATGGGAGATGTTTTGGCGTTGGCGTAGCATGTCTTGATGACGTCCCACCAGGCACGTCTCACGTTGGTGTAGTCTCTCTCATTGGGCTTGCCCTTCTTTGAGTCGAGCTAATAGTCACATTAGTTTCTGCATTGATGCCAAAGAACAACAGACTTACAGCCATCTCAACTTCCAGATTGCGTACCCGGATATTCTGGACGCCGCGTTGGAAATGGAGAGCATTAGGTAGCAGGGTTCTGATGCTCTTGTTGGTTCCTTTGACATCGTCAAAATTCTTCACTGCAAGCCAAGCTGTTGCGACGTGTTAGCTTTTTTCTCCTCAAATTTAATGATCCAAACCTACAAAGGAGTGAAGTCTGGGTTTGAGGCGCAACTTGTAAAGCATGGATATGTTTTCCAATCTCTTGAGCCATGTTCATAATGGCGGTGCTGGCAACTTGATACAGAGTCTTTGCATTACTGGGATAGTTCACCACGTTCTTGGTGTCAGTATCAGTCTTCCAGGTATTAACCCAGACCTGTTGCGAGTAAGGAAACCAGAACCACTCGGCATAAAAGTCCTCATTCGCGCGGCGCTCAAACTCACGGACATTAGCATCCTTTTCAGCTTGGGTGCGGTTTTGGCGAAGGGGAGCAGGGATGTCCGAGTCCTTCATCTCGGGCGGCGGCGGGATGGCGTCGATAACGTCAAGTTTGACTGGACGCATGACGGCGGTGCACATGGCGTCGCATTCAAAGGTGATGTAAGTGACGACGCCGAGAAGACCGAAACATCCACTTGCGGCCTTGAGAAGCGTGGGATCGGACATGTTGACGAACTGTTCTTTGCCGTTGACATCGATGTAGTCGATTCGTCGGACAAGGTCGCTCAATGTTGGGTTATTGATGCCCGCGCCGTGACTACGAGCGTTAGTTCCAAGACTCAAAGGTTTCACGTGCGGACTCACCAAATAGTAGCATTGCTACCGCCAAAGGTTATCTCGACCTCAATGATATTCATAGGCAAAGTAACATTTCCCGTGTTAATACACCACCGCCGGAACTTTTCATTCGTGGTCGCCGTTCCGACCTGAACATACTTCCTGCCATTCTTCAGAGCCGGAGCTCCTACAAACTTGGGGTCCGTGATCACGTTGATAGCGTTGAGTTCCGTGTCCTTGGGCTGAAAGAGGTTGGTAGGAACCGAAGTGAGATTGGGCAACCTGCTTGCGTTGATCTCAGTCAAGGTAGAGATTAATACATCGCCATTGGTAGACTGGCCAGCTTTATTACTCCTCCCGAAAACGGGTGCCCATGAATGCCCTAGATACGGTCAGCTGAGAGGGTACCGGGTAAGATCAGAAGCTTACGGAAACCGGCAACACGAATGCCCTTGTTCTTGGCAACAGCATCGCGAACGATATCGATGATCTCAGCCACTGTTTCGGGGTAATACGTAACCGTGGGCGTATTCTTGACGGTGCGGCCCCAATTCTGAAAGGTCAAGTCTTTGGTTTCCTTGCCCTGTGAGTGTTAAATATAGAGCGTACAACTGTTTAGGAGAATACAAACCTTGGTTCTGCTGGGAGGAGTCACCTGCTGTGCCATCATAGAGAATGTCTGAAAGTTAGAGCTGGCACTTGACACTCCAAGCTCCAAAGGTGCAACCTCCTTGATAGCTTCACCAGCTTCCTCAGCAGTCTTATCGCCATCGATAAAAGCCTCAAGCACCTTTCGCGTCTCGTCAGGCAATTGAGCCATAACGCCGTTGTATACCTCCTCATGCTTGGAATCTTTAAAGACTCCTAGGATTCGTCGATGGAACTCTTCCTTGGTGACATCGACATCGGTATTGTACCAATCATCAATGAGCTCGGGAAGATGTGGCAACTCATCGGCGCCCAAGTCAGATTTGGGATCTCTCACGAGGTCACCGAGGTGCTCGATCTTCTCTTGCAGTGTCCTTTCAGACGGTGGAGTCTGCGTGGCTGTCGACATCGTGATTGAATATGCTCTGGTCAATCAAAGAGCGAATTCAGGTGGTCTTTTGGCTGTGAAGCACAGCTAGCGGTAGTTGTAAGCTGGGGGACACATCCTGTTTATATTCATGGCTCATTTTCCCATTCAGTTGCCACAATACCTCTCTTTTTTCAGCTTTATCATTCTGGCACAACGACGGTTTAGCCCCAAAGGTGGGCCAGATCAATAGCGGCGAAAGGCCCGGGCCTAGACTTGCGGGGATTAGTAGCTCATAGGAAGAAATACGAAAATCAGAAATGTGATAAGATCGTTATCAATGAAGGAGGGCGCAGACCAACAATAACTATTGGCTACGCAGGTTTCTTCAAAGCGGAACTATATCCTACTGGCCCGCGAATCTGATCGAGGCGTGATATGCAAGTCAGATATGGGAGGGGTAACTTGATGGCTGTGGGATTTGGCGTTCATAGTCGGTTCGAGACCCAGAAAGTGGCTGGCTGACAATAACGCGAGCGTTTGATGCGGTAAGGCTTCGTTATTCGCGTCCCTCTGGGAGCAAGAAAACACCGGACCTTGATATGGCGTGTCAAAATAAACTCAGCAAAAGATATCCTAAATTCATCTAAATTTACCTAAAGCTTTTTGTCATTTGCGATTAAGGTTCTGTGTTTTCTTTCCTCCCCTAGGCTTCCTATAAACAGGTGAGACACTAAGATGGAGCGTTCCAGAATTTCCCCATCAGCCAAAGATCGCTAAAACGGTCTGTATGATACTCAGGGAACTGTGCTACTCAGCAATATTGCCGTATCTTCAGCTTGGCCCATGCTGTAATTGACCCACTTGCCACTATTCTCCTGACAGTTGTACATACCAACGCTAGCATTTCGTGGAGCTCGTAAGTGTAGTTACTCTTAGCTACCTGGTCTAACCCTGGCCCTCCACCTATTGCACTTTTAAGTTCTGCAATTGCGGACCGATCTGCCACTATAAGCTTAGGAATAAGCTTAAATAAGTCCTGTACTACTATAAAGCCATTATTTCCCTTTCCGATTAAAAAAGGTATAGGCCTGTATTCTTAGGGTGTGAACCTCTGGATTACACGGTCCCCAGCGAGATAATAGGCATGTCAATGATCAGAACACTGGAACAGAGGTGCAAACGTTTCTTTGAGAATTTTATTTTGCCATGTCTACTAATCGTAATTAGAATGTATTGACAGATGGCGCCTGTAGGAAGTGCCGGCATGATCACCATCCAGCCGGGCCAGATCTCCTCCTTCTATGAAATGCCTATTGCGTAAATTCAAGTATTTTCATTAACAAATGATTCGAGAACATGGAAATTCCGATCCTGACAAGACTGTGATTGAGGTTAATATACTGAAGAGCAGCTTGAGGACATACGTGAGCATAATCCTCTTCACCAATGTGAGCTGTAAGCTCTTGCGATTTGAGATAGCGGATAGAAAAGTAGTGTTTGAATAAACGATATCAAGAGATGCAAAGCCTTCCAAGTCTTTCGCTTGCCAGCGACATTCATACTCAAATATTGTTAACTGTAGTTGCGCGGAATGTTTCCGCTGCGAAAACGACAGTAAATGAACCCCAGCATAATCTAATAAGAAGCAGCGCGTTTCGGGCCATGCACGATGAGAACAGCGTAGTATTGACCTGATAAATAACCATCAGCTTATGCGTAATTAGGCTAGCCTGGCAGATCCTTTTAAGCCACAGCGCCTATCTTCTGCTTCCGTTGACATGATTAGATGCTCGGCAACTATTTGCCGCGACCCATGGCTCCGTTTTCGCTGCCGACTTCCATTACCCTTGCCTAAAAGCCTCCCTCATGAATGTCTTTATAGCCTCGCTATATCCCCTTTTTTCATCATGACTGTTAGTGAGCTGTTTAATCTTTCTTGTCAGCCGCACTACTTTATATAACAGCAATGCAGATTATTACCTTTATTTCCTACCTTGCTGTCGTAGCTGCTGCGACAGATGTGATCACCGTAAGTTTCTTTCACTTTAGCTGGTTGGCGCCTAAGTAATAACTTACCCTTCGGCAGGCTAGGGTTTATAATCAGAAGAACCTCAAAGGATCGCATGAAGATGTTCACGGCTACGGATGTGGCAATGTTGGATCTAGGTATATTTTGCGTCAATAATCTAACCTGGCGACACTAATTCTCTGGCAGCAAGTTCAAGGTCAACAGCATCCACCTTCGTCGCAGTACGTTCTGCTACTTATATGAGTAAGACTCTTGTTGGTTTGCATCTGACCTACTGATGCTAATATTTCCTAGGAAGAAGAATTGCAAAGGTTCTAGCATTTATGTATCAAGAGACGTTAACGATCTGCACCTCGACACAGTGAACTCGGTCCATTGCGTCAATAATCCGGACAAGTCATAGGTCATTAAATCATCTCTCTAAGCGGCGTCCACCACAATATAGCATGCCCACCGTCTCTCAGGTAGAAACACGATCTTCTCCCAAAGTGCGCTGTCGATGCGAGAGTCATGAGACAATCTAGAATATGTCGTTTCTTATCCCTCATGTTTCCGTGTTAATCGCGCCTTGCTCGAAGCTGGCCTGATGCTCTCATGTGAACCTTGAATACTGTGGGCATAATATGCATAGCATTGATGCGTCACTAGGAGAGAGATTGAATCTAGTTTCTCCAAGTGGTCCTGGAAAGTCAAGTCCTCGTATACCTCACCATGGCTTGATCTCAATCCAGATCTCAACTCACAGGTTACCTGCGCTCTAGCTTGAAATCTTGTGCCAAACCCACTTTATTCACATAATGCTTGAGTTCAAGTGCTAATATCACGGTGTGCACGCACCAGGAGAATGTGATATCATTTTGTAAAGAGCTCAATTGAAAGAACGTGATATTATGTGATGAGCTTAAAAACATGAGCTATTACAGAGCTGCTTATTTGAGATTGCCCACTCTGGTACATATACTGAATAGCCAGCCTGGGGACCAAAGGTCTGACTTGATTGTCCTTGTCCGATCCCTATATTTATAGGTGGCAATTATGGAAAAACCTTCTTGTTCTCTGACACCTGGGGCACGTATCTGGAAAGACCTTTCGCACATTTTGTTGTGGAGCGTAACCCGAACCGTCGTTGTTCGCAGAATCAAGAAGAGGGTCCACAGAGCTGCTGACAGAAACCTGGCTTCTTGAGCTAGCCGAAGCTGGGGCCCTTATGGAACGCCCCGAAGGAGTACCCTGGGAGCTCCGGATCGAAAGAGGGCGACTTGAGCTGCGGGCTGAACTGCGGGCTGAAGGAGGACCTACTGAGCCTTGTACAGACCTTCCCTCGCTTGCCGTAAAAAGGACTGTTGAGGGTGTACTTGAAGGTGAGTAGGCAGAGATATCCTCAGTGTCCTCGGCATCCTCAGCATCCTCAGTATCCGAGTCTTCACACGATTCAGATCCGCTTGAGATCTCAATAACTCGTGCAAGTGCTAAAGCCTGGTTCACTCGTGCTTTGGGATTATTGGGAGCCCTGGGAGCGTTGCGTGTTCCCCGAGTCCTGCCAAGTACGGTAGTTGTCTCCGCTCTGGTGTTCGTAGTAGAAGCATGTCTGATTTGGTTGGCAGATGGAGTATCTGGCTGTGAAGAGGACCCTTCTCTCAACTGGGCGCGTCTTTGTGGCATGCTCCATGGAGTAGAATCGATGCTGCAGTGGGCTGCCCTCCAATAGTCGATAAACCCATTTATCTGAAGCTTGTATACCCGCATAGCCCAAGTATATGTGTTTTCGAGTATAAGCTGGAATTCCCTAATGTCTCGAATCTCAGTCATATCTCCCTCCCAGATCCGTTGCATCATCTAAGATAAATCATCATTAGAGCTTAGTTCCAGACTCTGGGCTTTGTACTTACATAACCTTGATCTTGTTTGCAGTAAGACATGTAAGAGCGCTCTTTATGGTAATACGCCATGAAGTCTTGTGCAAAGTACGTTATCCAGACACTGACCTTGGTGCCGACTGTAGTCACAGCTGGAATTGGAGGAATATGCGTCTGCTTGAGCAAGTCAACGGCATACCTCGCGGCAATCTGGTTCAACTTAACGGCGCACGCGCTAGCATTGAGTGCTTGGCAACAGACAGTCTCCCATTCTGCCAATCGCTGACTCTCATTCAGGGTTTTCTTGCCACTCTTACACTCAACAACAAGCCATGGATAGCACTTCAAATCTGCTTCGAGGGGTTCCTCATTGCCAAAAATCCTGAAAGGAGAGGGACGTAGCCCGTGCATATAGAGCCCTTTTAGAGTAGACCAGGAGAAGTTCTCTACAAGAGATGACGCTGGTTCTTTGTTCCATTCCCGACCTCTGTGATCAGTGATTCGAGGTATAGGAGATTCGGCGGCCAAGTGGTATATCGGGAGATAGAAGACAAAGTCGGCCTTGGGAAGCGTTCTAATTCGATCACCTTCCAACTTCTCTCTGAATGTTGTCCACAAAGCATCGGTGCTAGTCCTTGCAGCGTCATAATAGTAGTTGCACCGTGAGACCTTGCGCGAAACACCTTGTGATCCCGAAGTATCTTTCAAAAGTACATCAAAGAAGTTCTGTCGAAAAAAGTCTTGCCAAGTCTTTTCGTCGTATCCGCCATCAAAATTGATTTTGGCCAAATATTGGATCTGGATACACTCTTCAGAGGGCGGGCCTTGGTCCTGGCATGCAAAGTCGAGCATTGACTGGCGAAGCGTTTCGACGTGAGGGGGAACCGACATGTGGGCAAGGCTTTGCAAGTCTTCATCGTAGAAGAAGCCCACAGCAGATAGTTTGGAGCGTCTCCACGCCATTTATCTATGCGAATCAAGAGATGAGGAGATTCTAAGGATTTGTAATGGGGAGAGATGGTTAAGGGGTGTGTTGGATGGTATCTTCCTCTATTATATATGCACAGCAAGGTTACATTTGTTGGTTGACATACCTTAATCCCGGCTAGATGGTGGGTTAGTGTCTCAGGATGTCTTACGTTGCCGCGAAGCTGCAGCCGACTCTCAATCGCGAGCCGTGGACTGTTCTAGTAAATGAGAATGCAAGCGTTGGATACTACCTTGACTTGATGTCTAATGGTCCATTGCAATTGAGCTTGTGTAGTTGAAATTCCATACTCTTTACTATCTTACCCTCAAGCTGTCTCTTCCACAGCTGCGGTGTTCACTGCTAGGGTGGGATGGGGCTGGAAGCTAGTCCTTGTTTGCTGACATTCAGTGACCTCAAGCACAGGAGCTGAAACAGGGATTGACCAACAAGCAAATCATAAGCGTGTTTTCGCCCAAGACTAAGCCTTAACCGTTACGCTCGGCCTCTCCGCCATCTCCGCGGGTCTAGGGTGGGAAATAGCGCTCAGTCTCTGGTCAGAGAATCTGCAATGGAGATTGCGACTTACCAGGTACCATGTTCCCGGAGCGTGACGTTGTAATTAGAGTTTGAGATGTTTCGGGGTCATTCCTCTTGACAGGACCATACGCAGGCTGCCGGGGCCTTCTAGTAAAGTATCTTGTTCGTTATAGGATGCACCGTTTGGCGTTGGTAGCAGCGATGGCACTTGCGAGCTAGACGTGTTGTTTGTCGTTCAGACGAGTGGATAAGAGCGAAAGCGTAGGGCCATTATTCTAAATGATGAATACGTTTAGGTAGACTAGAATAAACCTTCCAAACAATTAGGCTAATCCCTCCTAGTTCAGCAGTTTCCTTTCTCTATATGACTGTAAGCCAAGAAACTCGGTTCTCAACTCGAATTTGCTGTAGCGACACTCTGTCGACGACATGATGTAGACCCAAATGATGAACAGCATCCCCATGAGACGTGATATCCTCCATGAACAGCTTTGTGTCAACTGTGAGCACTCTCCCAGTGTATTTGACGGCTACTTTCTCCCAAGCCTCAAGAGTCTTCACCTCCAGCCTCACATCTCGTGTGCCTTGCCAGCATATCGAACCATGAGCTCGGCGATAGGTAAAAGCACAAGCTTCTCTCCTTTCTCCGTGCCATATAATCAGTGTCTGAAGCTCAGGCATGTTGAGTGCGACTCGTGCGGCAGTTTGGAAGATCTTGTTGGTCTGACGGACGCTATCCATGGCGATCCCCCGGGCTGTCAATGTGAGAGTTTTCAGCCGAGGCCATCTCCAACTTGATAGGCATGCGTCGAAGAAATGGTGAGCATCGATCATGAACGCGACGGAAAGATGTTCGAGCCGCTGACTTCTCATGGCAGATGCCGCGCCCAGCACGCTAAAAGGAAGTCTGACTCGTTCTGGATTTAGGTATGCTGAAATGCCTCTACCAAGAGCATATAGTTCCAGAAAGTTCTCATTAAAATCTTCGAATATGGTGACTTTTTTAACACTTGCTGGGATGCTGTGGATCGTGTTTACAAAGCCTATTATTCATTCTGTCAGTGCTGTATCATCATTTTGTTGTATTGATTACTTGCCTATATCCGAGACTTGCTGTACTGGGTTCATGTGTGACTGCCACGGTTCGTAGCTGATCTCCTCCAGGTTTGGTAACCTTGACCAAAGATACTGTAAAATTTCAGGATTGAGTTGCTGACGGCACTGGCGGCGTAAGACAAATTTAGTCACGGCATTGACCGAAGGGAGACTCTCCGGAAATCTCAACTCAGATAGTCCAAAAGGGCGTCGTAGAGCATCGTCTGGTGGCGCTTCAGTGATAGTACCTTCAAACCACCCGTGGTCGGGATCGTGGATGGGATCGTCACTAGGCTCTTGACACTCGAATTTATCTTCGCCAGGAGCTCCAAAGTAACTATTCTTAAACCAGTGCTGTGAGTCGCTCGGGCAGTAAACATTAAATTCCAGAGTCAAAGGCTCCCTCCAAATTGTCAAGACGGAGAACAGCCTAGTGATGGCTTCTCTCAGGATTCTTGCAATGGAGTATGACAATGTCATTGACTCTCTCTTCCGGCATGATCGACAGGTATATCCGTTGAGCTTTATATTGAGCCAGAGATGCCTAATCAGCCCCCTATAGTGATTGTTGAGCTGCTCGAGGTGGTCGAGACACTCGGGGTGAAGTCTGATGTGAGAAAATGTCTTCTGTTCAATGAATGTTCGCCATTCATTTGAGACGGAAGCGAAGAGTCCGGTTCCTTTGTGTGCTATCAGGGTCTCCAAGATCATGCAGCGGATCTCGGCAGGTAACGAGTGCCAGTGGACCATTTTATCGGTGTTTCTTGCTGGACGGGAGGTGAAGTTTGGTCAAGTTGATGGAGATCACAATGTGATGAGAAGCCGAAAAATATCTCGTTACTAGGAGAGTTCCGTGTGTTGACCTACTGAGGGGCATCCTGTCCTTAAAAATAATATTCAGCGTGCGCAAACATTTAAAGCTACGGTGTCAGGCCATGGCTTTGGTTGGTAAATTGGTAGAGTATCGTAACAAAGTTTCTAGGCATATTTATGCTATAGTAATTGGTCAAGCACTCTGACATAATGTCTAAACTGTGAACTGGATCTGGTATTGGCGGTTGATACATCTGGCCGAGAGTGTATAGCCAGCACAATGAACTTAGTTAGGAAGGCATCGTATTTCTTCACCATTCACGGTTCTTCATATTAGCTTCCATCCTAAATTCTAACCTTGCGGCCAGCAACCGGCCAGGTAGCATGTTGAGTTCGAATTTGAGAGGATTGGCGTGATATTTATACTGTAGGCTCTAAATCTAGTCAACAAGAGCATGCAATACCCCTTAAGTAGGTACACGTGAAATCTAGTCTACCAGAGTACCTCGCGATGACTTAGAGTCACAGTTGCAATAGTACGAGTCACCTGCAGCTTACATTAGTAAACGGGAACTCCTCACAGATTCTACGGCATCCCTTACCTTCCTGACTGCAAGTCTTCTTGTGTTGCTCATCGGATCCCGCAGCGCCCGTTTCCTGGAGACTTTTGATGCAGTCATCACAGCTGCCAATATTCACGCATTAGCCAGCGCAGTACTGCTGGTTCCCAGTGGTGCGGCCAGTGTAGCATGGGGCACTAGCTCCACCAGCAGGCTGGCCAAAGCATTCACCCGTGCACAGCTAGTTGTTCCTCGCTACACAGTCGTTGTAGGAACCTCCCAGGCAGTTGTTGTTCTCTTCGGCTTCGCGTGGAGCATTACACTTGCCGCCCAACGTGGATGGAGCCGAAGACGCAAGAAGGAGGGTAATGAGAGTCTGTTATCATCAGCTGAGGGACTGTTTGGGACGCAGGTGATGTGTACCCAGGCAGAGTGCATGGTGATGGATTTGTTCGAGTCGCGAGATGTGAAAGATGATTTGAAGCAGACCTAGTGGTGTGAGTTGCTGAGTCTGAATTCTTGGAAGACGAAGAGCGGCATTTATCGTGATTTTCAACATCTCGATTCTATTCAATTATCAGAAGTTGATCCATAAATTTATCCCGTGATATCAGGAGGAATCCGACAGTGAGTCTCGCTCCACGAGGCATACGGAGGATATGCAGTGGGTGCCTTGATCAATCAGTTATTTGTTAGGTAATTTCTGATGCGCTTGGGGGACCAAAGTGAGGCTCAGCCAAAAACAAAAGGTTTATCATTCGTTCAGCTTCGATAACTCTCACTGATGGGTCCCTTGGCACGCGTTTTATAACGTGAGATTTCCGGGAGCGGGAGCAAGGGTTCCGATCTGTCCATATTGATCTACAGTCAGATATAGCCATTAGATCTTGAAAGTGTCAGAATACGATCACGCGCCTCGCACGTCAGAATAAGTCTGACGCTTGAATCCAATTTCACTTTATAAAACCAGATTTCCATGCATGGTAGAGGTTTTCTGACAGATCAAAACTAAGAGTGGGTTGATATTCGTTCCAAAATTATCTGCGGAGGCGCAAACAGAGGCCAATTTTATCAGCTCCGATGATTGCTTTGCGATCCTTTACTGGCTTGATGAGAATTTGAGTCTTTTTTAGGTCACATTTGCACTACCGAAGGTCTGTTACTCTTTTGAAAGGATCTATAAACGAAACGGCCACTCTACCTACCTTAGTTTATACTACTTTCAACTGCTCTGAGCCGCTTCAAACTACTAACAGTACTTTAAAGCATATAAATCTATTCAGTTCCACTTCTTCAGAGCAGCACGCGAGTCCAGCGTTGGAGTTAGGTACTGTTGGGAGCAACATTCCGGGTCAATCTGCACGGCTTATTCTGATTAAACGGTTCTCCATGCCAACACGCCGTAGTTCCTAAGCCGTTTATTGAGCCACAACATGATACTTTAGTGCCTCGAGACCTGCTTTGACAGGGGTCAAGTCTATCTGATGTTTTTGCGGGCGCTGGCTGATCTGCAGGCCTCTGTTGACTGGAATGGCATGAGGAATTTCTACGCCTTTGTCACTAGATATTGCCCTCGTCTTGTACATACTAGATATTATTGGTAAAGATAAGCTTTTCTTATACAGCCTTATGATTGATCGAACCAGTTCGTATCCGCCATTAAGCCACATTTCAGATCTCGACTCCTGGCGCGTTACCAATTCCGGCATTCAATCGCCTACTATACAAAGCCATGGCGTTATCATCCGGAGCATTTGTCGCGAACTGCAATATGTTATAATGTAAAAGGTATTCCCGGTCTTTCTTTCTTTCCGTTCAGTCCCTTTCGCGACCGGAACTTTGTTCAAACAAGTCAACCTCTACCGAAATGTCCAAAGCTCTTCGCAGGCCTGGTCTTCTTTCTCTCTGTCTCTTGGTTTATTTATTCTGTGGTGCTTTCACTCAGTCAAGTAGTTCAACAAGCGATGCGCCTGAGTGCGGTGTCAGTTCATCTTCCCCCTCTCTTTTACTCTCCATCTGTTGTTAACGGATAACATCAGGTCAAATGCGCACTCGAGAGTTTCAGCGACCCGGCGTTTTCGCTCAAAACTCAAGCCGAACTATGCCATGATAAAGCGTTTGCCAGGGTACTGGGGGATTGCGTGGCAAAACGATGTCTTTTTGGTGAAATGATGGGTAATAAACGACTTCACATTCGGGCGGCATATCATGAGATTCAGGCTATTAACAATATTAACACAGAGTTTACTCGGATTTCCAAAGAGGCATGCGGCATTCCTCCGATGGACCAATACATCGAGTTCCAAGTCACTGGCATAATCATGACGACGCTGGCCGTTGTCTTTTACGTCCTGCGAATTACATGCAAAATCCTTGGGCCGACTTTTTGGGGTATAGACGATACACTTATTTCAGTATCAGCAGTAAGAGCAATAGGTTTCACTGGACAAGAGTTCTCACTGATTGTTTCCAGGCTGTTTTGAGTCCTATTTGCGTGTTCTACCAATTGTGTGAGTGGAAACCGAGGCTGGCATAGGATCTTGCTCACTCATCATCAACAGTGCTAGAACAGGGATTAGGCAAGGATTTTGAAAATCTCTCGCATCGACAAGTAGCAATGTTCTTCAGAGTAAGCACCAAGATTCGGTTCTTAGCTCGTTATTCTAACAAGACTCAGTACTTCTTTGCATTCGGACTACTTTACCACATTGCCCTAACATGTATAAAAACCTCCATTTTACTTTTGTATCTTCAGATCTTCCCAGACGAAACCTTCCAGAGAGTGGTCAAGTGGACTGTGGCATGCAATGCCCTGTTTGGACTGACATTTGTAGTGCTCACTTTGATACAAGCACCCGTGCTCTTGGGTATATGGAAGGCATGGGAAGACAAGGTGATCGGCGAGAGTATGCATTATATATCGTGGCCATCGCTGGTGCAGGCTTGTTTGAATCTAGCCCTGGATATCTGGATGCTTATCTTGCCGATTTCTCAGTTATACAAATTGGGGCTGAAGATCAGTAAGAAGCTAGGTGTAATAGCAATGTTTAGTGTTGGCATATTGTGAGTAAAAATAACTTTGTATTGTAGTAGAAACCGCTAACGTGTTGTATTCAGCTTGACTATTGTTTGTGCTCTCAAGCTATATAAAATGGTAGAGTACATTACCGATATAAGCAAGTCAAGTGAGAACAAACGAATCCCTTCATGCTTTTATGTACTGACATATTATGTTAGCCCAAAACGGAAACGATGTCATCTTCTGGTCTTACATCGAGCTCTGTGTGGGAATCACGGTATCTTGCATGCCTCATACACGCCAGCTTACGCGAGCGATGTTGCATAGGTTGCAGTCAAATGGACGTGGTATCGGGAGCTCTGGGAGCGATGGTCCTTTCATCACGCGGTCTATTGAAACAATAACCCAGGTTTCGTCTCCTCTGGATACAGTAGTTCTTCATGATGAAGGAAATCTTCTTACGAAATCTTAGTCGGGTCGCATGAGAAATTAAGCGGCAGCCAAATAAATTGTTAGCGTTATTTTATTATCTTAAAGAATCTAATAATAGTAAGAATCTTTGTATAGTCTTGAGGCTTAATTTTAAAGCAGCTATTATTTTAAGGTACTGATCTATACACTCTTATAAATTCTAGTTCCCTGAACTACCTTCGATAACAATCTCATCTCGGGAAAGATGTTGTTTCCGCCCTTTATAGAAGCAAGCGTAAAATGCGCAGCCAGCAATGAATCCAGATATTCCCACTGCTCCATACATCCACACGAGATATGGGTCCTGAGAAACTGCGCCGAGGGCAATGCAGATCGCGGCAGCAACAGCGATGGTCAGCCAGAACAGAGCTGAGATGACAGATCGGAGGCTGGAAGGTCTTGGTCAGCACACGCATCAATGTGCAAGAAATATGTAGGCTTACTTCTTGGGGGCTTGAGTAAAGGCTAACTCGAGACCTGTGATGATAACAAAGGCTTCGGACAAGGCCACGAGGATGTATGATGGGGCTTGAATCCAAACGTGGATGCTGTTTGGTGGTGATTTGTAGATGTAATGTTGAAGAACGCATGCGTATGCCATTGAGATCGAGGCGAACATGAAACCCATGAAGATGCGGGTCACCGGGTCAAAGTCGATTCTATACTTTCGCAGGAGGGGGTATACAATCACTAGAACGTCTTGTTAGGAATAGTAGATGAAGAGGCGTTCTAAAGGTAACTTACAGTCAAGGAAAGGAATGAAGAAGCAAAGAGCGATAGGGTCCAGGTTCTGGAGCAGATCATTGGGTGTTCCGTGAAGAGCCATGGTACCAGCTTGAGAGATGAGGTTGTTCCACATCTGGTTCCAGCAGATAAAGTAGAACGGGAAGAACAAGAACATCTGGACGCTGCTGTAAGTATTCACGCTGAAAGTCATGAAACGGGTCACATACCTTGCAGCTCTTGAGTCCCCGCTGCACATCTCCGACATACTCATCAGTGTATCTCTCTTGACTGGCCAATGGGTACTTTTCGTTGTGGCCTGTTGCTCTAAGGGCTGACGGTCGTGCATTATTGAACCCCTTCTCCTTGATAGCGATGCTAGTTGTGCGGCATGCATCGAGAATAGCTGAGCCAACTGGGGGGACGCGGATATACTTGTTTCGGCCTGAGATGAAGACAGCGGCGGAAATAAGAATGGCACTGTTTGAGATCATTAGATTTCGGAGATATATCTGGGTCAAAGACATTAGACCCACATTAACGGGACCAAGTATGCCAGCCAGAAAGAATGGTGAGCTTCTACGTTGACTGTGATGAGCGGTGAAAGGGCACCAATGTTGACGACCCAGTAGAACCTGACATCTATTAGCGTGTATATATCCAAGACCGAGCAAACCTGTCTTACCACATGAAAAGCCTCTGCACTGTGAGCTCTGGATCAACGATGACCTCCTCGCCTGACTTAAGTGTCTTGAGAACGGGATGCGAATGCTGATACTGCTCAGCACACATAGGCGTAACATTGGCCTTAATTCCTCCAGTTCCCAGGCCAATAGTGATCATAGCAGCGATGAGACCTCCAAGACCGGCATTGTGAATGAGGGCTGTAGGCGTTGAAGTCGAAACGAGAATAACGAGGCCGATGACATAAATGACGCATGCGCAGCATATGGCTCGGAATTTACCGAGATACTGGTCTGGGTATCATCAGTAAAAACAGAGCGATTGTGTGAGGTTGGTTTAGAGGCTTACCAGCGACTATGGCACCAATGACTGTTGAAGCGTAGGCCCAGAACTTGAAGAAGTTGCCGAGGGCTGTTGCGACAGCTTGACCCTTTCCAAGGGCACCTGGAAGATCGGAGCTGGGGTCATATGGGTTGCTAAATAATGTCAGTGGTTGTGAGGCTCAATCTGACTGCTTGACAAACTTGATGTAATTCTGGATAGGTCCGGAGAGACCAAAGTAGGTAAATCGCTCACCGAGCTACGTGGAGTCAGTCACTTCAATTCCCAGCCTCTCAATCTTTCAGGGGTCTTTGGCCTTACCTCGACAGCTAGGATCAACAACGCGATCTTGGGCAACTTATCAGGAACCCTCCTCAAACCTTGCCACTGCTCCTCCCGTCCCGCAATGCTCTTAGCATCGCCAGCATTGCTCTCAATCTTCTTCTCCATGTTAACTTCAGTCGTCATATTCTCAAACTGGGTCGAGGTAATAAAGAGATGATTCGACTCTCGAATGATGGTGGATTCTTCATTTCTCGGGATGTGATGCCCGGTATATAAACATCATGAGTTGGAGAAACATACCCCAGGTCGGCAGACCCATTCTGCTGGGAACCCTGCCGGGAGATAACGCGGGGTCGTCGCTGTGGGCTCTGATAGGCGGCGTTTGACGGCCTATCTGGCGCTATCTTCCCAGATAGCGTGGTTGATCGGCGTTGAGAACGCCGCCAATCAGGAGTTACGCCGATGGTGGAGGCGGTTTAGATGGGAGATAAAATAAGTATTCTCGAAAAAAGAGCGTCTTAATGGAATTTATCTAGTGAAGTTTATTGATTTTCTGCTACCATCTTGGTTATCTTGGCCATGTCTTATACTACGACAGCAATTGAAGAGGTAACGGCCTCATTTCCCAGCCCCAAGCGTTTGGAAATACGGCCGGATGAATACCCAGGTCTTGACCCAGAGTGGCGGAAACTATGGAACACGCATGGAAGTTCCATGATTCGAGCTGATGAAGTCACCATTGAAGAATATCGCCTGAATCCAGCAAATTACAGTTTCACATATCCGACATACAAAGGGCCAGAAGTCTTTCATGTTGAGGATAGACAAATCCCAGTGACGAAACCAGAAGGCTTGATCACTGTGAGGATCTATACTCCGGAGGGGCCTGGACCGTTTCCTGTGCATCTGAACTTTCACGGCGGAGGTTGGGTATTGGGAGGACTTCAATCTGAGGCGGCATGGTGTCGACATATGTGCAACAAGGCATCCATCAAAGTCATTGATGTTGATTATCGCATGGGCCCGGAGTACAAGTATCCAACAGCCATATATGACTGCTGGGATGCTGTGAAATGGGTAACACCAAGCCATATCTTATGAAGGACGTTTCTGACTGTATGCAGGCCATAAATAACGCGGCTGAGCTTAACGTCAATCCGAAGAGTGTCTCATTCGGTGGTCTTTCTGCAGGTGGTCACATGACGGCTGTTCTAGGACACTTTGCTCGCGACGAGGGCATCGACATCAAATTGCAGCTCATGATTGTCCCAGCCACAGATATGCGCTACTGCAGCTCTAAGATAAAGCAACTCACAGCAGAGAATTGCCCTTACGATAGTGTTTTGCAACTAAAGGACGTTCCGTGGGGACCTCTCGGGCGAGAGCAATGGTTCTTGAAATATTTCGTCAGCGAGGATGCTGGTAAGCATAACAACGGATATTCTAACGACAAAGTAGTACTGACGGAACTTGACAGACGAGCTTGAGGAAAAGCTGAACAATGAGTGGATCCTCACACCAGTAATTGCTCCAAACTTCAAAAACCTTCCCCGGGCGCACATTGTCACCGCAGAGTTTGACCTGGAAAGAGATGAAGGAGAGTACTATGGGCAATTGTTGAAGGTGGGAGGGAACGAGGTTACTATGAAGCGCTATGCTGGTTGCCCTCATGCTTTTGCGCACTACAGCCATCCAGAAAGGGGGTTGGCTAAGGCTTTTGAGTTCATTGAAGATACGGCCGAGCTATTGAGAAGTGTCCATGAGATAAGTTCATAGACCACGCGATCTCCATGATGGCATTATATTGTGAACGAGTTGTAAACCATTGATCGTTGAAGTGCTCTGAATTAAAGTCTCATTTGCTTGGAAGCCGGTGCGACCGACTACCCTACAGCGCTGAGGCTGATATTGAGGATACCTTAGAGTGAATTGCTATTCGCTTAGTTGCTTTTTCTTCTTCTTTATTACAACCAATTTCGCCAGTCGCCGCTGATAATTATTGAGTCATCGTACGATTCATATCTCTAGATTCAGCAATGTCTCCGTGGGGAGGTTTCCCGCGGTCAAACTGTGCCAACGCCACCAATCATGTGCTACGCCGATGGAGATGAACCAGGGTTGGCCGAAGCTAGGCGAAACCGGACTTGTCCGCGGCTGTCAGTCGGTATCGTGAAAAGATCAGTAACCTAAAGATAAAACTTGAGCGCCCTCCCTACAGGAGTAAATTCCTCAATTCAACCACGATTCCAATTGAGAATTATCTATCGATTTTATACCTCAAGATAGAGAATGGCGTCTGATAGCATTGTCATCGTCGGGTAAGTCGCCCGTTCAAAACTTCGAGTTCTGGCTGACGAGGATCCAAGGGCCGGAATCATAGGTCTCGATGTCGCTCTCGTTCTCTGCCAACAAGGGTATGGGAAGAACATCACAGTCATAGCCGAATACCTCCCCGGCGACACTTCTCCATCATACACATCTCCTTGGTAAGTCTCTCACAAGTTCAAGCCGTGCTATGTACTAACAGAACAGGGCTGGCTGCAATTTTTCTGCCATTTCTGGCACTGATGCCAACGCGATAAAATGGGATCGCCACGGCTATGCGCACTTGAAGAAGCTGGCTGCAGAAGACTCTGAAAAGTCTTTCGTCAAGAGGACGCCATCAATTGAGTTTTGGGATGACAATGTGCCGCATGACAAGATAAAGGCTATGGCCAATTATCTCGATGACGTGAGTCAACATTAAGGTCATAGACTACACAAAAGGCTCTAACAGTTTCCAGTTCCGAGCACTATCTGCACAAGAGCTTCCCGAAGGAGTCAAATTCGGATGTGCATTCACAACTTTAACTGTCAACGCGCCAGCTCACTGCCTGTATCTGTACAACAGACTAAGAGAAGAGTTTGGCGTGCGGTTCATCCGACGAAAGCTCGGAAGTATCCATGAGGCGTATAATAACCCTGCTACGAAAGTTGTCTTTAACTGCACAGGCAACGCAGCAAAGACGCTAGCAGGCGTGCAAGACGCGAAGTGTTATCCCACTCGTGGTCAAGTTCTGCTTGTGAGGGCATCTCATGTCAGTACCAACGTCATGCGTCACGGCAAGGATTACGAGACATATGTCATTCCGAGACCGGGGTCAAATGGAAATGTCATTTTGGGAGGATACATGCAAAAGGGCAATGAGTAAGCGTTTCGGTTCTACAGCTTGGGATACGACTGACACAACGAATAGTGACAGCGCCACGTATTCATCCGAGAGCGAGTCTATCCTCCAAAGGACAACAGAACTAAGTAAAGAGCTGCAACAGAAGGAACCCGAGGTATTGGCTGCATTTGCGGGCATGCGACCATCTCGCGAAGGTGGTGCAAGAATCGAACGTGAGGAGATCCCCATCAATGGAGACAGACGTGTGATTGTGCATAATTATGGTGCTGGTGGTACAGGCTTCCAAGCTGGTTACGGTATGGCATTGGATGCCGTCAAGAGCATTGAGGACGTTCTGAGCACCCTTCCTATCAGGTCGTTACTGTAAACAGAATTATATAGATCTGTAACTTTATGTTGCCGGCTTTGACGCGTCCAGCGCAAGCTTCACGTGCGGTTCCAATCTGAGGACTTGGTCGACCCCTCGCCAAAAGATGGCATCCATCCTCAGTAAGCCCAATCGGATAACAACAAAGGCATTGGCTTTGAGACGCATCTGCTTCCGCGTCGCTTGAAGAAGCTTCATCGATGAAAGCGCTTCTTCGTAGGTAGTGGCTGAGACAAACATGAACAACATTGCGAAGCAGAGAGACGAGAATGCACTTTGGCACCAAGGCGGCCAGTGCTCTGCTGTTTCGTCGCTTTTGAGAATTTTGAGAAAGTTAGAATATTGTTCGAGAACTGTCTTCAGGCTCTCGCGTGGAGACCATTGGTCCGAATTGGTGGTTGTTAAAGGGTGAGAATTTTGGGCGTGCACGGCAGCGCGCAGTATCAGTAGTTGTATGTAATAGTAGCCGAGCTTGATAGCCATTCCAGCCATCGAGCTGTCATTGCTCGAGTCTGCTGGCATTGCTTCGTTGGTCATTCTGTGTTCCAAAGTCTTGGAGAGATCAAGAACGGTTGCTTTCATCTCTCCTGGCCGCTGAGCAAGACTTGATGATCGAAGAGAGCAGCAAAAAGGTCAGCTTCAATAAATAGCGGTGGGTGGTGGAAGTCTACTTACTACAGACGATCGAGAGTAGAGGCTAGGGAGGATGTTAGGCCTGAAAAGACCATTGCGTCAGCCCATTGCAGCGCATCGAGGTCAGAAGCATGCTCATCTTGAGCCGACAGCTCGTCTACAAGCCAATTCTCGCGGTTGATATGCGGTGGCCTCCCCAAAGCAGCTGCTAGCCACTTGTCCATCGCGAAGATAAAAAATGACAGTCTTCGTCTCAAAGCTATTTGAGCCGACGGAATATTCCAAAGGGAGGGATCAAGGTGCAGCCCAACGTTTGTAGCTGTTGAGACTAGGGTTCCCATTGTTGTCCATCGATACGATGCATCTGACACAAGTGGGTTTACAGATGGTCGAACAATGAGTAGGAATAGAGTTTGAACGGTTGAAATACTTGGTGAATGCATGTCGAAAGCGACTGCAGTGTTGATCAGATGTGCTAGGTCTTCAGCATCGGGTGAGTCATAGGCCATGTCAATGCAGAGCTGGTCGTCGTACATGGCGAAGGGGAGAGAGATTGAGTATATAGCTGCCAACAAACAAGGTTCACTCGTGGAGGGATCTGGAGGAGACTCTGTTGAGAATATTGGGTAATGTGGTGCAATGAATCTGTTGTAAAGACTCATCAACCTCTTGCCCATAGTTTGCGAAACGGCCTTTTCAAGCTCAACTCTTTGTGACGATATCGACGCGCCAGTATGTCCGGTCTCTTTCCTACTTTGAGTAAACAGGGATGGCTGTGAAACGAGAAACTGAACCGGCGGCTCGTTGTTGACTGATCGGATGGCGAGCTGTTTGAACTTGAAGGTGCCATGCTCATCTGACTGATATCGCTGGAGCACATAAGGATCCATGTCTCCACTGAGCCCAAGCGTTTCTGGGTGCAGGTTCTCATGTCCATCTAATAGCGGATATTGCCTGCCGTATGAACCATCTGTTGATTCACCGGCAGTTGATGGGGGTTTATTATCTGGTGTTTGGAACATGAACTGATACTCAGGACCGTCCATATCAAGATCTTGAAGGAAGTCCATGTTGATGTCGGGAAATGTGCTTGATTCTGCTGGTGAGATATCTTCAGGGTTGAATGGCGTGATAGGCTCTTCGATAACTTCGTTAGAGGAACCGTGTTTGTTGCTTGCATCATGATATCCAGGGCTCGTGTCGGCTGTTTGCTGCCTCTTCCGAGGCCTCGCAGCCTCTACAAAGGTGCATTCTCTCCCGTATTGCTGGCATAACCGACATGGAGGTGAGGATTCGATCCGGCATGCTGTTTTGCGAGAACGGCAGAAGTCGCATGGTCTTTGCCGTTTGCTCATGTATTTACGCATCATGAGCCAGTGCAAAAGCGAGGTTGAGACGACGAAATAGAAGTCAATAAACCGATTGGATCTAAGCTCCAAATGGCACGTGATTTGGCCTGAATTGGGAAGGCTAATACCATTAGCGTAAAGGTTAGAGCTATCTCAAAGTCTCGAGATGATAGAGCTACTCATCCACTAGCACGCATTTATGAGACTAATAGAGAAGATATCACGGCAAGAAAAATCAGGTTCGCGGTGAGAGCGTGGAAGGAATAGCTTGAAGAGCAATCCAAAAGCGATACAATCATAATAGGGCAGACCCTCAATTCAACGATAATTACAATTGACAACTTTTTGATAAAGATTAACTATTAACCATAGGTATATAGAGCTCGAGACCTTATCAACCAATATGATAAAAGAGTTTCGACATTTTGTCCGAAAGTTGACTGACAATAGACGTCTCGGACGAACCCGAATAACCACTCCGTGTTGTTTCCACAGAACGCCTCCGTGACTGCATTTCCTTGACAAATTTTGGCCAGGTATTTGTCAAAACGAGATGCTTGATATGATGCTCGATGGAATCGAAAATAGCCGGCCCGAACTCGGCAGGGACAATGCCAGCATAGGTAGGTTTCTCCCTGGCTGAAGCAGGTGCTGACTCAAGGGACGTGGTTGTTTCAAACGGTATAGCTGGATGCACGTCCGCCTGTCCAAATGTCTCTCGTGCAGCTTTTTCGAACATTTTCTCCATGTACTTGAGATCTGCCGATCCAAGATTCAGTGGAAACTCAGCATCGCGAGGACTGATAAAGTTGGCGTAAATATCCAGTCCAGCATTATACGCATCACGAACATCTGCCTCGTCTGGCTCTGCACGCCACGAGATCTTCCACCTGGTGACCTCAGTCAAGAAAGAAATATTCTCTCCCGAGAAGTCGTTCAGAGCTGAGAAGTCTTGCAGAGGTCCGGGATTGCTATTGAGGGTGTAGTTGAAAGCGCTGATAGTCAGAAGGGTGTCTTTCAACTCTTGATCTGAGGATTCATATCCTCCTTTGTCGCCGAGACGCGTAGCTACTGAAGAACCTCTTCGTAGATCATTGAGCTCCCGGAGAGTGGACGTTGAGGACGTGGAATACCAATCCATGTTCAGATTCTCGACGCGCTTGACGAGAATACGTTGCTTAATGACTTGGAAAGCTGGGACGAAAACAGCAAAGATCTCGAGAAGAAAGATTGAGACGTGAATCCTAGGCTTGGTGAGTAATTGGATTGACAGTATGGGCATTTGTGGACTTACCATGAACTTGGAGGGAAGTAGAAGTTGACGGGCGCGAAAGCGGGTACATAACTTGCAATCAAGAACATGGGTGTTGCGTGTAGACTGTTGATTGCTGTTGGTAAAATGGCTCGAATATACTGTGTCGTGTGAATGGCTGGGTACTAACCTGGAGAGGCAGCAGCCGATCGTTTGTACTCGCCATCCCATAGTATCGTGTATATTCCATGACCTCCAAATCAGAAAGGGTGCGACCTGAAGAAAGAAGAGTTAACCAGCGAACCATTGTCGGCTCGAAGTGTTCTTACCATCCATGTCCAAACTACTTGCCAGAGTACAGAGGGCCACCACTCCCAGCCCCGGCCTAACTCAACTATTTGCTCAGGGAGGGTCTGGCTCTTGATCTCGGTGCCCGGAATACCATAGGTGGGATGGTATTTTCGACATGCTAGCCACATGCCAACTGTTAGGATAACCTACATCTCAGTCAGCATTTCACACAGTCCAACATGACAAAACAAGGATAACTGACCTGAACGACCATACCAATCCCTGTGAGAATCAACACCTTCTTGGTATATTCTAAACCTTTAAACCGGCATAACCAAGAATTATAAGGCTGTGCCGTATTGAATTGGTCTCTCAGACCTGCAATGCTATACTTCTTCTGCAGCTTAGCTACATGAAGAAGTCGACTATTGGATGCGTGGAAAAGAGCAATGCCAAGAGGAAACCAGATTCCCATAAAGAAATACTGTATGTCGTATGCCAGAACGATAGGTATGGTAGGTCCGACTGGGTACACGATCTGGCCGAGGATCCAGTAGAGGTGAAGGAGAACAATCGCGGAGAATGACAGAACGAGCCCGCGGAGTCTGAGTAATGGGTTGTTGCGATTCGCCCAGCAGAAAGTCATACCAGACAGAACCAGGAGGGTCCAAAGGACACAAAAGATAATGTAGAATATTCCGACCCGGTCCCACCTGGCCGGGCTAGGTGGGAGGTTGTAGATGGTGATGACTGGTGGCATATTCATGATGTCGCTATCTCCAGGATGCTGTTATGATAAGTCACAATCGATCGAGCCCATAGACACGGATCTCTTTTTATCATTGAGGAATTTCTTGATATTAATATTGGGAGGCTTTGGGGCAAGGTGTCATGTCCTCCCATACACAATTACAATCGGCAGGGCGACTCCACCCTCCCAAAATCTCAGAAGTCATGAATCACATTTAAGGATTTTAGGTGAAACATCGGAGATCGTCGCGATTGCTGCAAGGGAGAATATCTCCCTGCCTTAACGAACGGCTCGCGATCTTAGTTACCATTGACAAGGATCCGGTGATGCAATGTCTCAGATGATCTGGGGCGACAACTTTTCCTTGCATCGCTATCGAGGACTTCTGAGATTGTTGACCCTCAACGTCAGCATCAAGTAAGAGCTAACGGCAGTAAAGAGCGTAGATTGGCCACAATGTGCATTTCAGCCTTGATTGCCAGTGCCATGTTTTATTTGACCCGAGGTGACGGTCCGATTGATCTTACCAAGCTACCCGGATCACGCAATGGGCTCAACGTGACCAATTAGAGATGGCCGTGCTGCTCACCGCGCCACACTATCTCGGTATCAACAATGAGAGACCAACGATAACGGTGGTTGCTGAAATATCAACTGTAAGTTTACCCGCCTAATTTTCATAGTGTTCAGGATTTGCCTCAACGAATGAGGTTGGTAATATGGTAAAGTGGCTGAGAATTAAGAAAGCCTTGTATTCTCTCTACATGCTGCACACCGCCTTGAGCTATGGACACCTGTTAGGCTGTTGGTTGCGGCTATGCGCCAGCAAATCACAAACAAGGCTGTGACGCGAATTACATCGCCAGCAAATCACACATGCAGATTCAGCTGCTTATTATGCCTTACCCCGCTCTCCATCACATATAATTGTTGAATTCTCAAAGTGGATGTAATGATATCTTATCCAATCTCTTAAAACAGGTTTTTCTTGCCTTATTCATTCTCAATGCGACTAATCAACACGAAAACCTTGGAGCTCCATGAGTTCTTTAGCGAAAGTACGCCGCCCTATGCGATCTTGTCTCATGCTTGGGGCGACCAAGAAGTTAGCTTTCAAGACTGGCAGAACCGCCAGCAAGTCACTCAGAAACACGGATATACGAAGATCCTGAAAGCATGCAACGAAGCTCTGAAACACAAGTTGGAGTGGCTTTGGGTCGATACGAACTGCATCGACAAGAGCAGCTCGGCAGAGTTGTCAGAAGCCATTAACTCGATGTTTGAATATTATGAGAAGTCTGAAATCTGCTTTGCTTACCTCGCCGATGTCCCTACTGCCAGCCAAGCTGAGGACACGCTGAATTCTCAAATTGAGAAAAGCCGTTGGTTCACTCGTGGTTGGACACTTCAAGAGCTTTTAGCGCCCAAACATCTCATGTTTTATACCGCGGATTGGTCGGCCATATATAAAGATCATTTTACTTTAGTCTCAATAATCACCAAAATCGATTACGAGTTTCTCAGTGGGGAAGTAAGCCTTCAAGAGGCTTCTGTAGCGGAGAGAATGTCTTGGTTGGCGAAAAGAACAACAACACGCACAGAGGATATGGCATATTGTATGCTCGGTATATTCGGTATCAATATGCCATTGCTATATGGCGAAGGAAAGAGAGCATTCGTACGGCTTCAAGAAGAGATCATCAAAACTTCCAATGATCACACCATTTTCTGCTGGGGATGGAACGAGGATGTTCCAAGGAATTGGGCGAGCTTTCTTGCCCCATGGCCAATTACTTTTGAGGGAGCCGGAGCCTTTGAAATATTGGAAAGCGACGATGTCTCTGTCTTTTCCATGTCGAACGGTGGCTTGTCAATTCGGCTCCCTGTCCTTCCAGAGACTGCACCAAATTCCACCACGATCGACTTGTGGCTCGTGAAACTGCAAGCTACATCAAGAAGATTCCCTTACCCTACGAAGCCAGCGTGTATCCGTGTAGTAGGCCGCCGGGTAGGTGAGTTACTCTATGTTGCACGCTTTCCCTACCCTCCTCGACCAGTTAGTATATCGACATTCCCCATTTTAGCCCCGAAAAGACCTCTTCTTGTTATGAATAAACTATCAAACACAAGGCTATATGGGAATCAATATCAACCAGACTTTCGTTATCAGCCTCTTAAGTTCACAATCGTGGAACAGCCAGGCGATTTCCGGACCGCGTGGCATTGTGTTGCTTTAGATGGATGTAATTGCGAGTCAGAGCGAAAAGGCAACACATTCCGGCTTAGACTTCATAGCAAGGGTGTCTGGTGGGCTGCAGTCATAGTAGGTACAATGGAGAGTCTTCCACAAACAAGAATATGCATCTTGCTGGGGGGCACCTCGCTTCATGGCTCTCGAGGTATTTCTGTGGGCCTCGTGAAAGCACGAGGAGATGGTCCTCACATAGGTCAAAAAGATGAGAATGATGCTATTTTGCATCAGTGGAGTCAGCAGCTCCAGCTGAACGATCAAATCGCACTACCGGCTGCCTTTGAGAGTTTGCTAGGAATAAGTATCACGCTACACGAATCTCGAGGGGGGCTGGAAGCGGATACTCGCGTATTATGCCTCTATAAGGACCAGTTTGGCAGATCTGTCTAATGCTCTCCCCTTTTCATTGAAACTTTTAAACAGAGCGAAAATAAATTGGCACGATCTAAGTTCTCTCTGCTGATTTAAGCTCTCAGCCACAAGCGGGACCTTGCTCAAAGCCGCCCGAGGTCTTGGTTATGCCCCGACATGAGACACTTACACTCCAGCCTACAAGGGAATATCCTGCTAAACCTGGCCTTGGGCTTATCTAGATCATGCTTTGTGTTCAATGGCTTCTGGAGTCAATGTTCTTCTTTGTATACAGATGCTAGTGCGACACGTTGCTAAAGCGGGGTAAGTACACTGCCTCAGGCTTGTGTCGCTGGTAGGCGCTCAATCCCGGGTCTTGAGTCCAATTGCTACACATCAACAAACCTTTGTCAACAAATCTCTGGCAATATAGCTAACACAATCACTAACTCCATATCCAAGATATACGTGGAATCGTATTGCCACGGCTTTTGCAAAATATGACATTCGAGACCTCTGAAAACCCACCATCTCCTTCACCAACATCACCAGCATGGAGTGTAATCCTGTTCACTTTCAGCGATAGAAACACCGATTCAGAGCTGGTGGTTATGTGTAATAACAAACGCTTTATCATACGTCTCTTAGCCGACACCTTTTCTGAGTCGCCCAAGTTGAAAGAACGCTATCTCTTCTTTTTGCGAGTTGCCGAAGAGTTCGAGCTAGATGGTGTAGCTGTCGAGGACTTCTGGGATTGGATTGTCGACCCTCTGCTCCCCATTTTCCGGGAACTGCACACTCCAGACCCGGCAGACCTGCAAACTTTGAACGGCTTTTTCAACCCCGAAACCTTCGTCTATACCTTTCAAACAGTCTCTGATGAGCGTATACCACAATTAGACAGAGACGCCGCACACCAGTCTCCGTTTGGTATTTTTGTTCCTGATGAACTCTGTGCGTTGTGGAAGTCCTTTGATCCATCTGAAGTGCGGATTTGTCAAGAGAAAGTGATTGGCCCGCCTTCTGATACGCCGCGCAAAGTCCTTCTGCACGACGGGACAATTGCATTCCTCAAGCTCGTTCGCCGCGGGGACAAGCAGTCCCTGAAAAATGAGCTGGACACATATGGGAAGATCGACAGAGCAGAGCTTGACAACAAGATGAGGATCTCACGCCTCCACGGTCTAGTGCGGAACAACGATGGTGTTACTTTCGGTCTCTTACTTACCTATATCGACTGTGGGCGTGTTACAATGTCGTGTGCATTGAGGCCAGAAACCGAAGTTTCACTAAGGGCGAAATGGGCTGCACAAGTCCAGGAAGCTATTGCCCAACTACATGATGCTGGAATAGCGTGGGGAGATGCTAAACCGGACAACATCCTAATTGATGTAAATGAGGATGCTTGGCTTATTGATTTCGGTGGTGGATACACGGAGGGATGGGTGCCTAAGATCCTTGTCGGGACAATGGAAGGTGATCGCATTGCTCTCGAGAAGATACTAGAATACATCCGCAACTAGAACATCAATCAAGAGGCCATTAATTTCCCTATCATTCGACCGTCACTTATCCTATCTGACTACGTGCACATTTCCAGCTTTTGACCCAGCTTCTCACACCCTGTCAGATGAAGGATCTGGAACCCGCAACATTGTATGTGTTGGTCGTGAAAAGTTTACTTTTTCACGTACATCATCAAAAAGGTATTGGGTCTCCGTGCATGTCTTCACTCCACCTCAAATATACGCTCCGGCCAATTGTCTTTGCTAAGCGCTGTTGCCTGATCCTTCACACCGCTTTCTGTTATAGTAACTTATTAGGCAACATAACCGTAGAACCCACGAGATGCATTTCCCATCTTGCTCTTAATCATCTGAACGTTTCCCGAATTGAACGGGGTTTCTTCCAAGTGAACGTTTTCAACTTTCCTATAGACCAGCCCATCAAAAACTAACAAAGATGACATCTTCCTCTTTTGTACTTTCGCAAACCCTTGGAGGAATCACCCAAACTAAGATAAGTGAACTTGAAAAGCAGCGCACTATTTACGAGTCCCGAAAGGCCAAGATCTTGGAACACGCGAATCAACAAGATGATCGAGCTGCAAGAATCAACCTCCTCCTAGAGGGAGTTGAGAATCTCAACGCTGAGGCTTTCCAGAGCCCTGCTGTCAAGAATATCAAGCACTGGCTTAGTCAGTCTAAATATGATGTTTCTGTTCCAAGCGAGTTCATGCAGGCTCATGAAGAACTACTTCGGTCGCATTTGGAGGTACCAAGTCGGAAACTAGCACTAGGCCACCTCTACGCTCGGCTTATTACCGAATGGATGACTGCCTCTCTTAGCGACCGTCCAGCCTCGGAGGAAGAATCTTACGAGGTTCTGGATCAGCAAAAGGAGAGGCTGCAGGAGTTGTGCGATAAGTTTGAGCGAGTGGTCTTTGAGCCGTTGGAAACTGATGAAATTGAGATTGACCTCTACCTCAAAGAGCTGTTCCAAGGTGAACAAAGCGAAGAGGGCGCCAAGTCGCTAAAGACTCTGAGAGAGACAATTGGTGACTCTTGCAGAGAGATCTTTGGTGAAAAAGCGCCATTCGATTCCACGACACTCACGTGGTGTATTAATGGGCTACTCGCTGAGGATTTGCTCAGCGACCAGAAACAGGCCATTCTTCGAGACTTTCTTGAGAAGCCGGTTGTTTTAGGAGAGATCGCCGATGTATTGAACATGCGTTTCTCCAACATTGACAGTTGGGAATGGGATGCTGGTGAACAAGGCAGTAAGTCCACCAGAACTGTTCCTTTTAGAGAAATAACTAACTCCATTGCCCTAGTCCCTGTTCTTCCGAGGCAGCAGTTGAACGGCAAATACAGAATATGGATGGACGAGGATGTGTTGCAAGCAATTCTCATCCACTACATCGGGATCCGATGTTGCGTTACTCTTAAGACGGCTCTCGACTGCTTTATTACACAGTATAGCTTCTGGAGATGGAACACTGGGCCAGATCCTAGCCGTGACGAGAAGCAGCGTCGCATGTATTACTTGTCCGATGGAGCTACTACTAGCTCGAATCTCGTGAACGAGAGAAAAAGGCAGTATGTACATGAGTTTTTCATGTCGCAGCTGCCGGAGGATGTTGAGACGATTGGGGCTGGTGGCTATACCGATCCAACAGAGGAGAAAGACACCTCCAACAAGCCCAACATTAAACAGAGCATACTCCGAACGCTCGCTACAGAGGCCACCATACAGAAAACCCTGAAGGGCGAAGTGTCGTTGATACAGACTGACCTGGAGTGGTTCGCCACGGGCTTGTCGCATACAACTATCTTCGCCACCATGCGATTCTTTGGCTATACCGAAGGTGCCATCTCTTTCTTCAAGAAAGTTCTTCAGGCGCCTCTCAATGTGCAGTCCTCCCCAGATTCGCCGCTGACGGGCAGTCCAAGAGTGCGCCGTCGTGGAGTGCCGATGGCTCACGCACCAGAGAAGCTCCTTGGCGAGCTTGTCCTCTTCGTCATGGATGTTGTGGTGAACCAACAGGATGGTATGCTACTCTACCGCCTCCACGATGACCTATGGCTATGCGGCGAACCACTGCACTGCAAAAGGGCCTGGGCTGCTATGAACAAGTATGCGAAAATCCTCGGCCTTACCTTCAACAGGGGCAAAACTGGCTCTGTGTATATAACAGAGCGGGGGAAAGAGCGAGATGTCGATGTCGCAAGCGCTTTGCCTGAGGGTCCTGTCCGAGTTGGGCATCTATCTCTCGATCCCGAGTCGGGGATCTGGGAAATAGACCGTGTGGAGGTAGAGGGGCATATGAGGCAGCTGAAGAAGCAATTAGATGGATGCATAAGTGTGCTGGAGTGGGTGCAGACTTGGAACAGCTGTATGGGACGTTTCTTTAGTCATACCTTTGGAGAACCAGCACATTGCTTTGGTCTGCATCACGTTGACAGCATCCTCGAGACTTACCAGATGATGCAGGAGTTCTTATTCCCCGTGGCGCCAGATTCATCAAAACGCAGCCATGGAGCCTTCAGCCATATAAAGCACATGATCAACGATCGCTTTGGGGTAGACGTACCCGACGCATTTGTCCATTTACCTGAACGCCTGGGAGGACTCGGTCTTCGAAATCCTTTCTTGCCTATTCTGATGATCAGGGAAAGCATTGCAAAGAAGTCTCCGACCTCAATCATTCAGCAATTCCTCGATGCAGAAAAGGAAAGATATAAGCGATATAAGAAGCACTTTGACTCTCTGGCAAGTGTCGAAAGCCGCATCAATGATGCTGTCAAGGCGGCAGGAAGTGCAGGAACCGTGAGCTCTGAAACGTTCAAGAACCTGCTTTCGACTGAGGAGCTGGAAAACTTCTTCAGCGTCGAAGAATACGCCAAGCACCGGGAGTTAACGAGTAATGCCTTGTTGAAGGCTTACACGGCGTTGAAGAATGTACCACTTGACTGTAGCCCGGACTTGGACTCTGATGTTTCGTGGACCCTTAACCACGAGCTAGGCGCCAATCTGAATAATTCGGGCAGCAAGATGAAGGAGGTTCAGTGGGCGTTACAAATGTATCGGGATGTCCTGAATCGTGACTATGGAGGCTTGTGTCTTGTGGATAAGGAACATCTGCCGCTTGGCGTATTGACATTGCTGCGGAGTAGAGCAGTAGCATGGACGATGGTTCTATAGTTTATATTTATAATCTTAGCAGCCAAAGGACAAGGCTTGAGTCTCGAGAGGTATGGAAATTTCTACCTTCTGAGTATGGTGCAAATCGACTTGTGCTAATGATGGTCTAGACACGGCCATGTTTGCTCCTTGTTTGTCCGCTGAAAATGTATAGGTAGCAGAACGCAAAAACAAATTACCCAATTCAGATCTCCAGTAAATACCTTGACACCTTGTTGACTGTCTAAATCCTTTGTTCTCCAGAGACTTATAGCTGAGAGCTTAAATCAGCAGGCAGAACTTGGTCTAAATCCTTCCTCTACGAATAATTATTCCCTGCAAGAAATACTATTCTTGCTTGATTCCAGACGATCTATGAAGCCGATCGAGCAATCGCTTTTGCATATCCAATGACATCAAGGTCGCTAGCTCACATGTCAGTAATTGTTCGATGATAATCACATGGTGAAGCTTACGGATCACAGCATATGGTAGATATGTCCCAAGTAGAGTTTGCTTGGCCTCACGAGTGATAACATCTGGGCCCAGATACCACATGTCGTTGCAAACTACAGCCGTGCAAAGGCTAACCACTGCACCGTAGACGACGCCTGCAAGCTCCGCAGAACCAGACATCCCCTGTTTCGATAACAGTGCGCGAGTGAGATAGATTGCTAGAGGCAACTGCACCACAAGCTCAACATAGACAAGGAATTCGAAGAAATGCCCCGGAATGTCAATGCCGTAATAAGGATCTGAAAAGGCTGTGATGTACCACTGACGAAATGGGACGAGGAAGTGAAATGGCGAGCCACGAAGTTGTAATAGAGACTGTGGATAGAAAGGAACAAAATCGATGCCTACTTTCGTAATGAGTTACGGACGTGTGCATGATGGGTTGATTAGACTCACTTAGCATAGCAAACAAATGGAGAGCCACGATAAATAAATATACATAATCGGGAAATGGCTTGCGTGGCGACATGGTGAGTGTGTTGGCCGTGTTAACCCAGATTATGAAACTTTGAACAGGCAAGATACGTGTGAAATTGCGAATATGAAGATAACAGAAGAGCGAATCACTTAAATACCTGGCCCGCGCATTGATGTCAGGCCCGAACGTCCCGAGATGAGGTTTATTAGTGCTGCCACTGTACCGGGGAGGCGCCACGATGATTGGCCAGAAAGTTGGCAATAAGCTCAAAGTAAATTGTTGGTCGGCAGATGTCTGAAGCAATCATGTCCATTTTCTTTGGAGCCCTCATCTATAAGGTATTTATATCTCCCATGTCAATTTGGCAAAGCTAACTCTGTGAAGCGGTCGGTGGGTTAAGGGTATGTATAGCTTGTGCCTCGACGCGGCTGTTCTCTTCTGAGCCCATATCATCGACACGGGCCTTGAGATAAAATAGCCTGATTGCGCCGTTTCCTTGCCGTAGGAAGTTAATTTGCAGCTCCCTACGAATTACATATCCTAGTCCCAAGTGTTTTTGTGGCTTCTTAAAATATAGGGATGATTAGATAGTTCTAGAGCTTCTATATGCTGATCCCCGTTCCATGCTGCTGCAAGACTCAAACAATACGCAAACCTCGTCCTGAGTAGCAAGATATGATGGAAGACGGGACTAGTCACTTGCTGTGATATGAGGTAGGATTTGAACTTCATCCTACATCATTAAAACCCACTGAAATTCAAGTCATGATGACGATTGAGATGACGTCAACCATCGTCAGAAGCCTTTTTACCATGACTTCAATGGAGAATTCAACCCTAACCTGAACAAAACAAACAACATCCCACTTATTAACTATTTTCACCTGTTTTTTACTCTCAAAATGGTGATCCAGTACCAAGGGTCTCAGATCCCCGTCTCGTTCGCATCATGCAGCATTCCCATGAAGATCAGGGCCAGTCTTCCTGATAAGCTCGCCGCCATTCGAAAAGCTGGCTTTGACGGTATTGAGCTTTCCATGCCTGACATTCTTGACTATGGGAAACTTCTCAGTGGATCTCAACCGAAAGAGGATGACTACGACACTCTTGCGGATGTTGCGAAGCAGATCAGGTCCTTGACGGATGAGCTTGGCCTAAAGATCATGATGCTTCAGCCTTTTGCGAATTTTGAGGGCTGGAAGAAGGGCGAACATGATGAGCAGAGGATGAAGGCCTTTGAAAAAGCAAGAGGATGGGTCAAGGTCATGGAGGCTGCTGGTATCACTTTGCTTCAGGTAGGCTTTACTGACTCACCTGTCCTTGCAGTCGCTGACATTCACAGGTTGGCTCATCCGACTCTGAAGGCATATCATCTTCATTCGATGACTTGGCATCCGATCTAGCAGAACTAGCAGACCTTCTCGCCGAAAAAGGCTTCAGCATCGCTTACGAAAACTGGTGCTGGGCCACCCACGCCCCAACCTGGAAAACAGTCTGGCAAATCGTCCAAAAAGCCAACAGGCCCAACATTGGTCTGTGTCTCGACACCTTCCAAACCGCGGGTCTTGAATGGGGCGATCCAACTACGAAAGACGGCCTAGTCAAAGCCAGCAGCGATGAAGAGCGCAAAACTCACTGGCACAAGAGTCTCGAAGAACTGGCTGCCACTGTCCCAGCGGATAAGATTTACTTGTTGCAGATCTCAGATGCGTACAAGATGGATCCGCCTATCGAGGATAAGAAAGATGAGGAGGGGAGTAGGCCTAGGGCGAGGTGGAGTCATGATTATAGGCCGTTGCCGTGTGATGGTGGATATTTGCCTGTTCAGGATATGCTGCATGCTGTGCTGAAGACGGGTTTTCGGAGTTGGTTATCCATGGAGGTGTTTGATGGGCTTGAGGGGGAGAATACGGATATGAATGAGTATACTGTTGCGGCTGTTGAGTCGTTGAAGAAGCTCATTCAGGTCAGCGAATGATGGGGTTTACGAGTTGCACCAGATGCAGTATTAGAGCAATAACAAAAATCCATCACGTTCGTTTCCTATTTCTTGCTGTGCATATGCTCCTTTCTGCCATTTGTTACATCAGGAAACCTTACTCGTAACAGCAGTGTACTCCATCAAGTCCTTTAGAGCATTTTCTTGTTCAGTCTCAATGACCTGAGCATGCTTCACCGACCGAGGTGTAATTGAGCAGGGGAATGGCAATGGACTCGAGTTGAAGCCCTCCGAATAAGCGAAGCTATCCAATATTAGTATCGAACCCTTCTCCGTATAATGGGTTCTCCAACTCACATATCAACATCGATATCTCGCCCCTTCTCATCCTTCTCAGGGTTGACCTCAAATCCCCATAGGATACGCGCGATGTTAAGCGTGACAGACGCAGCTCCAAGGTGCATGCCTGGGCAAATTCGTCGACCCCAGCCAAACGCGCTATGGCCAAGTGTGCCAGGGTACTCTCGCTTCTCCATGAAGCGCTCAGGTCTAAACTCGTGAGGCTCAGGAAAGTCGGCTTCGTTGAGATGCACTAACAACATCAGCCATCGTCAAACAACCATTAAGTGCCATACTTACAGGTCCAAAGTGGTGCGATGATTGTACTTCCCTTGGGAATAAACATGCCCTTATAGACATGATCCGCAGTGCTAGCATGAGGTGTTCCTCCTAGTACAGCAACAGGTCTCCATCGAAGAGTCTCGGATGCTATAGCCCTGACGTACTCGAGTTTGGGGAGATCATCAAATGTGGGGAGTCTGTCACTCCCGACTACTCTGTCCAGCTCTTCCTGGGCCTTTGGGATGAATTGAGGTCCGAACTTGACGCAGGCGAGAAGGAAGCTTGCGAGTGAGCCCGCGGACTATTAAAATATTAGCCACAAAGTTCCCGTCATGAAATCGTAGACTCACGGTCTCAACACCAGCACCGAAAGGTGATCCAGCTGTATAAGCAATTTCGAGATCACTCGTACCCAAGCTCTCTTGCTCTTCGAGAAGATGTTTGGCGAAACAAGTTGGTGCAGTTCCTTTATCGACCTTTTCACGAACCTCGTCCATGAGTTCTGTATATAGTTGGATATCTTTCTGGCGTTGTTGAAGAACTTCCTTTTTCCATGGGGCCAGGAAGCTAGGGAGATACTTCAGTGCGGGATAACGCTCAACGGCATACTTTCCGGGGATACTAAAACAGCGTCAGCGTCAGATCATGCTTAGATCATGTTTAGGACGGATGCAAACTCACTTGACCATCGTTAGTCGCTCCATAGCTTCAGCATTCCGCCTCACCACAATATCACTCCTCACATCCTCAACCCTTCGTCCATAAGTAACAGTGACGATAACCGACGCAGCATACCTTTCCAAATGCATCCTAAAATCAGCAGGCCTCTTCAAAAGATCAAACATCAAGACCTTAGACTCAAGACTCTGAATTGGTCTGTACGTCTCACTCTGCCTCTGCATAAACCCACTATGCAGCAACTTTCTCCACCGTCTCCAATACGAAGCATACGGCGCCATAAGACCTCTCATTCCACCCGAGAGTAGTTCACCGCCCATGATGAATCGTGGGCGAGAGGAAAATACAGCGCCGCGCTTCTCGAGAAGATCCCAGGCTGCTTGCGCGGAACCGAGGATTATGGTTGGTGTTGGGCCGAGCTGGAGATAGACGACGTCGCCGTATTGTTGGCTGAGTTCTTGAAACCAGAGCCATGGTTTGCGGATGCCGGTTCTGATGGTTTTGGGGCCTGGGGGGAGTTGGGAGCGGTGGGCGTAGAGTTTCCATTCTTGTTGAAGCTAAAGTTGTGAGTGAGTATTGGTAAAGAGACGGTTGTCATTGGTGGATTATGGTTACCCTTGGGAATAAGAGGGCGAGATATGCCAGTCCCAGAGCGACGACAGCGTAGAGAATGAGTTTCACCACCATCTTGTCAATAGTGAAAAGACATTGGCTTGTCAAACAGCAAGGTGAGAGGGAGCTCTGTCTGGGAGCGAGATGTATGTCAGTTGTCATCGGCTATCATCCGGTAATAAAAGAAGCCGAAAACACGCACGCACGCATACATACAACCGAAACGACCTCAACTGCCACCCTCAACTGCCGAACCCAAAAGACTGGGTAAGCCACCCCCGCGTCGACGACTCAGACTAAAGGCATTAAAGGATGCCCTAATGACTCTGACTTCTCGAGGCGAGATGTCATGTTGTTCCCAACCCCGCGTTCTAAACTACAACCGGTTATGCCGAGATGTTTAAACCCGGGAGGTCTCCACTGGGCTAGAGATTGTGGGGGAGCTAGGAAACTGCTGATATTGGGACAAGATGTCAGAATAAACTGGTCTACACGTTATGGAACTCATTGCTGCATTTGTCTGTGACTTTTTGTCACTTCGGCTAGATGGCACAAGTTTTGTTGTGGCTACTAGATTGGTGGGACACTCCGACATCCTTGTTTTTCGGTTAATTTTACCCCGTGTTTAGATAAAGAGGTTGCATTGCATCGCTTTGGGGTGAAAGTGAAGAGGATATCGATTGAATCATTACTATCTTCAAGTAACTCTGAGCGGCTGCGAAAATGAAGAGTGACGCTTGGCTTAGCAAGCCCTTTTTGACTTCTATATTCCTTGGAATAGGAGGTTTTCTCTATGGATTGTAAGTCAATGTTCTTTATCAGTCATTAGAACCATGCTAACGGATTCAGTGACTCGGGTATCATCACGCCGAGCTTGGCGCTGAGTTCGTTCCTCACGTACTTTGGCAAACCAGATCCTCCCCTTCGAGGCGCCATTGTGTCCATGTACCAAGCAGGAGCATGGCTAGGCAGTGCTTCAGTCGGCATCACCAGTGATAAACTCGGTCGTCGCAAAGCCATTGCTTTCGGCTGCATCTGGGGCGTCATTGGCGGTGCGGTCATGGCTGGCGCCGCTCACGTTGCGATGCTCATCATCGGACGACTCCTCGTCGGTTTCGCCGTTGGGACCATCACAGGAGTATCTCCTGTATTTGGAGCAGAGATTGCAAAGACCCATGAACGTGCCAAAGTCACGGCTGTGAATCAAATGATGACAGCTTGGGGATTCTTCGTCGCGCTGTGGATCGGTGTCGCGGAGGGGAAGTGGCATAACGCAAATCAATGGCGTCTTGGCTTTGCGATTCAAAGTATTCCCGCTCTCATTCTTGGTGTTGGCGTCTTGTTTCTGAGTGAATCACCCCGTTGGCTTTGTCTCAAGGGCCGTCATGATGAAGCTGAGAAGGCATTCCGCGCTTATCACTACGACGGAACGAATGACGATTGGTGTCGCACTGAGTTCACTGTCATTCAAGTCAACATCTCCGAGGAGCTGCAAGCTCAAGGAAAACTTTCATGGGCCCAACTAGCCAAGACCCCTGCGTTCCGAAAACGTCTCTTTGTTGGTACGTTCGTCTGGGCAGCTGCTATGCTATCCGGCATTTCCTTCGTGCAGTACTACCAGACCGCTATCTACGCAACACTCCAGTTCAGTGAGGATCGCCAGCTTCTCGTCAGTGGCCTTTACGGTTCTGTTGGTCCAGTCGCTTGCTTCCTATCATTGTTCTTTGTCGACAAGATCGGAAGGAAGAAGATTCTGGTCATCAGTTCGTCGCTTTTGTCGCTATGCTACTTGATCATTACGGTCCTGGCTGCTGAATTCCCTGCTATTCCTGGTATGCCGACCAATGCTGCGGCGCAGAGGGGTTTGATTGCGTGTATTTTTGCTGTTTCGGCGAATTACTCTGCTCTTCTTGGACCGATGACTTGGATTATTCCGTAAGTATTGAACGCCTGGGGATTTTGGCATGTATACTGATCGTGTGCAGTCCTGAGGTTTTCACTACTGAGCTACGTGCCAAGGCCAACGCCATTGTGCAGGTGGTGCACTATTCCATAAGTCTGATCATCACGCAATGCTCGCCTATCGCCTTAGCAGCTGTGGGCTGGAAGTACTACGCAAGTCGGCCCTTGATCACTTAAGCTATCAATTCTAACATTTTTCAAGATCCTGTTCGTCCTCACCAACGCGCTTTGTGCTGTTATCTTCTTCTTCGTATATCCAGAGACACGAGGTAAGTCAGAGCTTCGGACTTGGGTTTCACAAACTAACGAATTGCAGGTAAATCACTGGAAGAGATTGATGAAATCTTCGGTGATGTCAAGATTGTCCATGAAGAGGATGTCCGGTTCTCTGAGAAGACTGGCGTCGAGGCGATTGAAACAAGGGATCAGCGCATTATGCAGGGATCTTAGAGCGCCTTTCACAGAGCCAGACTTCCGACATCTGATGACGGTTCCAGAATGACTAGTCCCATCAGAAGATACAAAGCAAGACGCCGTTTGTGCCCAGCTGAAATACAGTCGGGTTCATATCGATATGTAGTCAATTATATCTTATAATACTCAGATATTCCTTTCCAGTGACTAAGTATATACAAATAAGTTACGAGCGTCAAGCTCAGATAGTCTGTGTATGGAGTAGATTAGAGGCACTGAGAGTACCAATTGCTGTGCTTGGTACACTTCAGACCAGAAGCGCACTTGGTAGGACCGGTGTAGCCAGCACCGCCGCCGCACTGAGCGTAAGCACCGGCAGTAGCGCTTGAGGTGCTCTCCTTGGCTGGCTTTGCTGCTGTTTGTGTAGCAGATTGCTTGGAAGTGGTGGTAGTAGGCTTAGCAACAGCAGTCTTGGTGCTAGCAGCCTTGGATGAGACGGGAGTAACAGCCTTCTCAGTTGAAGTACCCTTCGAGGCAGAGCTAGAAGCAGTAGATTGCCAGCCGCGCTTGCGAGAAAGCTCGTACCACCAGTTCCTCAACATCCAGCCGTCGAAGTCAGTAACCTTGGTGGATGAACCAGCAAGCATGATGAAGTTGGTCTGGCCGGTGGGAGTCCAGTCGTAGAAGTCGTCAAGGGCGAAGGTATGACCGATCTCATGCTCGAGAATGTGAATGTCCTTCTGACCAAGGAGATCCATGAAGTACTCCCGTCCGATACGCTGACCCCAATCACCACCGGCTCCTCCCTGCATACCATCGGTCAGCCAGAGGGAGTTATCGTAGTGTCGCTCAGCGCCTCCGGGGCAGCTGCTGTAGTCACCGTCCTGGTGGAAGAAACGGCCGCACTTCTCGGAACACTGGGGAATGCCCTCGGCGTCAGTGTCGGTGTAGATATCGAGACCTTCAGTAGAACCCTGGAGAAGGCTCTTGTTCTTGACAGCCCATCCAACGACATTGATCTTGACTTCTTCATATGGAAAGTTATCGTAACCGGAAACCCACTTCATCCAAGCACTATACGAGTCCTGGAGCGCACTGGCGACCTTGGTGCGCTGCTCAGCAGTCACAGAAGCGCTAGACTCCCAGCGAACGCAGACGTTGAGCTGGCCCTTTCCAGCGATGACTTGGTCCCAGCCGTAGTTCTTGAAGCCGAGTGCGTCGCTGTAGGTCTTGACTTCGTGATCCCAGACTTCCTTGAGGGGTGTGGCGAGGTCGGAGGGAGGGTTCCAGCCGGACTGGCGCTTGGTGGGACGGTTTCGGGGGATAGAGGTCCATGAGCGCGACTTGAGAGGGGTGAGGGCCTTCCAGACGGAGCCGTCGAGATCGGAGGTGGCGGAGTTGGAGTGGGCTACGGTCGACGTAGTGAGGGCCATGAGGCCAGCGGCGGAAGAGAAACGCATGGTTGTTGAAAGAAAGAATGTGAGTTAGTTAAACGAGTGTTGTGTTGGAAAGAAACGAATGAACAGAAAAACGAATATCTACCAGAGATGCTTGCTGGGCTTTCAACTCTCAAGTTGTAAGCTCAAGTTATATAGGATCGACCTGGTAAATCGAATCACATCCTCTTACGAGATGTTGAAAGAGGCTCATTGGCGGGATAATAGCACGGAAACAATAGATTCTCCATCGTGAGAAGTTGATCCATAATTTCTCGGGTTATTCAAGGATAGGGCTTTTATGTCAGTGCTCTTCCAGTTTATCAATCTCCTAATATGGGTCATCTCCTCGGCATGGCATGTCATCATGCCCAATGGGGCAGTTCTCGCCATCTTAGTGACGCCCGTGTACCTATCCCTTGTCATGGACCAGTTGTTTGGGGTTGTCGTCGGCGAACCTTATGTTAAGCTTCCAGAAGGCATCTAAGTAGTTTGAGTTTACCTTTTTTATGCTTAAATACACTATCCGTCAAATTTCGTTTTCACTCAAGCCGATGCGAATTTTCTTAATAGAAATCCTTCCTCGCACTCTCATTAGCCCCGGAGCAGCCTCAAGAGCTCAAATGAAAGCTCGTGTTTCTCTAATTCATCTCCGTCAAAACATCCTTCGTTTCAGGCCAAAATCACACGGAATCTACCGTTGGCGCGAGTCTACTGTACTATTTCTTTGGTGGTGCTGATGGTCTGTTTCATGTTCCAGCGCTTGGTTCATCCTTAATCTGAGACGAGCAAGGATCATCCGAACCCGCGCATAGAGATGGATCTGATAAGTGGACATGAGATCGTATCCGAGTCTCCGGATTGTTTGATCCTATATGTGAAGAATTAAGGAAAATATCACGATCTCTCCACCTAGTTCAATTGACTTGTGCGCGTATCCCTTATGGCACCTGACCTAAACCCGAGGTTGCTTCGGCTAATAAATAATAAACAGAGGTGGTCCCAGTGGCCTCTTATAAGTTATAGGCCGACTTCTTGCTGCTTCTAAACGAATATGTATATGTATTGGGGTTGCAAGCGAGTCAAACCGAGGTTCGACATGTTTTGCCTCTCCGTCAAAGTGTGACGTTTGGCATTTAGATAACCTCGATAGTAGACCTGAAAGAACAGAAAAAGCTTCAACACTAGCGATAATCTAACCATTGAAAACAGCAGGTGTTCACTCATTTGTAGTTCCTCCGATCATCATTCCAGTCCTGCATTCACACATTGATATACCAGCTTGTCACTGCCATCTTCGGCTTTGACTGCCCAGCACAAGGCGGCCGAGTTCTCCATCTCCTTCTTCGGGGCCACATTCCACTTGACTTCGCCTGCCCAGACCATCTCCCTGTCCGTAGAGTCAGCTAGAGCAGTGTCAAGCTGCCACTGACCCACGATGAATGGTTTTCCATCCTCTCCTAGACGCTTGCGCGGAAATAATCCTGGCATTGGGGGGTTAACTTCGTCCTCGGGACGACACCACGGAACTACCACATCAGGGCCACCGCATTCCATCACGCATTCAGCACATCGGAGACAGTAGGGAATTGTCACGTTAGGTCCTCCACATTCAAGATAAGTCATCTCCTGAGAGGAAGTCGGCCCTTGAGCTTGAGTAAGACTCAGAATCCCAAGAAGGCCAATCCACTTCCCATACGATTGTCGAGTAGGGCTTGTAGCGCTTTCAGCTCCATGGTTACGGCCGCCGAATGCCTTCATAATGATCCGAGCACTTGAAGTATTTTGTCTTAGAAAGCCAAAACCTGTGAGTAGTTAGCCGCTATCTACGTTGATGAAAGTTGTGGAAGGTCAACTAACCTGTCAGAATTCCCCAGCTAAGTGATACTATAGGGTCGTGGTAGAGTGCGATATAGGAAAGTCGGACTGTAATAGCTAGAGTCTTGAAAAATGTAGCAGATTGAGAAGGCTCCAGGTCGAGAATAAAGGAATTAAGTTGATGTTATATAGAGAATCTTGTTAGGCTTCTTTACAAATAAATGAAATACTAATAGACATTAGGTATTCCCATGACCTTGTTCAACATGTGGACCAAGCCATCTGATAAGAATCTAACCAATAACTTATCAAAGAGGCATGTATATCATTTAGACTTGTGAACCAGTTCTTTTTACTTTTTGAAACGGAAGAGTATCCTAATTATTACAGGTCAGTACTTAAACTGAATATTTCAGCTTCCATCATGCTATGAGGCCACTGGTTCTTGGCATTTCTCAGCCCTTCCCAAAAGGTCAGGGCTGTGTCAGATGCATATCTCAGTCCCGTTAGCGCTAAGCCCGGAGACCAATAGATAGTCCAGATAGCTATCCGTCCATCAACGGAGAGGTCTTCGCTCCACGTTTAAATAAAGTTGGGGCGCTAATAATTCTCTTTGCGGACGAAAAGAGCTGTCTCATGACGTGATGTATTGTCGCGATGCCAAAGATGGCTTAGGATGCAACTTCAAGTCTTCCCTATTTCAACGAACACGAATAGAGTCTTGAAGTAATTGAGTATTTCCCTCTTTTGTTAATTTTCGCTGGCAACACCTGAGATTGTAAGTAATGCTTGTTCAGTCCGCTAAGCCCGACGTCGCTAAACATGTTGCTTCAGCTTCCTAGATAAAGGCTTACATTGGGGGTAACATAAGACTAGCGGCCTGAGAACCCTTGTAACTATTACTTATTGAGAATAGGGTTGATATTAGCTACCTGCGCTAACTAGAGGCCTATCACTCATCTATCCTATCCTTTGCCTGGTCCCGGATGCACACTTAAGCAGTAGTACCAGCCTTGGCTTGAGTGTTGCTGTTGGCGTTGTTATTGGCGGTGGTGCCAGTTTTGGCTGCTCCGTTGGTAGTACCAGAGTTGGCGTTCGTGTTTGCATTGGTACCAGTCTTAGCTGCCCCATTGGCAGTGCCAGTGTTGGCGTTGTTATTGGTGTTAGTGCCAGCTTTGGCTGCTCCGTTGGTAGCACCGGCGTTGGCGTTCTTGTTGGCGTTGTTGCCAGCCTTCTTGCCAGCCTTCTTACCCTTCTTGCCCTTCTTGCCCTTCTTGCCAGTCTTCTTGCCCTTCTTTCCCTTTTTGCCCTTCTTTCCCTTCTTACCCTTCTTGCCTTTCTTGCCCTTCTTTGGTGCTCGGGCTTCAAGCTCGCTAGCTTCGTCTTCCTCGTCTTCCTCAACATCCCGGGTGGTAAGCTCCTCGGTGTCTTCTTCGGATTCGTCCTCGACGTCTCGCGCTTCAAGCTCTCCAGCCACTTCATCCCGCTTGCCATTCTTGTTACAGTTGTTAACGGCCTTGGCAGCAGCTTTGCCGTGAGCTCCTTGGTGATGGCGGGCCACTAGTCCCTCGACGGCTTCCTCGTCTTCGTCGTCTTCATCGTCTCGCTTGGTCTTGCACCCCTCGACCGCCTTGGCCTTGGCTCCCTTGGCTCCCTGGTGATGGGGCTATCTTTGTCAGTTGATGAATGCATAGAGCGGTGGAGGAACTTACATCCCGCGCCTCGAGGGCATCGAAGACAGGGAGTGCTCTTGCTGGGAGAGCAGCAGCAGCTACCAAGGCCTTTCAAGCTATCAGCCAGATACTAACGAGATTGTGAGGAGACACTTACAGCAACGTGTCCAACGCCAGCATGAGGGAAACGACGGTTATCCTGGGCAAGGGCCTGAGCGGCAAGAGTGGCGACGATAGCAGTAGAGAAATACATCTTGGATGATAAAAGATATTAATGAGATTAAATGAGTTCTGACCAGCAGGTAAAGATAGAATTAATGCAGATTAAGAAACTTGAAGATATTGCGTCAAGCAAAGCTCAAGTGGATGAGGAATAGAAGTAAGTTGAGTTGGTTGATGAGTGCAATTTGTGATAGACATGCCAAGCTTTATATACCTCTCATCTCGTCTATTTCAATCTACGCCAATACCCTAATTGCCCAGATCCCATCCTCTCAGAACTGCTTCTCGTGCTCGTCTCGTAATTGAATAGTAGTCAAACGTAAGCGACAAGACCAGACTTGAAATGTTTTGAAGTTTCTGCAAACAATGCCGCACTTCCTTATAGTCGAGATCCGAATTAACCGATCTATACGAGTGATGGTATCACCAGACTATAGGTCTCTTAGAAGAAGTCAAGTGTGGTGCTGGGACGGCTAGAACGGCCAATCATGAAACTCGGGTCCCGGCCGGAAGCCGACAAGCTGGGCCTGGCTGTTAAAAGCGTTTCAAATGATTGGACGACCCCTGCGATAATTACACTTTGGATGGAACCATTCTTTGTTTCGTCTTGGCGTTTCAAGACTATTGATGTAAGCCGATTAACCGTTCAATTACGAAGAAACCAATTAGAACGCCGTCCTATTGACGGCTCTAGTCTCCTTTCAGATTCTTAGACAGCATAAATTCTAGGAATTCTGATTTAAATATTTTTATCGTTCAGTAATTCTAAGCGTTGGACAGGATAATGGGGCGGTGTTCCAAGGCTTTTGCCAGCATCACTGAAGCAGGAAGAGGCCTGTGAAGCCAGAAACTAGTTAACTACATACTATACCCAGGTGTACACCATTAGGCATTGTTTGTTACTTCCAGCTGTCTAGTCCAAACTCGAAAATCCAAAGGACGCCCACTTGCTAAGCACCCTATCTTGAAGCTCATTTGGATATGAATTCTTGAAATCTGCAGCCTGCCAATCGCCTTTTCCTGTCGAGTATTCAGAAGGCATCAGCGCATCCGACACAACCTTTCCCCCTTGAACCGGAGATCCGGTACCGTGTCCCATGTACGGAATCAGAGTAAACCCTCTGACATTATCGAAGAAGGTTTCGTCGTCATTAGGCCGACAGCGAGTTGAAAATGCCCACATGACATCCTCGCCCTTGTATATGTCGATGTCCTGGCCCACAAGGATAAGACGGTGAATAAGCAAGCCGGCTTTCGTACAGAACACTACATCCCCAGCCTTCTTCTGAAAGTCCTTGGGCGTCCATTTCAACTGGCTGAGTTTCACAGTGTCAACCTTGAGCGCAGCCCAAGTGACCATGGATTCGAATGTAGAGAAGGCGTCCGTAATAGGTAGTCCAGCCTTTTGGCATGCGTTGCGTATTTCGGCAGCCGCAAGAGTTCCGATTAGGGTATGAGTCTCATCTGTAATGCGCCCAGTGACAGACATAGGCAGGATCGCATTGTCGCGGTAAGTGATCTTGTTCACCGTAAAGAGTGGATACTTGCGTTTCACTCCTGGGAATACATATCCGTGCATCTCGCCATACGGACCCTCATCAACGAGTTCAGTAATGGATATGGTACCCTCAAAGACGATCTCGGCGTTGGCCGGAACATGCAGATCGTTGGTGTCGCATTTCACAAGCTCTAATGGGCGGCCGGTCACTGCCCCGACATAGTCTGCCTCGCTGACGCCTTCGGGGATCGACATCGATGAAGCCATGATGGCAGCTGGAGGTACACCGAAGCACAGTGCCCACGGAACATCCTTGCCCTCTTTCTTCCACATCTCATGGATTTGCCAAATATGCTGCGGTTGCACGATTTGACCTGTTATGTGGTTTCGGTCATACACCATAGCCCGGGAGATGGACCAGTTCGTCCACGTACCATCAGGGCTCCTCAGTACATGCATTCCATAGGTCTGGAGGAATTTTCCTCCGTCTGCCTGATGAACCATTGGCGCTGGAAGGCGTGTAAGGTCGATTTCGTCTCCAACTAAAGAGTTTTGCTTAACAGGTCCTTCTGCAACGACGCGTGGTGCGATAGGCGGCAGCTCACTCGCTGAAAGCATTTTGTCAATGATTTCCCTCATGCTTGCGGTTGGAGGAAGTGCAAGGTGGCGAGCAATGCGGCCATATCGGTCTTTCTTGGACCGTCGAAGAGACCCGGGTGCACCAAGGATTCTCCAGAGCCCTTTATCATTCTGGCCCTTAAGATTGTTGAAGAGCGGAGCTTTGTCATCAGTCTCGCAGACCAGCCTCGTTATAGCTGCTGCCTCGAGATAAGGATCGACCTCATCGTTGATCTCGACCAGGTCGTTGTCTTCTTTGAGCTGTTCAACGAAAGCGCGAAAGGAGTGATCCATTGTAGACGATAAAATCGGTGTTGTTGAATTTCCTCGGTATAATTGTATTAATTCTTAGTTTTGCTGTACAATGAAGCACAGATTCATCAGTTTCGGGAAGAAATATGACCCTATATATGTCCTGGGAGGATTCAAGCAGACAGATTCAAGCCAGACATTATTAAACATATCGACTCTTGTCAAGAGTACCTAGGCGCCGAGCATCTCGGAGGCTCGGTCGTGATCTGTGCCATATTCCCTTTCGAGTGTAGATAGTCGCTCCACTATAGCGATTCAGTGGGCGCTACCAGCGCTAGCCCCCGGAATACACAGGAGATTAGGATCTGCTCTGTAACTCATCACTAACTAACTAGTTTAGTACCTAAGGCGGCAGGCCAGACCGTCAACCCAGAGCTCTCGGAACCTCGGGACTCTATCCTTTTCTCCCCTTACGTGTTCCCCGAACCTCCCAAACACTTTCACTTTCTGACCCCAATCATCCGTTACAGACGGGAGCACCACGATGGACACGTCCGCACCCCAGCAGCAGCAGCCTCCGACAGCATCCGCCGAGACTCCGAATGTGTGCAGCGGAGAGATTGATCGTGTCCTGAGACAGAGGCGGAAACGGCATGAGTCTAGGTCTTGTATCCCGTGCAAGCGTCGCAAGGTACGGTGTGATAGCCAAACACCTTGCGCAACTTGCCAGAAACGTGGACATACTGAGATCTGCGTATACGAAGCTCCTAGGTCTGCTAGACGCACAGCTCCAGTGCAGACAAGTCCGCGTAACGAAGGAACACCTGGGAATCCAGCGAGACCAGACAGTGGTGCAAGTGCATTGAGAGTTCCTCACTCGGTATACCATGAAAGGGACAACCGACAATCGAGCCCATCACAAGATTACTCAATTGCATCCATCGCGGGAGAAAAGGCGCAGAAGCAGACTGATGCAGAAGAACTGGCACGAGATGTAGGGTATGTATTGGGGCTACAAAACAGCCTCACGTCGTACCCGTTTATGGACCTTGCATCACACACTGAGCGTTGGTATGAGTTGCTGAATATAATTCCACATCGCCAAGAGATCTTGTCGTTATTCCCCATCTTTTAAATGCGAGTGTTTCCTTTCAATCCTCTACTCGTTGACATGGACAAGTTCGAATTGGACGTGCACGGCTACTTGCGAGCCTACACCGCGGGCGAGTTTAAATCCACACCCATTTCAGACGATTGGGGGAAAGAGAGAGCAATCGGCTTTATCAGCTTGATTCTTGCCGTCCTATCCTCTGCCGCACATTACTCAGATCTCACTGGATCCGAGAGATCTCGCACCTGTTATGACCTTGGTATGTTGTGATGTGATCATGCCCGTGGTGCACTGGAGCAAGGAGTGCTGAGACAAAACTATCAGCCAGAAGGTCTTTCCAGGCGTTACGACTGGCAAACTTCTTTTTCCGTCCAACCTTGGAGGTTGTTCAGACAATATTAGTCTTGGGCAACATGCTTCAAAACACGGGACAGTCTGATGCAGCTTGGGCATGGCTCGGTACCACGGCTCGCCTAGCTCAAACTCTCCACTATCATGCCCAAGGGAGTAGGACGAACCTCCCAGAAATAGTCAAGATTCAAGCGAGGACTTGTTGGTGTGTTTTCCCTCTGTCATGCGAACTCACTGTATTATGTACTCATCCGATATTCGATACTTCACAGGTCAAACATCATATGGCAGGATACTCTGCTCAGTATGTGCCACGCGCGGCGCCCATTAACAATGATAAATGTTCCCGGGCAGGATTTGGGCTTTCAAGACTCGGAACTTACGTATCACGGCTTCATGCGTGCAATTTGTCGAATCTCCACGACAGTGCTGAATAACGATTCATGTTATATTGCCAGCGTCACAATAGACATGCTCGAGCAGCTTGACTCGCTGCACCGCAAAACGAAACCATATTTGCAAGACCCCGATCGATGCAAATCGAGTCTTGAACACCTCCAGCATCTAGCATTAAAGATGCACAAGTCCTTCTTGGTTACGTTTCTATGTCGACCAGAAATTCGAAATGCCAATCGCTCATCGAACCAATCGCAGGAAGTACTCTCGGAACAGCAGCTGCGCATCCGTGGGCGTGCTGAGGAGAACCTCTTTGAAGCAATCAAGACGTTCCTCGAGTTTAGGGCAGTAAGTGCGGTACCACTGCGGAGCTGGTCGATGGTGCACGCCGCACTGAGTTCCGTGCTACTTCTGTGCATATGGGAAGAGACAAGGGTCAAGCCTGAGTGTCGATGTCTGAGGGAGAAGGTAATTGAGGCATTCTCGTCTCCGGAATTCAATGTGGCTGGTGGCCCAGCATCTGCAGATGAGAACAGCCAGTGGTTGTCGCCTAGGCATATCAACGCACTGGTGACTCTCAAGGATGCATTTACTACTGATGAATCCGGTTTGCAAGTTGACTATAACGCTATGCCGGGCTGGAACAACGCGGACCTCATGGGACAATCTGGATTCATACCGGGCATTATTGATGCTTGGGACCCTTTCGCTGAGTATGCATTGAGTGATTTTAATCCGAGGTAAGTCGAAACGTCCACAAGTTAGATGTGAAAGAAAACTGCTGACCCAATTGCCCAGCGTTCCTTGTGACCCAGGAGCGACAAATATGGAGTTGCCAGCCATGGACCCATCTCCCACGAACTACCTCGACTTCATTATGAGAGGCTAGAATGTCTGGAGCGCCTATAATCTAAAATTTTACAACTGGAATCCTTCCAGCAGGCGCCCGTTAGGAAGCACGAATGAAGTGGTCTGGTTAGAGTTAGAGCAAAAGTTTCGGCACCTCGGAAGCTCGGCGCCTCGGGCAATCAAAAAAGAGCTTTGTAGTGACTAACTACATTAGTTAAGCGCTGTAAGATACAGAGAGACTCGATACACACGGAAACTCTGTGCAAGGTGCTCACGCATGGTGAAAGGAAATACATATACATATATATAGCCATATAAACCTCCAGGAACCCACTCAATGGTTTTGCCAATAACAGTTCTTGACAAACTTTGGCATCTCCCTTGCGTAAGCCACGCGTGAATCGCAATCCCTATCAAAACTTATCACAATGTTCACGGCAACCAATGGCAATGCTCCCAAGGCGGGAAATTACCAATCTGAGAGAGACAAGGCCAACAATGGATCTCAGGGAGCTCCCGACGCTGCCGAATACACTTGCGCCAACATATCAACATCACCAAACCCTCGTTTGCGTCGAAAAAGGATCGTAGTGGGAATAACTGGTGCCACTGGTGCAATCCTCGGGATCAAGATACTCATCGCACTGCGACGGCTAAATATTGAGAGCCACCTCATTATCAGCAAATGGGCTGAGGCAACCATAAAGTACGAAACAGACTACTCACCAAAGAACGTGCGTGCCCTCGCAGATTATACCCACAGCATCAACGATATGGCAGCCCCAGTGTCGAGCGGCTCCTTCAAGACAGACGGTATGATCGTGGTGCCCTGTTCAATGAAAACGTTGTCTGCAATAAGCTCTGGCTACTGCGATGACCTGATCTCTCGGACCGCAGATGTTATGTTGAAGGAGCGGAGGAAACTGGTACTGGTGGCAAGGGAGACTCCCTTAAGCGACATTCATCTACGAAACATGCTATCTGTCACGCAAAGTGGAGCGATCATATTCCCGCCAGTGCCAGCTTATTACATCAGGGCCTCTAGCATAGAGGCCCTTACGGATCAGACCGTGGGACGCGTGTTGGATTTATTTGACCTCGACACGGATGATTTCGAACGCTGGGAAGGATGGAAAAAGACAACATAGCCCAACAGCAGTATCACACGCACAATTTATTCAGGTCTTACATCTAGCGAGAAACTTTGTATGATAATCAAAAATAGATCTCATGAACGTCAATGGACATCAAACCAGAGGTTACCGCCAAGGACATTCAAGCTGACCCGGTGGTAGTATTCCATGCTATTTATCTTCGAGCGGAGTATCTCAAGTTAGTATACCCTAGATTAAGATTATTAAACCGTCGTGCATCTAGACACAGGTCAAGAGACTACCAGTTACCTTTAATCTCATTTTCCAGACAAGCGCAAATAAAGTTATTAACCTCAGCAAGCTTGGGGTATATACTACTACTCTATGAGCCCTTTTACTTCAGCCAACATATCTGCAAACCCTCCTACGCCCTTATTTGCCATAGATTCAACATAGGTCACCTGATCCTTAAGCCAGTTCCCCTCCTTTCCAGCCTCTGGTGCGTTCATTCCTACCTCCCGGCCGGTCACCAACGGGACAAACTTGACCAGGATCAACCTCTTCTGTTCATCTTCGCCATTCCACGTCGCCTTTTCAGCAGGTGAAATCAGTTTCAGCGTATCATACCAAGCAGCTTCTATTTTAATTGCAAGTTCATCAAAGTCTGCCTTGGAGCGTATAGGAGATACACGAACATTTCCGGAAATTCTGTTGGAGGCGAGGTGAGATCTTCCGCCAATAAAATAGACATTCTCGCTGTTTTCTTCGGCAAAAAAGCGCACATGGATAAAGAACGTAGGAGTCTTGAAAGCTTTGCAGTGGAGCTGAGTGATGGCTTGGGCAAACTGTTGCCGTTGGTCCTTGTTGAGAGGATAAGAGTGGTGAACCTCATAAAAAGGCATTTATTATAGGTTCCAAGAGGGTAAATGAATATTTGAAAAGTATTTGTCAAGAAGTTCGGGTAGCTCTAAGAGAGGGTTGTTTTTTTCTAGAATTCGGATGCAGAGGAGTTTATTAACCTTGTACATAACAGAAAGGGCAGAGCTGGTCTTCAAGCCTCCGAGCCTCCGAGCCTCCGAGCCTCCGAGGTTGCAGGCGACTCCTATCCGTGTAATTACCTGTGCATGTAGCCCAGTTTCGCTATCCCTACATCTCGACTTCTTGCCGGGACACCGAAGCCCCGAGGAGGATTCACTATTGAACTTCACTTATACGCGTATCTTTGTGGCACGTGAGCTAGACCGCGAGGTTTCTTCGGTCAAACCCGAATCGGGTTTGGATCCGAAAACAACCTCACCAAAACAAACCCGAAGCCCCGCATGAATCATCCCAGACTCATATCAATTGAAACGCGAGATCGGAAACAGAGACAATGAGAACAACAATTGCGTGTGAGAGGTAACTGGCCACACCTGTAATGTCATATGTGTAGTTCTAACGTGGTTGTAGATGCAGGTAATACAGCTCTTCTAAGACCCAAGACTGCGTCTGACCATCATCAATAGAAGATCGAAAGTCAAATGCAGACATAATGACCAGCCCCCTTGTGCAGGCTGCATAAAGAGCGGCTGCACCGAGACCTGTGTCTTGGGTGGTCCAGTTCTTGGTCAGAGCTCAGGGCCCAAAAGACCTGCTAAGAGGCAGCGATTGAGTGTTGATCAGAGCCGAACAGATGTCTCAGGTGATGTTTGGCAAGATGTTAATCAAGTCTTCGATCAGACGCCACGAGCGCAAGTGATATCTGCTATCAACTTATTCCGGGCTCAGTTTCCTGAGTTTGGCTTTCTGCATCCGGATGATCTTGAGTATCGACAAGATGAGCTCAGTGTCGTTCAGAAACTCCGACTCCTCGTCATTGTTGCAGTGTCACATCGATATGCAGAGGCTTATACCGCCGATATTAACAACAAGAATATTATCTTCATAGCCAACGAGGTGCAAAAAAGGGTAACGACTGGCCCAAGCCTAGCTCTCATTCAGACCTTCCTCATACTATCGCTCTGCAACTGGGGAGACGGAGATGGCTTCAATGCTTGGATGCACTGCGGTATTGCAACGAGAATGGCTCAAGGGCTACTCAGCACTGGTTTCGCAAGCTGTGGCAAAAGAGAGACGCTTTCGGAACTTGAGAAGAGAACTTTGTGGACGTGCTTCAAGATGGACAGACTGCTTAGTTGCGGTAAACGACGACAGGCTATGTTCGCTGATGGAGACATGCACTTCTCACTCCCCGTGAACGACACCCATTTTCTCTTTGGGCAGAGTCCTCAGCCAACAACAGTAGATGATAGTCTGAGAAGCCATGGACCAGATGACCATCTTGTTCTTCTCATTCGAGGTTTACGTATCTGGTCAAGAATTCATACGTGGATCGCTGAGGGCGGAAGAAGACAGCCCGGTATGACGGAACCAGAGCAGTGCCCGTTTAATGAGACTTCAGATTGGAGCAAGATGAAGCAGGACTTGATCAAGTGGCGAGGGTCTCAGGATGCTCTGATGAAGTATCCTGCTACCAAGGTATCGGTGCATGCTCAGCGAGGACAGGCAGAGAGGTTTGGTTACACCAACTTGGTGTACTACGTCAGGTAATTCCTGCATCTCAACTCCAAGTGCAATACTCATCAATAATAGTTTACTCTTTCTTTGCCGAGAATTCATCCCCTTTAGTCCAGTAGACGAAGTCATACCTCGCGGCCCCATCGAACCACCACTCCTCAAAGCCCGAGGCCCCGACTCATTCTGGCTCCAGAATGTCTTCGATCTCTACGACGCAGCATCCCAAATATCCTCTCTCCTCTCCGATCTCGAACACGTCGGCTGTCCCCTCCGCACCCCCTTCTCCGGGCTATGCGCCTTCTCCTCCACTCTCTGGAGCATTTACGGCGCAGCGTTTCCGAACTTTATGGGCTTTACGCCAAGTCAAACCTCTGACGCTGATGCTCAAGCTGAAAGGACTATGGCTATTTTAGTAAGAATAGGAAAGGTTTGGAGATTGGCGGAGGAGTGGATTGATGTTCTGAATACAGCAAAGAGTATCATGACGAGGGTTAGTGAGGGCAGGAGGGTTAAGAAGTCGAGGTATGACTATCCGGAGTTGGAGGACTCTATACATCTTGCGCCGTTGCAGGGCATGCCGAGACAGACGTTTGATAGGCCTGCGGGTTTGGTCTCGGCGGATGATGGGTCGAAGTTGCATCAGTTGGTTGCTGGCGATGCTGAGCAGGGCGTGGAAACAGAAGGACTTGGATTTCTGGAGGAGACGAGTGGGAGTGAGTTTGTGGGTGAGGATTGGTGGAGGTTACTATCGTTTTGTGATGATCCGCATCTTTTGTCGACCAGTATGGACAATATGGGTGATGAAAACGTAGCTTAGGTCAGGGTTTGTTTAATCCTGGAGTTAATATTCTCTTTCACAAACTTGTCGCTTATCCGGCTGGAAAGATAGTTCTATTTAGCTTATCCTAAACTATTCTGAACCGGTCTGAATTATCCTGAACCTGCAGTGCTGAAAGCTGCTATGCCATTCGTCCGCGTCTCCTCGAAACCCGAAAAGGGTTCCCAGACCCGAATCGCCTTTCTAAGCCGAGTGGCTTCAGCTCCACCTCAAACTTGATAAGAACCGACGGAGCATCATTTTCTTCTTTATAAAAACATTCAATCATCTGTTCAAAATATCCTTTCCCATATTTACCTCTAAGCGTTCATCTACTCAACGGACAACCTCTTACAAGACACAATGGGCGACCTTCAACTCTCCCCGGCCTCAGAGCCCCATCTCATGCACCGCTCCCTCCTCACACGTCCAGAAACCGTGTCATCCGCATCAGGCGTCTGGATCACACTCTCATCTGGCCGCAAGATTCTTGATGGCTGCGCGGGCGCTGCAGTCTCTATCATAGGCCATGGAAACACTGAAGTCTGCGATGCAATGGTCAAGCAGATGTCGAATGTGTCGTACGTCCACACCATGGCATACACAACCGACAGTGCAGAGGATCTCGCAAACTTCGTCCTAGAAGGAGAGCCGTTTGACTTGACGCGAGCGTACTTTGTATGCTCTGGTAGTGAAGCTATGGATTCGGCGATGAAGATTGCGAGGCAGTATCATGTTGAAAATGGACAGCCGCAGCGAACTAAGTTTGTTTCGCGAAGACGGGCTTATCATGGGAACACTATTGGCGCTATGAGCATGGGCAGTTTCGTGGCGAGAAGGGCACCGTATGAGGGTGCCATTCTTCTCGACAATGTCAGCTATGTTAGTCCAGCGTATGAATACCGGGTACGAAAGGATGATGAATCAGAACAAGACTACGCTCAAAGATTGGTCGACGATCTCGAGGCAGAGTTCCAGGCTGTCGGCCCAGACACCATCATGGCTTTCGTTGCGGAGACAGTTGGTGGTGCAACAGCAGGTTGTATCTCCCCCCCTGCCGGATACTTTGAAGGTGTTGGAAAGGTCTGTCGAAAGTATGGTATCCTCCTTATCCTCGACGAAGTCATGTGCGGAGTCGGACGATGCGGTACATTCTTCGCCTTTGAGCAAGACGGTGATGTTCGTCCTGATATCGTCACAACAGGCAAAGGTCTCGGAGGTGGATATGCTCCTATTGCTGCGACTTTGGTGCACAGAAAAATCATCGAGACGCTGAAGAAGGGAACAGCGAGCTTCAACCATGGACACACATATCAAGCTCACCCCGTGAGTTGTGCAGCTGCACTAGCGATTCAGAAGATCATCCGTCGAGATAACTTGGTTTCTCGTGCTGCTGCCCTCGGAGCACGATTACACAAGTCCCTAGTTGAAATCTTTCAAGATCTGGAGTTTGTAGGAAATATTAGAGGAAGGGGATTGTTTTGGGGTATTGAGTTTGTCAAGGATAAGAAGACCAAGACGCCTTTTGATCACAAGATTCATTTTGGGGTCAAGGTCCAAGAGAGGGCTTTTCAGTTGGGTTTGGCTGTTTATCCTGGCTCTGGTACTGCCGATGGAATAGTGGGTGATCATGTTATTGTTTCTCCGCCATTGACGATTACGGAGGATGAGATGGATGAGTTGCTTGTGTTGTTGAAGAGGGCTTATGATGATGTTGCTGCTGGTTTTAGCTGAGTTACACAGAATACAAGATTTATAGACATGGGTATATAAGAGTTTTTCTGCCATTCATAGACAGAACGATCTTTTTGGTCCTTGCTGCTTGGCCCCTCTGATATGGAGCCATCCTGTTCATATATGGATCGAGGCCTATTCCCAACCTCCTCACATGCCTCAGGAGACAGAAAACGCAAGACTTGTAAATAGGATGCTAAAATGAACTCAAAGAACCCTCTAGACTTAGGTTAAATTTGGCTGGACACTTTTATCGCTTATGGCTATGGTCCTAGGTTTTCTTGCTTCCCGTAGCCATGGTAGCCCATTTGAGACCACAAGCCTTCGGGTCTATCTCACAGGCTCCCGGTTGGCTTCTTTCCTCTCCTTTCTCCACCAGCTGAAACAAGGTTGTCCGCCACATTCACAATCACAATTTTGGGCATGATTGGTGAATTACAGCATGTTCTCATCTAGAAGCTTAGCCTGGATCCAGAGGAGATCATAGACCTGTTTCGCCAGAATCCCATAAGTTTCAATGTATACTAGATCAGGAGCAAGAAGTCTTTCACGAGCTTAATTCTTTTACCATTGAATATAGGTAGTGATGTTGTCTCTGTTTGTCCTACCACGCCCGTTGCTTGGCATAAGCAGCCACTCAAGAGGGTGTAACAGTAAGATGGAAACACGGGTTTTTGAGGCTGCAGGTGCTGCACTCTGCTATTATCCATGCGTGAATTGCATTATAAGAATAGATGATCATTATTAAAGTATCTTGTCGTCAATTTCATCTGTTACTATGGGTAGAAGGGTAGGCAGTCAGGTTTCTTCGGACAGCGGATTTCCAAGCACAATGGAAGTAGGATGGTCGTGCGCTCAAGCCATACAATGTATTTTCTTCCTGCTCAAGCAAAGAGGCGTTATAAATTGGTCTAGATGCCAGTGCTCCCTACAGCCACGGCGCGAAGTCTGCCATAAGCTGCATATTTGCCAACAGCCCGTTTCTCAAAACGCGGCAGGGACAAAGAAATAAAACTTGGCCCTCGCAATAAACTCCTATTCCTGTGCTGCTACAGCCCATTTGACCTTTTCCACTACGCACTGGCTCTTGTGTCCGCGACGAATTGTTTCCATCGCCAAGGCCTCCCCCTCCTGACGTCGACAACGATCGTGAACGAGATAAACGGCTAATTGCCGCTACTTACGACATCATGCTTCTGTGTCCGGATGAATGCCTCGAGCCTCAAACACCTCAGAGCTTGGATTTGGATAGGGATGAAGCTGAGCCTCGAAAGCATGGAACAAAGCTCCCTGACCTTGCCTTCATGAAGCGCCGCAGCGGCGACTTCTGGAAGGCTTGGGATGTGTACAGACATAAGCCTTGGAACATGTGCCTTTTGGTCCTTGTTGGCACTCTGTTCGCTGTTGGTCATCACCTGTTCTACCTCCATTTCAATGGAAGAGAGGCTGTCAACCAGTCTCTGATGTTACGGTACGGGACTATCATCGCATTCTGTGCCAAAGCCAGTCTCGGTGCAGCTGCTACTATTGCGTTTCATCAAAGAGCCTGGAAAGTGGTCCGAAATAAAACAGCCCGGGTTGAGACTATTGACTCAGTTTTCACCGCTAACTCAGATATCTTGTCTCTCTTTACCTGGGGCTCTATCCGGAAAGCAAAAATTGGCACTCTTCTTGCACTTTACTGCTGGCTCACTCCTCTTGTGGTCGTACTGACTTCTGAGACTTTGTCAGTTTTTGTCGGGGTCTTTGAGGAGACCACGACATGCACGTCTATCCGGACCTTGAACTTTGAAAACGAGGAGAAGGTATATTGGCGGAATCCCCAGAAAATCGATGACCAGTTCCTGACGTCTATGTCTTTATGGAACACAACTGCTCTCTCTGATGAGAACTTTAACACGGATGACTTTGACTATTACGCCGGTTCTAGCTACCAGGTCAACAACCTCGTTGCCACCAAAACGATACTGATGGGCGAGGCCATAGTTCACAAAGAGTCAGCGCTCGAGATCTGTGGAGAGGGGTGGAACTGTTCCTTTGTCATAAACTTTCTTGCTCCAGGTTACAAGTGTGAGGAGCTAGCATCAGGAATAGATTCTGAAGTTAAGAAGCTTGGGAATGCTACCGCCCCCTTCAACACCTCTGTGTTAGCGCCAATGGGGGATCGTACCTATTATGCCATCAATGATCAAGGCGACTATGGTTTTCCCCAAATGTTGTCCTACGCTGAGGGGAGGCCAAAGCATGGTCCTCCGTATCCTAAAAACTTTGGAGCTTTCAGAACAGAGCCTATTATGTGGATTGGTTATGCAACAGTGGATGATCCTTCGGTCCCTCAACCGGATACGCCAGGCACAGACGAGTGGAGGAAAGCGTATACACCAGTTATCATTGCGTGTGAACATTACGAGGTTAATTATACGGCCCAGTTCAATTACACAGCTGGTGCACAATTCGTTGATATCCAGGGGCGGGAATACCTAAGAAAGGTGGTTGATACGACTTACGTACCCGAGAAGGACCCCGACAAGAGGTTGGACGACCGATCGCGAGCTGCCCCCGAGAGCAACTACATATTTCCTACAGATATCAAACATTACCGCCGAACAGCAGCTTACCATTCCCTGGGCTCTCTATTACGGCTGTACCTCAATGGAACTACAGATATGCGGAATTACAACGTGAATCCCAATCTTTTCTCTACGCGGCTGATTACGCGGTTAAATTACCTCCCCGTCAAGAACCTACAGCAAGAAATACGGGGTTTTTATGAGGACATGCTCATTTCTCTCTTTGCAGAACCTTCCTTCAGTGTTGTCTCATGGGCAGCGAATGGAAAACCATCTGGTGTTGCCAGAGGAGGTCCCTCAACAGCCTATCCTTGCCGGCGACAGAGGATAGCTACTTTCTTTCGCTACAACATGGCCCAGCTTCTTAGCGTATATGCCGCAAGTATATTCTTGGCAGTTATTGGTGTGCTGTTAGGTCTACAAGCTTATCAGGAGGAAGGGATTATGCGTGATATGAAGCCATCGTCCATCATGGAAGCTTCAAGGGCATCGAATCTCCATGTACTGGGGGTGAGGCAAGGATCAAATGTTAAGATTGGGTATGGGCTTGTTCATGAAGAGGCTGGTAGGAGTGTGAGAAGTTTTGGGGTCGAAGGGAATGTGCAGCAATAGCGACGAAGGAGAATTGGACTATTCCTCGAGTTCGGCGAAATCGCTAAGGCATTGAGTGACCATTTATCGGGTTACATGCGCTTGGCGACGACCACCATGCCCTTTTTAAGACCCCTGCCGTATTACTTTTATTTATATTCATGACATTGGATCTTCTAAAAAGCCTTATACTTACTCATTATAGGGTTCTGGTCGTCATTTGCTTGTAAATGTCAGGGATTGAGCTCTTGTTGAACATGTCCTGCATTCCTGACTCAACTTGTCTACTCATCTGTATGCGCCGGCGTCCTCCCAAGCAGAATATAGCATGCTTTTGAGAGGTATCTCTACTCAATTGGCCGGGGGTTGATTGGACAATTCCACTGTCGGTCATCAGTCGCATGACCTCAGCGACAATGAAACCGTCTACCGGATGCAGATCGACAACACTTCCGAATGACTGCATATCCCACAATCGCCAGCATCTCTCAACCTACCGAGGGCGGCCTCCCCGCATATATGCACCTCCTCCTCTCAGGGTTTAGAGTGGGTTGACTGTTGTGCCTCAAAGCGATGTCTCGGCAGCTGCAGCATTGGCTGAAAAGCCGCCCACGGCCCGCGGCCTTGTGTTCCAGCGCATCATATCGAACCACCCCAGACCATTCTTCAAACAACCCGACAAAATACTTTCCAATAGGTTTGAGGACTCTCAAAGTTTGTCAAGAATAGGAACTCGTGTTCAACTGACAAAAGTATTGGTGAGTTCGGTTGCTCGGCCGTTAGTGCTGAGGCTTAGACAAGCACGATACGAGTACGATGAAACCAATGAATATGATAGGGGACTCTACCGCCAAACCACAGAAACCAGAAACTCTATAGAAACAAAAGGGTCCCATGGTTTCATGGTCTCGATCTGCAGTGGCTCTTACAGTTGTCGGGGTTCCGGGAGTGTTTCGGACAGTCCACGGAGCCCGTGGAACACCAAACTCCGCGCTCCTCAGCGAGCGAATATGGGACGACACGGGAATCAAGATATTATGTAATCATTCATCGGGCTTATGGTCTAGGGGTATGATTTTCCCTTCGCATCTTCACTCTGACATGATCAGAAGCAAGATCTCTGGGAAAGGTCCGGGGTTCAATTCCCCGTGAGTCCATGGTTTTTGCTGTTTATGGTGATTCTTTTTTGTTGGTTGTGATTGTGGTTGAAGGATTGACTGTCAGCCTTCAGGGGATGGTGATGGTGAGTAAAGCTTTACAAGCTTTGGCGAAAAAGGATGTTGGCAGTCAAAGCTCCAGGCACTGAAAGAGCAACTAGAACTGTCTAATCGGCTGCAGCAGAGCGACGGATAAAGTGAAAGAGCAAAAAGAAACGCAATCAGATGGACTCACGGGGAATTGAACCCCGGACCTTTCCCAAGCGTCGATTTAAAGATGCGAAGGGAAAATCATACCCCTAGACCATAAGCCCTATCATTGGTTAATGATTCGTTAAGGCAGAGACGCTGGAATGCGTTTATGATTTGGGTCTGGACAGACACGATTGTCGCGTTGGAACCAGTAATCATTATTATGGGAAAACGAGGGAATGATTACTCCGTATAGTTTATGGGACAATTACTCTGTAGTTAAATTTTAAATTGGCAAACAATGTTTAAGCGAAAATGTCTGGAACATTATGCTGATCGATCGAGATTCGAGATCCTCAGAAAAGCAAGTCTCAATGGTGCTACGTAGCACAACAACACAAAGTCGCCTATCATCATTTTGTCTTGGAGCGAGTAATGTCTGGCACGCATCAATTACACAAATCCAACTCCAGTACCAAGCGAAGCAAATACTAATAATCCACGTCATGAATATAACAATTAAAGCACAAGCACCAAGTATCTACTCGCTCTCCCTTGCATCTCAAACAATAGCGCAGCAACGATGAGTTGTCCAAATATCATCCAGGTGTAGGGTGGTTCGCCAAACATGGAGATGCCTGCACTCATGGCCTCTGCACAGGAATAATAAGCTTAAAAATTAACAGAATCCTGATTTGGAAAACAAGGGTTCACAAGCCAAGAGATTTACTCTCCAGAGTATATGCCAAGCTGTCTTGTTAGCCTGTGGTTCAGCGTAGATGAAACGGCTGTCCTTGTCTTTATCTGGAGAAGCTGTGATGTAATTATTGCGGGTGGTAATCTAGTGGCGTTGGCTGGTGGATTACAGATGAAGAGGTAGTAGAGAGGCTCCTGTAGGACCCGTGAGATCACGTTATTTCCCTAGAGTACCATGTCTGATGCATCAGCAGACTATTCTCACAGTCATCATGAATAATGCTTTGTTATATTCCCGCGGATATACACACTTTTCTACAGAAACAGAGGCTCATTATGGATATCGCGGATGTCCCGGCACTAACTGACCCCTGGGCGCCAAACCTTTTTATCGGGGCTGGAGATTACTGGCCATAGCGGCATCAACCTCTGACGTAGGGCGACCCACTCCGGCACGACCTGATTAACGACCTTTACGTAGGAGGTGCCCCTACAAGACGCTACGGCTCAACTAAACTTTTCTTGTTTTGAGTGAAAGTGGCTGATCTTCACTGACAAGCGGTTAATCAAGGCCGGGAAACTAAACCCAAATTGCTCATGTTGTGACGACTGACTAATTCCAGCCTCTACCACTCCGGTTCAGTATCACTACAAGTTTAACTTTGTTTTCTCACCTCATCTCGACTCTCCCTTTTTTTTTTTAATACTCTCTTCCTTCTACCATGCATCTTCATGGGCATGGCTTCCAATAATAACCGCCTTCAGCCCTCGGGCCATCTCAACGTAACGGGCCATTACAACAACCGCCGCTCTCCGAGTCCCTCGTCCTCTCGTCCCGTGCCTCCCGATCCCGGAAGTCCAGGCCCCATCGAAGAAACAGCATCGGATTACTTCAACCCGCTGAGCCAAGCGCCCTCAGCACAATCGCAGACATCGCTATCGTCGTTTCCGCGCTTTCCATCGCAGACGTCCCTCTCGGCATTTCCATCCTATCAAGAATCGTCGAATTATCCACAGCAGACGAGACGAAGACCGCCGGTCGATCAGGCTAGACAGCCTAGTATCCGCATCCGCCGAAATTCAAACGGGTCGGTCTACTCGAATCATAGTGTGACGAGCCAGTTTGATGGATTTAGCGATGATGGGAGACCCAGGAGCATCTCGCAGCCTGAGCGCGCGAGGGTCTCGGATGGGCTTGCTCGTCATTCCAGGAGGGTTCCGCAGGTGGCGATGCCGCGACTTACAGAGGAGGGAGGTCGACCAAGTCTAGCTGAGCTAGGGATCAATGATGATCAGTCTGCTCCTCTGTCGCCGACGGGTTCGCTTCCCGAGGAGAATACAAATGGGAGGGGCGGACTTGGTCGGCTGCGGCGGGCGAGTCGCTTCTTCTGGCCTGGGCATCGTCGGCAATCTGGCGAGGATCAAATGGCTGTACCTATGGGGCAGCGAGATGACGATCGTCGCGATGATGAATACGACCAGGAACTTGTGGACTGGCTCGATGTCATCGGTAAGAACATCCACATCCACATCTTCTACATCATCAAAATCTAACAATCACAGACCCCGAAGTCCAAACCCTTTCAACACTAACAAACGTCCAAAACTCCCTCTTCGTTCCCGATCTCGGAAAATGGGTCAACCGTCGACCGACCTACGCTCTATCCCGACACGATCCCCAAGCAGACTGGGCCCGAGGCGCCGTTGAGCAGGAACGACGCCGCGAAGCCGCACTGGAAGCACAAGAGACCGCTACGATCCCGCCGATTGCGGAAGCTGAGGCGGAGGAAGAAGAGGACCAACCTCGTTTCCCGCAGCGGAGTAACACTATCACCTCTCGCTTGACGGATTCGCACTACGCGGCGCTTCCACATGGAACGAACCTTGATGGCTGGACGCCAGAGGAAAAGGCCGAGCTGGATGATCACGTTCGACACATGCTACACTCTCGCCGTGCGCGGTTCAAGCGTCGCATGAAGGGCTTCGGCCAATACGTCAGACGTCCCCTCGGCTTCCTCGTCACACTCTACGCTACACTCATCACGCTCTTCGGTCTAGCTTGGGTTCTCTTCCTCATCGGCTGGATCTACGTCGGTGAGAAGCAAGTCTACGCAATCCACGTCATCGACAGTGTTCTGGTCGCGCTCTTCGCCGTCATGGGTGATGGTCTCGCGCCCTTCCGAGCTGTCGATACATACCACATGTTCTTCATCTGGCGCTTCTCGCGCTTGATCAAGAGAGCTGAGCAGGGAAAGAAACCGAGGACCAGATTGCAGAAGAAGCGTGTGCCGCCGGGTGTGTCTACGAATCCGGAGCATTCGCACTTGACGGGCCATCAGGCTCGTGCTCTCCTCGAAGCTCAGGACTATAACCCTGAGAGAGACGGAACCGTCGGCACGATGGATAACCAACCTCAACCGCAACCTGAGAGTCCCGAGACTGTTGATCTAGAAGGCGCCAAGTCCAACAGCCCCGATTCAGACATGCCTGCTCTGACGTTTGCTCAGTTCAAGAGCCTGCAGCACCATCAGAAGAAAATGGCCAAGTCACACAGTTTCTACAAACCCAACGAGACATTCACCCACTTCGCCTTCCCCCAAAAGTACCTCATCGCCATCGTCATCCTCCTCGACTGCCACTCCTGTCTCCAAATATCCCTCGGCGCATGTACCTGGGGCATCGACTACCACACACGTCCGTTCGCTCTGACCACCGTGATCCTCTGTGTGAGCATAACCTGCAACATCACAGCTGGTCTGCTCATCAGCATCGGCGATCGGAAGACGCGAAAGAAGGATGTGTGGGAGTTGTTGGATAGACAGGAGTTGACGCAGGATGCTATAAAGCATATGAAGAAGAAGAAGGAGGAAGAGGAGAAGGAGAAAGAGAAGGAAAAGGGGTCGGATAAGGATGGGGAGTCGAGTAGGGGTGATGGATCGAGTAGTAGGACGTCGAAGGAGTTTAAAAAGTTGGTGAAGCAGAACAGTTAGGGGATGAAGGATGAGGATAGATATATGTGGATATGATGATTACGGTTAATAAATAGTTGATACCACCTAATTTAGATAGATCACGAACACGGATACTTGTATCACACCCTCCGTCTCTTGTTAATCCTCATGCATGTCATCAGCTATAACCACGTCGGCTATAGACACCCCTATGTCGCTTATAAAGTACCAACCCACTGGGAGTTGACGTCTCCGGTAGTTCGGTCCGCTTATCTGTCGATCAGACGATGATGGGCCAATGCGTCTGACTTGGGTAACCGTATCTGATTATTCTCATGCCATGATAGATCTACGAAAATTCTGTTCATCATGACCCCGCTTGGTGTTTTGTGGTGTGATGGGTCGTGGAGTGGCCTGTGTCTCGGACGAGTGTGGTGCAGTGATATCGTCAAAGTTTTCAGGTATGAGTGATGATGTAGGTGTGCAGAACAAGGGAAATGTGAGACTGATGAGTATGGCGTAGTAAGATCAAGCATAGCAGAATCGAAGTGAGATCACGGCAAAGAAGTGATGTGAATTAGTACCATCTCGTGGTCTTCAATATAGCATTTGTAAATAGTGTAGTATAGTATAGCATATCGACATAATCATCGACCCTTCAAACATCTTTTTCGTACACACACATCTTTCCTCATTCTCTTACATTTTCATCATCATGATACCCAATTATGAGGAAGCGTTCTGGCCGAAACTCGAAAGCTGGTTGGTGACGACGAGACCAGCGACACTGGCAGAAGTGAGAGTGGCGAGAACACCAGAGATGAGAGCCGAGACAGCAAGCTTGGCAACGTCACCGCCGCGAGAGGGGGCGAGCTGGCTGAGGATACCGATCTGGATACCGAGGGAGCCAATGTTACCGAAGCCGCAGAGGGCGTAGGTGGCGATGAGCTGAGAGCGGGGGGAGAGGCCGTAGAATTCGTTGTTCTCGGGGGAGGGGTTTGTGAGGAGGGAGAAGGCCTTGTACTCGTTCTAAAACGTGTCAGTATCTGGTATGAGAGTGGTAAGGGGGAGGAGAAACGTACGGTGATGATCTTCTCGGCAATGAGCTTGGCGACGGGGAGAATGTCGCCAGTGCTGTTGGTTCCGTTGGTGCGAGATACACCAAGGAGGAAAGACACAGGGAAGAGAAGGTATCCGAGAATGAGCTGGAGAGTAAGAGGAGTGGGATCGTTGATGTTGAGGTAGCGTCCCCACCAGCTCAAGAGACCGTTGATGAATGCGACCAGAGCAATAATGCAGAGAAGAGAGCAGACAATGGTACCGGCGATCTTGATTCCGAGCCAAGCACCGTTAGCGAAGGCGTGGAGAGCGTTCTCAGCCTTGTGCTCATCATCGTCAGGAATGACTACACGACCAGCTGTGAGAGTCTCCTCAGTCTCAGGGTATCGCATCTTGGAGATAGCCAGAGAGGCAGG